AGAGGTGCAGGGGGGTTAAGATTTGAACACATAATTTTGGGGGGTAGAGCACATTCAGTCTACAACAACCTTGAAAGGTAGAGACACAAGATGGACCATAGGGAACTTGTGATCCTAGGAACAGTGTTGTTACCATGGTGATTTTTCTGGCTTTTCTTTTTCCCTTATATATCCCAGACTTGGACAAGAACTAAGCAACTCAGAAACACAAATGAGCACGGGCAAAAAAAAAAAAAAAAAGCTCCCATAAAGCCTACTCTTTCTAGCCATAAGACCAGGATGGGGCAGCCTAGCAGGACAAAAAAACTTAAATATCCCAGACTTTGCCCCTGGCCAGGCTGTAATGAGCCTCCCCAAACCCACCCCTGCTGGGAGGGTGTCACAGAATACTGAGTGGGGAGCTGGACTTTCAACCCTGCTGTGCAATACCTGAGGGGCAGAGGAGACCAGCGGGTAGCTGCAATGCCCACCTCTGCTCAACAGAAACTAGGGCCCCCGCCCTGCCAGCAATGTCAGTGGTACCCAAACTTCTCTCTCCACTGGGTAGTAATGAGGTGGCATCAACCCTTCTCCTGACAGAGTAGTGTTGGAGACAGCTAGTCAGGGCTGCTTTCCATCACCAACAACCAACTCTCTTATTCTCTGGACATCAGCTAGATGTCCAAAAATTCAACTTGGTTCTGACATTATATACCTAGAATTAACATCAGATTCCACAGGTTAAAGACTCAGCCCCTACAAAACTGTTCCCACTTACAATGCCAGGTGCAAGTCCTAGGTCACCTGTACTTCTGATCAATCAACTATAAATCGAGGGTTTCCACAAACTCCTCCCCAGGTTTAATGATTTGCTAGAATGGCTCACAGAACTCAGGAAACACTTAGGTTTACCAATTTACTATAAAGGATACAACTCAGGAGCATACAGGTGGAAGAGATGCACAGAGAAAGATACAGGAAGGGGATAGTGCTTTAATACCCTCTCTGGGACATCATCCTTCCCGGCAAGTTTACATCTTCATCAACCCAGAAGCTCTTAGAATCTCATTGTTCAAGAGATTTTATAAAGTTGGGGCACCTGGGTGGCTCAGTCGGTTAAGTGTCCGGCTTTGGCTCAGGTCATGATCTCGCGGTTAGTGGGTTTGAGCCCCGCGTCGGGCTCTGTGCTGACAGCTCAGAGCCTGGAGCCTGTTTCAGATTCTGTGTCTCCCTCTCTCTCTGACCCTACACTGCTCACGTTCTCTCTCTCTCTCAGAAATAAATAAAACATTAAAAAAAGGAGAGAGATTTTTTTTTTTAATGTTTTACTTATTTCTAGGAGAGAGATAGAGACAGCATGAGCAGGGGAGGGTCAGAGAGAGAGGGAGTCACAGACTGAAACAGGCTCCAGACTCTGAGCTGGCAGTCAGCACAGAGCCCGACGCGGGGCTCGAACCCACGAACCGCGAGATCATGACCCAAGCGAAAGTCGGACGCTTAACCGACTAAGCCACCCAGGCGCCCCAAGGAGAGAGATTTTATAAAGCTCAAACTCCAGCCCCCTCCACTCCCTGGAGGTCAGGGGTAGAGATGGATATTCCAATCCTCTAGGCACTTGGTCTTTCTAGTCATCCCGAGGCCACCCATGGGTCCCATCCTAGGTCACCTCATGAGCATAAACTAAGGTGTGCTCTAAAAGAACTCTTCAGGAGTAACAACAACAACAACAACAACAACAAAACACATTTTCCAAGGAGCCTGGAATTTTATGGACTCTGTGCCAGGAATGTGGGACAAAGACCAAATATATTTCTTCTTATATCATAGGCAGCTAAAACAGAAATCTTAAATAATAACCAGAGTCTTATAATATGTTCTGAAAGTGTCCACGTCTCAGTTAAAAAGCATAACTTGTCATAATCAAGAACCAAGAACCAGGAAGATCCCAAACTCAGTGGGAATTAAAAAAAAAAAAAAAAAGACAAGCAATAGGCACCAATACTGATCTGACATTATTGTTAGAATTTTCTGATAAATATTTTAAAGCTATGATAAAAATGCTTCAAAAAAATTGCAAACACATGTGAAATAAATAATAAGTCAAATGTTTCAGCAAACAAACTGAGAGTCTTAGCAAAAAAGTAGAAGCATAAAAAATAACCAAATGGAAATTTTAGAACTGAACAATACAATAACCAAAATATAGCTCAACAGCAGAATGAAGGGGACAGAGAAAGGAACTGGTGAACCTGAAGATAGGACAATAGAGCTTACCCAATCTGGGGGTGCCTGAGTGGATCAGTTGGTTAAGCATCCAACTTTGGCTCAGGTCATGATCTCACAGTTCATGAGTTCAAGCCCGATGTTGGGCTCTGTGCTGAAAGCTTGGAGCCTGGATTCTGCTTCAGATTCTGTGTCTCCCTCTCTCTCTCTTCCCCTCCCCCACTCACGGTCTGTCTCTCTCTCTCTGTCTCATAAAACATTAAAAAAAAAAAAGACACGGGGCGCCTGGGTGGCTTAGTCGGTTAAGCGTCCGACTTTCGCTTAGGTCATGATCTCACGGTTCGTGGGTTCAAGCCCCGCGTCGGGCTCTGTGCTGACTGCCAGCTCAGAGCCTAGAGCCTGTTTCAGAGTCTGTGTCTCCCTCTGTCTCTGACCCTCCCCTGCTCACGCTGTCTCTCTCTCTCTCTCCTAGAAATAAATAAAAATATTTAAAAAAAAAAAGACACTATGGTTTGCCTCTCTTTTTCCCTCTATGTTCATTTGTCTTAAAAATAGATAGATAGATAGATAGATAGATAGATAGATAGATAGATAGATAAAATGTTCTAGGGGTGCCTGGGTGGTTCAGTTGGTTAACCATCTGACTCTTGATTGTGGCTCCTGTCTGGCTCTCACCGTTATGAGTTTGGGTCTTGCGCATTGGGCTCCATGCTGGGCATCAAGACTACTAAAAAAAGAAATAAAAATAAAAATAACTGTCCTAAAAATATTAAAACTTGGTCTTTGAAGGGCCTTGTTAAAAGGATGGATAAAAAGCTGCAAAGTGGGAGAAAATCCTTGTAAACCACATATTTCACAAAGGGCTAGTATGCAGAGTACATACAGAATCCTCAAAATTCAGGAGCACCTGAGTGCCTCAGTCAGTTGAGCATCCAACTCTTTGTTTCAGCTCACATCATGATCCCAAGGTCACGGGATTGAGTCCCCTGTCAGACTCCTTGCTGAGCACAGAGCCTGTTTGATTGTGTCTCTCCCTTCCTCTGCCCGATCCCATCCCTCCCTGCTTGCTCTCTCTCTCTCTCTCTCTCTCAATAATAGACTTTAAAAAATCATTTAAAAAAGTTGCCACATCATAAATTGTAACACAACTGTTAAAAACAAATTGCACTACATTAGATTTGATCTTTAGAAACAGCCTACAAATAAAATATTCATAATAGATAAATGCAGGGACTTTGGGGCTGAGTGAGTTCATTCAGCAGGGTTCAGTCTGGGAAAAGGGCCATGGATCATGTTATTAGAAAGGGCAAATCCAGGGGTACCTGGGTGGCTCAGTCGGTTAAGCGTCCAACTTCAACTCAGGTCATGATGTCACGGTTTGTGGGTTTGAGCCCCGCGTCAGGCTCTGTGCTGACAGCCAGCTCAGAGTGTGGAGCTTGTTTTGAATTCTGTGTCTCCCTCTCTCTCTGACCCTTTCCTGCCCACGCTATCTCTATCTCTCTCTCAAAAATAAATAAAACATTTTTTAAAAAAGGAAGAAAGGGCAAATCCAAAACAAGACTGTGAGGAGACACTAGCCACTGTGCCTGAAGCACAAGAGGCAAAGTAACAAAGCAGAACTTACAAGAAGACCTGGGCTTGCCAGGAAGAAAGTCCAGCCACTAACAAGGACTGAGGGAAGCTGAGCCCTGAGGCAGAGACATTGCCTCTGTAGAGCCCCAGTGAGTATCTCAACATGTGCTAGTCGGAGCTGGGCTGATCCTGCAAAACTTTATCTAAACAGGCTTAGACAAGGACATGCACAGAGGAGGTTACTAAAGAAATGTGGTCTTAGAAGACAGGTTGCTCAGTCTCACCTGGGTCCACACATGCAGAGCCGGGCTTGATATGCATATGGCCAGCTGGGGCTGAGCATGTGATGGAGAGGAAGGAGTGGGCTCAGATGCAGACCATGAGGGCTGAGACCAGAGGTATGTTCATTGTGTGTCTGAACAAGAGTGGTCAGGACTCTGGAGGGACCCTCAGCAGAGGGCTCAGAGATAGTCCCCAGGGAAAGTGTACCTGTCCCAGAAGGGAGTACTGGCAGGAGGCCATTCCTAACTGAAACTAGAATTAAAAGTGGTAGAGATCAAACAAGCAGCGAGTGCTCATGCAACGTCAGAACCACACATTCTTTCCAAGTGAGATTTCTCTGAGAGTGGCCAGAACATCTAGCAGGAGCTGGAGGCAGGGGAATGGAGGACTCTGGTTCAGGATCTTTCTTCTGCTTCTAAGACCCTCCCATACAGAAGTCCACCTCTGCCTCCCTCTGGAGACCCATACTGGTCACCCACCAGGCTCCTTTCTGCCTCTGACCGAGATAGGGCTGCTGTGGCCTGTCCTGGAGGCCACACCAGGCCAGGGAGGTGACCGTGGGGCAAAGCTAATGATTTTGTATCCATGCACCTCGGAGCATCCAGGAGCCCAGGAGAGGTGCCTTGGGGGCCAGCTGGCGGGGTGAGGCGGGGAACAACCGTCCCAGTTTCCCCAGGACTGTAAGCTGGATGAGCTGGTCACCCCAGGTGAGGCTGCCTGCACTCCCCGAACCAGGCTCCTGCACTCCCCGAACCAGGATGCCTCACTTCCACCCATTCCACAGGGAAGGGCAGTTCTGTGGCCTGATCAGCCCCCAAACCCTAAGTGAGGTAGTGGAACCCTCACCTCCTTCCCCAGACAAAGAAAGAAAAAGCACAAACAGATGACACTTCATCCGGTTCTGCTTTTTTATTGGCGTGTCTGTTCATATATAGCGAGTCCTAGAGGGGAGACTGAGGGGCACAGCCCAGCAGGGCGACCTCCCCCATCACACAGGCACCCTCTCTGCCAGACCAGGTGCTCAGCGCACCTGGGCCAGGTTGTGCTTCTTGTACAGCAGCGCCCTCTTCTTCTCTCGCTCGCGCACGAAGGCTCGAAGTCGCGTGGTGGGGAAGGAGACAGCTGCCGGATGGGAGCCCGCAGGGCCCTCCTCGGTTAGCCACGGACACTGCAAGCAACTGGATGCACATGGCCGGCCCCTGGAGAGGGGGAAACGGTACCAGCTGAGCTCTGGGAGCGGAGGCCGAGCGGAGAAGGACGCAGGACATGGGCCAGACGGGGTGGGTGGACTGGGCGCCGGGCAGAGGGCAGGGTGATGAGCTGGGCAGGACCTCCGCCTTACCACGCGTGCGCACACAACGTGCTCCGGAGAAAAGCCACGGCACCTCCGGACAGCCCCGCGTAGCAGCGACTCAGACGGATGAGCCCCTTGCGCAGGGCTTTCTGCAGGTCGCGTGTCCCTTCACTGTTCACCGGGTACTCTGCGCTCAGCCTGCACGCGTCGGGGGTCAGGAGACTCAGGTCACCGTCACCACCGGGTGGATGGGGGGACAGCGGGGGCTCTGGGGGCACCCTCCGTGGATGTCCATCTCCCCCTGTCCCCGCGCTTGGAGAACTCACATGATGAAGGCTGTGACGCCTATGGCCCAGATGTCGGTCTGCGGGACGGCACCCTGGCCCTCCAGGAGCTCAGGAGCTGGGAGTGGGCACAGGGCAGGGCACAGATAAGAGGCTGGGGAGGGAGGGCGGGGCTTCCTCCTGGCCCACCCTCCCCCCAGGTCAGGTTGGCGTCAGCTCCCTGCACACCCATGGTCTCCACGTAGTCCTTGAACCTCTCAGAGGGCAGGATCTTCTCCTGGGCGAGACTCTGGGCGTTGCCCAGGTCGACGACTTTGAGTAAGTTGTACTCGGTGACGATCATGTTCTCGGACCTGAGGTCCAGATGCAGAATGCGCTGGGCGTGCAGGTACTGGGCGGCGCTAAGCATCTGCCATAGGTAATCCTTCACCTCGGATTCCGAGTAGGAGACCCTGGGGGCGCGCGGGAAGAGGGGCTCAGCTCTGCCCATGGCAGAAGGGGCGCGGGGACACCAGCCCTTCCCGTGGGCTTGGGAGGGGCATCCCGGCTCTGCTAAGCTCCCGTACGTGGGCTGCGGGTGGAGGCGGGGTCGGGAGGTGGTGCGCACCGCGCGTCCCTCCGCGCTCTGGCGCGGGTTACCTTCCCACCCTGGGCCCTGCATCCAGGCCATCCCTCACCTCTCCGCCAGGCAGGGGAGCAGCTCGGGACCCGAGCAAAGCTCCAAGATGAGGACCAGGTGCCGGGGGCTGAGGTAGGCGGCCTGCAGCTGGGCCAGGTGAGGGTGGCGCAGGCTCTTGAGAGCCTCGTATTCGCGCAGTACAGCAGTCCTGTCCTCGGGGCGATAGGGGACGATCTTCGCGGCCAACGCGCGTCCGCTGGCTTTCTCCCGGCACTGCCGCACCACGCTGAAGCGGCCCCTGGGCGAGGGAGAAGCGGCCAGGCTTGTGAGGACACCCCCCAACGCGCCCTCCTTCCCAGTGTCAGTAAAGCAAGCCCAGCAGGAGGTGACGGAGCCTTCCGGAAGGAGAAAGGGGAGGCTCAGAGGCTCTGAACCAAACAGTGGGGAGGGAGGCTGGGATGGGAACAACAAAGCCAGCGTGGTGGTGGGCTGCGGCGGCACGCCGGACAGCCTTCCCTTCACCTTCGGATCTGCATCTGGAAGGCGAAGGTCTCCGTGCTGGGGAGGGGCTGGCCTGGCCGTGGGGCTCTGCTCTCCTCCTCAGAGGCTGCGGGGGAACGAGCCAGTGACTGGGAGGCACCCGTCCAGCCCCAGTTCCCCCAACCTGGTCTCCTCTACCCCTTCCCAGGCACTGTGACAGGGGCCCTTCTGTGAACCCCCACACTTTGACCTCTTGTTCCTTGGCCCATGGAGGAGCAGGAGCTACCAATTAAAACAACCATCCCAGAGACACCCCGGGGGACTCAGTCGGTTAAGCATCTGACTTAATTTCTGCTCAGGTCATCATCTCAGGTTCCTGAGTTCGAAACCCGAAGTGCAGAGCCTACTTAGGATTCTCTCTCTCTCTCTCTCTCTCTCTCTTTCTCTGCCCCTCCCCTGCTCATGCTCTCTCTCTCAAAAATAAATAAAACTTAAAAAGAAAATTAAAACCGTCCCAGAGAGTGTGTGTGGCTGGAGTGGCAGTACACCGCCTCTGCCCTGCCAGTAGGCCTTGCGGAGCGGCTCACCCAGGTGGCTGGGCCCTCCCAGGAGGACCGGCTCAGAGGGGCTGCTGTAAGGACCCATGCCCGCCTTGCTGACGCAGGCTGTCCGGAAGGTGTAGGTGCCGCCCCTCGAAAGCTTGCTGGCTCCGTAGCAGCAGTCGAAGATGTCAGAGGCCAGCGTGTTCCAGCTGCCACCTGGGCCACAGAGGAGGTGAGGGTGAGCACTAGCCCAAGGCCTCCCCTCCCCAGGGCCAGTTGGCAGACAGACCCTTCCCAGAGGGAGCACGGAGGTGGCTGGGCTCTGCCTGAGGCCACCCAGCCAGGCAAGCATCTCCGATGGGGACCTGGGAGGCACTGGGATGCTCTACCTTCCAGGCTGCACTGCACGATGTAGGTCACGGGGCCGTAGGACTCCACAGGCTTCCAGACCAGCAGCACCCCATCTGCATACACCTCCCCAATGTCGGGGCGTGGAGAAGACAAAGGGCGCTCTGCGGGGCCATGGTCAGCGGTTGGAGGGGGCTCCCTGGGACTTCCCAATGCAGCTTGGAGCCCCAGCCTGCCCAGCCTCACCCTCCTGCACCTGCAGCCAGGTCCCTGAGCCCCCTGTCCTGTTCATTCAGGGTCCTCTTCCAGCACTGAGTGGTAGGTAGAAGGGCCCAGGGCCTCCTATGGTGGGTGTGTACCCTGCCAGGCTCCCCTCCCACCGTACTCAGCAAGCCCATGGAGTGACCCTCAGGACAGCCCTCCATCAGCGCAGGGAGGCCTGTCCTGACTACCCAGCTTCACCTGACAAGCACCTGCTGGGAATCAAGCCAGGGCCAGAGAGCTACACCCACAGCCCCCATTCGGGGTCCCCTGCACTGTTTGTGAGATCTCGGTTTGACCATAATTGAAACACAAAATGGCAAGCAGCCTTCTCTGTTGAGAAGAGCTAGGAGGGGTATCTTGTGAAATGCAAGGAGAGGAGCCCCCACACACAGAGGGGCCGGGGAGGGGGCTGGGCTGGCTGGCTCACCCGGCCTCCTGCCTCCCCTCCTGGGGGACCTAGCCTGCAGAGCTGACTCCCGCCTCTGTGGCCCCTCCAGGCCCCTCCAGTGCACGGGGGCATGCATGACGGGGTGGGGAGCGTCACATTCTGTGGGCCTCCTTGGCAGAGGGGACCGGTGTAAAACAACCCACAAAGTGAGAGGTGGTCTCCAGTCACCCCAGAAGAGTCCCATCCCCTTCCCAGCCTCCGTTGGCCTGGCAGAAACCTCTGGAAGGAGGCAGTGGCGTGTGGGTTGGTGCCTGTCGCCATCTCGCCCAGAGGGCCTGCTGCGGAACACCCACCTGCCTTCCGGAGGACAGCTGTGGTGGCTGCGGTCCCCAATGTGTTGCGCATGCTGCACGTGTACACCCCCAGGTCATCAGCAGTCACCACCAGGATGGTCAGGAGCTGGAAGTTCTTGAGCGTGGAGGAGATGAGGAGGCGGCCACTACTTTCCAGGGGAGCCCCATCTGCAGCAGGACACAGCAGGCCTGGGGGACAGCTCGAATATACACCCTGCCTTCTGACCCATGCCCTCCTGGGGTGTCAGGTTCCCTCTGCACAGTGAGAGCAATGCCCCCCAGGAGTACCCCCTCTCTGCACCTCAGCCCCAGGACACCTCCTTACCTTTACTCCAGGTGGCTTGTGCAGCTGGCTGGGCTGACACTTGGCAGGCAAGAGTCACCGACTGGCCCAGAACCACGGTTTCATCTGAGAGCTCCCTTAGAAAGGATGGTGCTGGGGAGCAGGAAGGGAGGCAGGGGAGCCTTCAGAGGTGACCCCCAACATGAGAACAAGGCCTGGACCACTGGGGCGGGGATGCAGGGAAGCCCACCCCCACTCAGCTCATCTTCAACACTGACACCTGCTCCAGAAATTCTTCCAAGATTGCCTCAACACTGGGACCAGAGCACCCGCCTCACCAATCTGGGCTCCAGCCCCTGTGGATGTAAGCTTGTCCCCTCACTGGTCTGGGCACCACAGCAGGGCTCCCATCCCTCCCAGCTGGGTCCCCTCGGCCACAGTGCGATTCAGCCCCCCAGGGCAGTGCACCCACCTCGGTCCCTGCTTTTCAGAGCCAGCCTAAAGGAGGCCAGGCCTGCCTTCTTCCTGGGGGGGCTCTCCTTCTCCGGACCTGCAGGGAGGAGGCCTCTGGAAGTCACACCCGAGGGGCCTGGCTGCCAGGAGCTGCCTGACACCCACAGTGTACTCCCACATGGGGCACAAGAGCCCAGACCCCAGGGAGCTTTGTTGCAGACGGGCTAAATCTGTTGTAGAGAGCACCCTCCTCAGCCGTCAGGATTGGTCTGTCCTGGGCAAGGACACCAGAGGCAGGTAGGACTGAGGCAACCGGTGCCTGGGGAGGCCTAGCCTGATTTGAATCTCTGTACCAGTGTCTCCAGGCCTCTTCAGGTCCCAACACCGGGCCTCAGACACACACAAGGGGTGGGGGTTGAGGCTACACAAGGGACCTCAGAAACAGAGGCCCGTGAGGGGACGGGGAGAGGACCCTGGAGCAGAGTGGCTTCTGTGTCCCCCTAGCCCTTCTCAGTGTGGGAAGTGAAGTGCCCCAAGGTGCAGACAAGACATCGGCCACCTGCAGGGTGGTGCAGAGGGGAGGGTGGGTGGGGGAGTCACCTTCGGGCCTGCCCTTCAGGAGGCGGGAGATGTGGGCCACTGAGGCCCTGACCCTCCGGCGCAGCCCCAGCTCCAGGGGCTCCTCCAGTGCATGCCTCCCGGGGAGGTGGAAGAGGCCACCGGAGGGGGGTGACCACTTCCGCTTCCTACTGCTGGTAGCCTCCGTGAGCAGGGCCTCCATGTCCTCTGGTTCCTCTGTGATCTGTAAGCTGGCCGGCGGACCCAGAGCACCTGGCCAGGGCCACGTGGTCTCTGGGAACTCAGCCAGCTCCTCCTCAGCGTCAGATTCCGGGGAGGATGGTGACTCTGCTTCCACAGGCTTGGGGACCTTCCTGAAGATCATGAACTCGAAAGGGAGGTACTTGATGTCATAGAGGTCGGACAAGTTGAGGTAGGCAGGCTCCACCTCTGAGATGTCCAGGGACACGGTGTCTGCTGCTTCTGAGTCCCCAGACAGGTCTCGGATCTGCACCAGGGACACCTGGGAGCCCCCGCCAAAGTCTTCCCATGAGCTCAGCTCTGGGGAGGCCCTTGGGGGTGCCCCGCTGCCCTCAGGAAGGGGCGCTGCAGTGGCCTGGGGTGGCGGGCTCTTGGCCCCAGCATCGTCATGCTCCTCTGAGGACTGAGAGGTGGCCCAGGCCATCCTGGCCCACAGGGGACCCTGGCCCAGCATGCCCCCTGCGTCCCCACCAAAGGCAAAGGTGCCGTAGCCAGCCACTCCTGCATAGCCCCCACGCCACCCCAGGGAGAACTTCCGTGTGGTGGCCTGCTCCTGAGGCCACTGTGGGCTGGGCTCCGGCTCTGATGCATCCTCCGGCTCCAGGGCCTTGACCTCAGTATCCTGGGAGGGGCCAGGCTCCATGCCCACCAGGGAGGCCAGCCCTGGGGAGCTAGGGGGACTCAGCCTCCTGGGGAGACGGGTCTCCTTTGGTCCCTCCATAGAGCCTGGCTGGGGGCTTTCTTGGGCTGGAAAGACGGGGGACTGGGTGTCCCCCAAGGGGAAGGTGCTCAAGGATGCCCGTTGGGGCCCTGAGCACTGCTCTGAAGGGAAGGAGCCAGAAAGTTGCGGTGTAACAGCCTTAGGGGGGCCACAGCCTTGCAAGGGAGCAGGACCCCACTGGGGATGGAAGGAAGGGGCGGGCTGCCCCGCACAGCTGTCCTGGGATGATCTCTCTTGCTGAGCGGCCCCCGGGTGGTCCCCGATGGACGGCAATAGTCTTGGCTCCTGCCAGGATCCCTCTGGACGCTCAATCTCCCTGGCACATGTGCCACCTCCCGGCGGGCTCTCCCCTGTCTGCAGGCCCGAGAGGGCCGGGCCAGGGCACTGCCCCCCCTCACAGGCCTCAGCGGAGGAGCTGGGGGAGTGTGGCCGGTCGAGCTCCAGGGAGCGGCTGCGGCAGGGAGCCCCGCGGGCGCTGGAGCCGGGCAGCTTCAGGGCTGTCTCGAAGGAGGGCGTTTTGGCCAGCAGAGCGGCCTGCTCCTCCCGGGCGGCTTCCTCCTCCAGCGTGCGATGCTCCAGCAGCGGCTCCCGCAGGCCGGGCAGGGCCCTGGCGAAGTAGCCGCCCTTGAGCAGGTGCCTCCGCCGCGCGGGGTGCCGCCTGCCGCCCGCGGCGGGGCCTCCGCGCTCCGGGGCCTCGCCCGCCTGCTGGTAGAAGAGGCTGCGGATGACGCTCTGCCGGGGCACGCAGCCCGGGGCGGCCGGCCCCTCTGCGCCTGGGGACGACGCGGGCGGAGGCGCGGCGGCGGCGGGCGCGCAAGCCTCGGCCTCCTCGGGCAGGCTGGCGGACGGCCGCAAGAAGCCCCGCGGGTGCAGCAGTGGGGAGTGGGTCACCGGAGAGGGCGGCAGCGATTTGGCCCGGGCGAAAGGTGCCAGCTCGTTGTCTGAGGACGAGGACGAGCTGCTGGAGGAGGCGCTGGCGTCGCCGCGCAGGTGCCTGGCCACCCCGAGGGATGGGCTGTCGGGTGGGCCCTGGAGCAGCTCAGGGATGGAGCGCATCACCAGGATGGACTTGTAGCTCATCAGGGAGCGCTGGGGGGTGCGGGGGACAGGGGCGCGTCAACCGCGTGTCGGCCGCCCAGAACGGGCACCCTGGAGCTGGTTGCCCTGGAGGCCCACTCCTCGTCCCTTAGGGCTGTGTCATTCCTTCCCTGCCCTGCCCGTTGCGCGTTGCACGCACCTCCGCCCGGACCCGGCAAGGCGCCTCAGAGAATGAAGGGTGCCCAGCCGGGCTTCTCATTCTCGCAGGCGGAGTGGGGATGCACCACCAGCCCTCTGGGCGGGTTTCCTCGTGGGCCTCCAGGAGCCACTTCACAGCTTTGCCCCCTCTGCGCCGCCCCCTGCAGCATCTCCTGCGGGGACCTCCCCACCCCCTCCATGAGGCTGCACTGCTTACCTGCCAGCGGCTGCGGGCCAGCAGGAATTTGAGTTGCTTCGTGTTGATGAAGTGGGCCTCCTCTGCGGGTATGGACTTCTGAGGGGGCCCAAGTAAGAGGGACGGTGAGCGGAGACTCTGGTGTACCCCGTGGCCCACACAGGCCTCCCCCCCCAACCACAACCCTGTGGCCTCAGTTTCCTTCCCTGTGCAGGCCTGCTTGAGCTTAGCCTTCTCACCTGGAACCAGGGGTGGGCCAGGCACTTGGCTGCACTGGGTCGGGCCCTGGGAGTAAAGGAAGGCCAGGGGTCATGCCAGGTGGTCAGCTGCCCCAGAGGCAGGTGTGTGAGAACCCCGGGCAAGGAAAAGGCAGCACACTCACTCTGGGGCCCTCTGCAGGGCAGCCTTGATAAAGTCCTGGGCATCCTCGCTGAGGTGGGCAGCCATGGGGCTGCTCCAAGACACCCGCCCCTCCAGCACATTCAGGAGGGTGGCTCGGTCACTCTCACCAGCAAATGGTGACGAGCAGGTCAGGCTGAAAGCAGAGACATGATTTTGCCTTCTGAGGTGACCTGGATTTCTGGATCCATAGGAGGCAGGTGGCCAGAGCAAATAGTCCTGGGTCTTTTACAAGGCCCCCAGTGGCCACAGAGCCACTTCCATCCAGCTCTGAGAATCCCAGAAGTGGCCTGAGATTTGACTAGAGATCCAGGCTCAGCCTGTGACAGGGATCAAGGGTCAACCTGGAGTATGTACCCAGCCTTAGCTTGAGGTGGAATCCAGGCTCAGTCTACACCAGCAGCCTCCTCCAGGAAGCTGTAACTGTTAATGAGGGGGCTCTGGGCAGACTGCTTGGACCCTTTAGGGAGACAGCTCAGGGCTTTTCCTGGTGACTTGGCCGAGCTCCTCTGGGCCACAGGGCATAAGGAAAGAGCTCAGCAGAAACCACTTATCAGAGTTGGCTGACCGCTGGTTCCCATAATAGCTGCCCTTTGGGTCTTAGGTCTTCGATCTGGAGAACAGCCAGTAGTGCTCATGGCCTGTCACAAGCCTGATGGGGAGGGGACCTGGGCTTGGCATCAGAGGGTGTGGCTGACAGAGGCAGGGGTCTACTCACCTGAGGTAGGAGATGACCCCCATGGCCCTGCAGGAACGAAAGCACAGTCGTGAGTCACCCCATGCCTGGGCTTGGGACAAAGGATGTGCTTGGAGCTGGGAGATATAGGAGGAGGGGTAGAGGCTGTGTTTGTGGGGGGGGGGGGCTGCTGGCATCCCCAGGGGCCACTCACTCACCAGATGTCGGAGGCCTCGCTCACAGGGGTCTGCTCAATGATCTCAGGGGACACAAACTCCGGGGAGCCATACTTGCTGTACTGTGGCTCCTCTGGGGTGATTTTTTGGGCAAAGCCAAAGTCGCAGATTTTAATGTCCTCCCGAGCGTGATGCACCATCAGGATGTTTGGGGGCTGTGAGACAGAGTCAGGGAAAGGGGAGGCTGTGCCCTAAGGAGGTGACTCGCAGGGAACACGTAGGGGTCTGTGAAGGGCCGTCCCAAGGCAACGGTGAGTGAGTGGGACAGTGGGCAGTCTTGGGGTAGGCTTTAGTGCTATTTGGTGACAGCTTCTGATTCATCCGAGCTGTATCCCACATGAAATCACTCTGCATCCCAGAGTCTGGAAGTGCTAGACCTGTGTCTACCACCTGTTCCCCCCACCTGCAGGATCCCTCCCTGGCCCCTGGGGGGCCCCAAGAGGTCAAGCACCTTTATGTCCAAGTGGAGAATACTCTGGCTGTGCAGATACTGCAGCCCCTCCACCAGCTGCTGGATGTACACCTTGACCTGCAACCGAGGCCAGGGCTCAGGGGACAGCCATCATCCACCTCCCGCTCTGTTCCCCCCAGATCTGAGCTGGGCATGGTCCCTGGGGCAGGCTGTGTGCAAAGCCTCCCAGACCCCCAAGGCCAGGGGATTCCTCCGGCCCGGAAGTGGATGGGCCTGCAAAGCGGGAAACACCTGCTGTCTCAGGAGCTGGTGAGAGATGGCCCCACTGGCCAGGTGGCGTCTGGGAGGGGAAAGCAGCGACCCCCCAGGAGGGGGGTGCATGGGAGGGCTTCGAGAGCTCTACTGAGGAGCTGCGACACCCTGTGAGGCCCTGGGGAACCCCAGAAGGTCTCTGAGCTGGGGTGTACTGGGCATGGCCAGGGAGAGCAGGACACAGTGCAGTACCTCAGCCTCTGTCACGACACTCTTCTTGAACAGCCGGTCCAGCAGCTCCTCTGAGGAGCACCTGGGGCTCAGGTCAAGAAAAGCACTGGAGTCTAGAACCCACCTGGCCCCACACACACGTCCTAGCTTGGGGTGAGCCTGGGGGCCAAGCTGGGGAGGTTAGGGGCTGGCTGAGGAGGACAGGAGGGACAGGGACCCCAAAGAGGTGGACTGAGGTCAGCAGGCAGCAGCAGAGTGGGAGGGGTGAGTAGGGCATGTGCACCCCTCCCTGGAGCTGCCTGTGGACCCTCAGCATTAGCACTGGCTGGGTGTGGCCAGTAATTCCGATCTCCTGGTTGTGGCTCTGTGGAGTGTGAGAGGGGCCCAGTGAAGGCCTGTCTTGGACCTTGTGTACTCAGCCCTGCCACACAGTACCGGGAGCTACAAGGTCAGGGCTGTGTCCAGGGACACCCGAAAGCAGGCCTCACGGGGGCCCTCGGGCCCATGCCTGCCCAGGGCCTGCGCGTGCCCCCCTTTTCACGACTGGATACAGCTCCAGGATGAGGATCAGGGTCTTCCGGGTCTCAAACTGGTCCAGCAGCCCTGTGACCAGTGGGTGGCTGAGCGTGGCCAGGATGTCTCTCTCGCGGTAAGCCTGAGTACGCGTCCTGCTCCGCAGGGGAATGAACTTGGCTGCACAGAACATCTGGTTTCCCTTGTGCTGCACCCTCTTCACAAAGCCAAACACGCCCCTGGGAGGAAGGGAGCCGCGCTGGTCTCACGGACGCTGGGCTTCCCGGGGACGGGACTGGAGGAGTGGTGGAGCTCTGTGGTTCCAGGGGATACTAGGGGCACCTGGGGAAGGCGGGTGCTCCGTGGGGGTGGGGCTACCAGGGCGCAGGGGTTCCCGGGGCGCAAGGGTTCCAGGAGATACTGGGGGCACCTGGGGAGATGGCAGGTGCTCTGTGAGGGTCAAGTTTCCCAGGATGCGGGGGTTCCTGGGGAGCAGGGGTTCCAGGGGGTGCTTGGGGCTTCCCGGGGCGGGGTCTGTGGGAAGGGGCTCTGGGAGGCAGGGATTGAGGAGCAGCAGGGGTGGATTTCTGGACAACACCTTCCAATTTCCTCCTTGACCTCGTAGAAGGAGTGCAGCTTCCTTCGATAGCTTTGCTTCTCAGAGTCAGGCTGGCTGTCTCCTGCAGTGGAGGAAGGGGAACCATCCGTGTGGGTAAAGATGTCCACTTCCCCCCAGCTATAGCATCCCTGTGCTGGACCGCACTGTGCTGGAACCCAGAGGGGCCGCAGACTATCCCGCCCGTGCCCTCCAGGAGCCAAGATCCGGCTTCTGGGAGGGATCACCGGACTCACCCCCATGGACCACCAGCTCCGCTTTACACAGCACCTGGCCACCAGCATTTTGGGCCAGACAAGTGTAGACGCCAGCGTCCTGCTGGGTCACATCCCTCAGCACCAAGGAGTATGTGGTCCCTTCCTGCTGCTGGCTGAGCCGGGCACCATCCACCAGCTGGGCATCATCCTGGGGGCACAGGCAGGCAGCACGGCGGTCAGCCCAACCTGGGGACCCTTGCCCTCAGGTGAGTGCTTTGCTATCGGGTGGGAATGCCACACACTCGCCAGTCCCAGTCCCCAGCCCAGCACCTGTCCCTACCCGGTACCAGGTCACTGTGGGCTGCGGGTTGCCCTCGATGACCGCTTGGAACTGCGCCATGCTGCCCCTCTGTGCCTGTACATCCTCAATAGTGACCTGCATGGACGGGGGCCCTGGGGTGCAAGAGACAGCCCGTGGGGAGGGGTCCAGGCTGTGTGTCCCCGCCCTGCATTGAGTCTTGGAGCTGGGGCTTGCAGTAAGAGACCACCCCCTCCAGTGGGCTAGCAATGACCTCCCTGTCCTGTCCTGCCCTGCGATATGCCCCAGGGCAACAGAGCCCCCCTTCGCTCCCTAATGGAGACACCCCCCCCTAACTCTGCCCAGGCCTCTGATGGTTAAGAAGTGCCTCCTTCCATCTAGCCTCTGTCTCTCCTAGCTGTCCAAGGGCAGGACATTCAGAGCATTCCAATGCCTGCTGGGGAAGGTGGCCCCAGCATCCAGTTCACTGTCAGCCTCTCACCCCTCCCAGGTGACAGCTCTCACACCTCCTTGGGGGGATGTGGGGGCAGTGAGGTCCCCGGCCACAACAAGGCTGGGACAGACCAGGTGGCTCTGCAGATTCCTCTGCACAAGCATACCTCCGCCAGTCCATGGCATGGGGAGCACACACAGACCTGACCCAGTAACCCCCCACCTACTTGTGGCACCCGTGTCGCTGGCCTGGTACACGTATGTCCGATGCTTGGTCTCCGTGAACACCTGGCTATGGATGTCCCAGAGCTCCACCACGCCTGCCCCCGGCCAGGCTGTGCCCTCCATCCTGTGGTCATGGAGTGGGTTGAGCTGTCTGTCCTTCTCTTAAACCTCTGCAGTGTGGGCAGCTCTGCCTGCCCCATCCCCTGCACTGCAGCAGATTTTTAGGGAGGGGATGTACAGAGAGGGGATCCAGCCCCTAGTGAGATGAGGACTCCACCCAACACCCCTCACCCTGAGGGCAGCCTCTCTGCTCTGCCCTGCCCCTGGGATGTCCCCTCATGAACTGTCCCCACCCAGCATGCCAGGGAGGTTACCGGATAGGCACAGTGAGTCCCTGGGCCTCAGCGTGGGCCCCCACCTCCTGCTCCTGGCCCTCCTGGGGGAGAGGCTCTGGCACCTTCTGGAGCTCAACTGGTAGGAGACAGGGGCTTAGTGAGAGGGAGCTTAGGATAGAGATGAGACTGTCCCCCATGATGTGTCCCCCATGTCATCCTCCAGGCCCAGAGGAGAGACTGTGGGGGAACAGGGCCCCTGGGGGTAAGGACAGACCGGGAATACCCTTCCCCAAACCCAGGGGTCCCCACTTCCCTGCAGAGCCCAGATGCCAAGGCACTCTTCTGTCCTAGCTCCTAGCCTGGGCCAGCAGCCTCACGGAAGGGTCCCAGACAATGGCCATCCTGACAGCCAGGTGCAGGAGCTTCTGGGCAGGGGAGGGGCCCCAAGGCAGCATCCCTGGGGGTTTCATCTGCCCAAGGTGGTGGGAGGGATCTACCTCTCCTCTCCTTTCTCCTCCCTCTTCTCCTCCCTCCTCCTCCCTCCTCCTCCTTCCTCACCTTCTCCTTCTTCTCTCTTCTTCCTCCTCCTCCCACTCCTCCTCCTCCCTCCTCTCTCTTTTTGTTCTCCTTCCTCTTCCTCTCTTTCTCTCTCCTCCTCTCTCCTCCTCCTCCTCCCCCTCTTTCTCACCTACCCAGGAGCACATGGTACTCAGGCTGTGTGCCCAGGACTGACCACCAAAGCCTCTGGCTTCCAGGACAGATATATTCTGGGTGGGAAGAACCTCCGCGCACCCACCCCCCTGCCTAGCTTCACAGATGGGGAGACTGAGGCTGAGCTATGGTGGGCTTTGTCCAGGTCCCCTAGTGCATGGAGCCATTGGGATATCAGGGTCCCCAGGTTCTTCCCATTCACCCTCAGAGGATAGATACCTGGGGTGGCCAAGGTTGGGGCCAGCACAGGGGAGACCCTGAGAGCAGGTGGCACTTTGTGATCAGCCTGAGGCCACTGGGCCACACCAGATGCATCTGCAGCCTCTGTGCCTGGGAGTTGGGGGCCAGCCTCCTGGAGTTTGGGTGCTCCCCTAGAGCCAGGGCTGGAGCCAGCATGGTCCCCTGTGGAGGGTCCTGGAGCTTTGGGGCACACCAGCGTCCTTGGAACAGATGTAATCTCCTGGTCTGTTGTCTCCAGGGCAACTGGGGGAGGGGCAACAACATCTGTGGGAGAGGTGGGTCAGCATGTAGGGATAAGGGGTGGCCTGTGCCCAAGGAGAGGGCTCTAGAAACCTTGTCTCAGTGCTCAGAGGCTGCCCCAGTGAGCCATCTCTGGGCTGCCCTTCCCACCACCAACCCACCCTACCACACACGCAAGACAGTGAGCTCAGGACTTTTGAGAACATGTGAGCAACTCTGAGAACACATGGATCTGGATACCTGCCTTCTGCCTTGGTTCTGCCCCTCAGTCTCAGTTCATCCCATCCCTTCACCCTGTGACTGCCTCCACACCATGGTCCACTCCAGACCCCAGGGTACTGGGCCACCCAGGCCCAAGGGGACCCAGCCCCACACTCTAGGGAAGACTGGGGACAGCCTGATGATGTCAGGGGCCAGGGGGTCCTTCCTGCACTCCCACTGGCCTCCCAGACCAGCCATGCCTGTAGCAGCCTCCCCTCCACCTTCAGCCTGGCCCCACTCAGGCCACAGCACCCTCACTGGCTTCCTGCCCTCAGCTCCTGGTGCATTTTCCTCCTCCACCTGGGGGTCATTCTTCCTGTGGCCATGGCACAGCCTCCAAAAGGCCCAGGGATGCCTACCACTCCATTCCTAGCAGGTGCCCAGCCTGGAACTTTCCCCTGCCCCAAAATCTCTCTCTTATTCATCTTCTACATTCTCAGACCCTTGAAGCTGGAGAAGCGACTGGGCAAGCTGCTATCTGTGTGCCTTCCAGGACACTGGGGCACCCATCTCATCCTTCCCCAGTCCAAGGAGGTCAGCAGACCCCAGACACATCACAGCCTCCGTGCCCATCTTACTAACAACCCCCAATGCACAGATGGTAGGGAGGCCTGCTCAGCCTCCAGCAGGTTGGGAATGACCACCTGTCCTGTCACAAGGTAGCACCTGTGACCAGCTGCACAGTCTGTGTGAGCAAGCTCCACTGGCGAGCTGTCACGCCTCTACCCAGGGACCCCAGGATGGGCCAGAACCCACAGGCTGGTGCCAGAGGCCACCAAGGGCTGCTACTGGTGGGTCCCCAGGGCCAGACATAGAGGGCCCTCCCCCACAAGTCGCCGGAGCCACTAGGCAGAGAAGCAAGAAAGCAGAGCAGACACAGTGCAGGGAACCAGTTTATTGTCATCAGGGGCATCTGATGGGCCACTTCCCATGCACAGACCCTGGTCTGCCCTGCAGAGAGGCTCTGGAGGTCCTGCAGGGATGTGCCCTGCACAGACCTCCCAGAGGCCAAGAGAAATGTTCATGGTGAAGATGTGGCTGGGGGGCCTCCAGCTGAAAGGAAGACCAGGACCCTAGCCCGGAGCAGACAGGGCTCACCTGTTATCCCGGCCTTATGAATATGGCCAGACAGTGTCCCTGACCTATGTCTGGAGTCTTGAGCCCAGAGCTGCATCTGTCAGTCTCTCCAGCCTGTGCCCTTCAGAGGCTTCTGTACTTCCTGAGACTCCAAGTCTGTGCACAGTGTCCTCAACTGGACCAGGCCTCATGAGGTAGCAAGTGCCTGGGGCAGAAGAGGCAGGCAGGCTCCAGCCCTGAGTTCTTCAAGAGTGGGAGGGAGGGTCAGAGCACACGTGTCCATGGGGCACTGGCTTCCTCCACACAGCCCCAGTGGCTGCATTGGGATGCCCATCAGCCAAGCCCCTGACGCTCATAGCCTCAGCCCTGGGAGGGGCTGGGGGCCTTATCCCCATCAGGGCGGATGTGCAGGGTAACTGTCTCGCCCACTGTCCCAAAGCTGACTGTCTGGGTGGAAACCTCCGTTTTGAAGCTACTCTGACCACTGTCTGCAGACCGCTGGACCTGGGTGCAGAAGGACGGTTTCCAGGATGTAGCACCTCCAGCCCTCACCTCCTGCACACAGAAGGAAACTCCAGTGGGGTTGAGGACCTGGGGCCCCAACGGAGATGCCTCCTGGTGACTGAAAAAGCTAGATGGGCCTCGCAGGCCCAGGGGACGGCCCACATTGAGCAGGACAGGCTGCCCCACTGTGGGCTCACTGATCTCTCTCTGAAGCACAGAGACCTCACAGGGTGGGTCATCAGAAGTGCTAGGCACTGGGCCATGGCAGCCGAAGGTCTCCCCCTCCTGGGGCACGTAATCCTCCAGGTCAGCCAGTGTCAGTACTCGGCCATCGTGTGTGAGGATCTTGGGGTCACGGCCCCTAAGGCTGTTGGTGCCCTGGGGCTCCTCAGTCAGGAGGGTATCTCCTCCCTCCATCTCCTCCAGGGGGGCCTCTTCTTCAGCCACTTGGGGAGGGAACGGTTCAGGGGTCTCCTCTGGCCCAGCATCCATGCAGAAGATGAGAGGCTCTCCAGTGTTGACCATGGTTTGGCCCTGGGCCTGGGGCTCCTGAGACACTAACTTGTTGTTGGAGTTGTTTGCATTGGAGTCTCCTATGGGCGTCCCACCAGGCAGTGTGAAGAGGAGCCCTGTGGAGCTGTCAGGTGCCTCTCTGGCAGGAGATGCACCCCTGGAACTTGTCTTCTTCACCTGGACTTCAATAGTCTCCTCGACCTCTACCCACTTGGGTTGGGGCCTCGTGCCTTGGAGCAGGGCTGACGTGTGGGATTCAGGCTCCGTCACATACAGCGTGGGCACAGTGGGCCTCCAGCTTGGCTCCACCTTGGGCTTGTGGGACTGGCTGGCTCCCAGTGAGTAGAGCAGCTCGGGGGCTGACTGGCCTGGCCTGGGTGGGCTGGCAGTGCGGCGTGAAGGCGAGCGGGAAGGGGACTTGTTGGGGGACCGGCGCCGGCCACGGGGGCTCTTCACCACGGTGGTGATGGTCTCCTCTCTGCAGGGAGAGGGCCAAGAGGAAATGTGCACAGAGACCTGCAGCCTTGCTCAGCGCCCACACCATCAGCACATGCAGGGGCCACATGGGTGATTGGGTTAGTTTACTAGCAAGCAAGTGGTGTCACTGCACAAACTCTTACACATGTGCTTAAGCCCAACCTCTGGAACCCCCAGAGAACCAAAGAAACAAAGCACAAAGCTAACCTCAAACTCTAGTGTGCAGATCTCAAAACAAGAGTTGAGGCATCAGAGGAGGCCCATGCCACATTACAAGGTGCCTCCAAACCCCAGACTGAGTCTGGTTTACAATGTCTCATTGTGCCAGCCTCTCCTCCACTTATGGCCATCTCATTTTGGAGATTCTAGTGCTCTTTGTGCAGTTAATGGACAGGGATGCAGGCACACAGCCATATGGCCTTCCATGTCCGTCCCACCAGTGCTTTGTGCTTTATATCATGTGGGTGACACCAGTGAGCTCTCAGAGATCAGGAGCCATCCTTAAGATGTAAATAATAGAGATGCTCCCTTCATGGATGAAATGTGGAGTTAATCTGTGTAAGTCTCTGACACAGTCTCATACCTCCAGGGATGGGGTAGTTATTACTGCCCCATATATTGTGGGGCAGCAACCTGCTTGGGAGAGGAGGGAGGAAGTCAAGGAAGGGTTAACCCAGAATCGGACCAAATGTCTGGTGATAAGATTCTCCATAACTTGGCCAACAGAAGGCCCCTTTAGGAGGTCATAGGCCCATGAGGAACCAACCAGAGTTTCCCAGTCATTTGGTCTTAGATCAGTTTTTCTTGTCCCCTGCCTTTTGCAAGCTTTCCCACAGTCTCCACCTGCACACACTTCCACTGCACCTAGTGGAAGTCCTCTCAGATCATCCAGGTCAAAACCAATTCTGCTTTCTGTGGGTTCACTCAGCTCCAAAACTCTTGTGTTATTTTTAAAAAAATTTTTTAATGTGTTTTATTTATTTCTGAGAGAGAGACAGAGGAGGATACAGAATCCAAAGCAGTCTCCAGGCTCTGAGCTAGCTTTCAGCACAGAGCCTGACATGGGGCTTGAACCCACAAACCGTGAGATCATGACCTGAGCCGAAGTTGGACACTTAACCGACTGAGCCACCCAGGCCCCCCACCTCTTGTGTTATTTAACTAGCAACAACCCCAGCCTTGAAGGCATCAAAGAAGGGGACAGTGGGCGTGGCACCGGGGAAAATGGGTTATCATCTGGCTTCCAATCATGAGCCACCCTAAGCAAGCCTTTTCTCTTCCCTGAACCTGAGTTTCCCCATCTCCCTAATCCTAGGTTTGGACTTGGAGACATGTAAGGGATCTATAGCTGTGCTACCCACTAGGGTTACACTATTTTAATTAAATGCAAGTTAATGAGAATAACTAAAATCATTTCTTCAGTCACACTTGACACATTTGAAATACTTGGTAGCCACCTGTGGCTAGTGGCTGCTCTTGTAGTGTGCAACATAGAGAATACTTCCAACGTCACAGAAAGCTCTGTTGGACAAAAATGTCCTAGATACTAGGGTTCTGTGTAGAATTCTGCTTCTAGCCCACTATGGGAAACAGCTCTCAGTCCCAGCTCCAAACTAACTGGTGTGATTCTGGGTCCAAGCTGGCTGAGCAGCTGTGAAATACACAGAGTAAGTCTACCCTGCGGAGGCAATGGAGCCATGGAGGCCCTGGAAGAGAGAGCTGTGAAGTGTGAAGGTGGCCAAGGGCCCAGGGGAAAGTGGTGTCCTCTGAGGCTTCTGCAAAGTGCTGACAGTCTGCGTGGTGAGTAAAAGCCATATGGGCAGGTAGTCAAGCATGTGGCCGGGCCACATGGGCAAGGTCCAGATGGGTTAGTGGGCATGCAGGGGAGCACTGCAGTCAGAAGGAAAGTTAGGAACACGCCTGCACTTACATGATGACGGTTTTCTTGGGGACTTTAGTCTCCTGCTCAGTGACTACAAAGAAAACAGTCAGAATTGCGAGGGTTACAGATCAGCCAGCGCTCAGGAGCTGAGCCATTTCAGTGGCATGGTAGTGTAGTAACCTAGTTGGCCTAGGAGCACTGGATACCAGCCCTGTCTGGCCTGTCTGTCTCAGCTTGGAGCCCCAGTTCTGTCATATTTCAAATGGAGATGACAGAGCCTTCTCTGAGTGTCTGGAGGATAAGGGAGTATGACATCAATGTGTCTCACATGAGGAAATGAGGATCTTGTAGTGACTGTAGCAAGAATAGGGGCCCAATCGACTGTCCACACAGAAATTCCAGCTCCTTCTTCAGGATCCCTGTGAATTTGTCAAACCTAAGGTCCCATTTCTCAGACAAAAACTGAAAGCTAGGAGTCGGGGAAGGAATGGCTCATGGGAGCCAAACTGGGACTGGGATGGCTAGTGCCTGTCTTATAAAAAATCCTAAAGAACAAAGGCATCTCTCCAGGGAGGTGGCACATATGACCTTTGTAGCATAAGGCAATGGAAATCCCATCAGGAGCAACCAGAAATGCCCGGACAAGGTCCTGAGCTCCAAGCGAGGAGGGAAACCTAGGTCTCCCTATAGAAGGTACCTACAAACTCAACTCCCTTGATTGTATTAGCTTTCCACCCCCTGGACCCAGCATATGGAGGACCTGTGTCCCAGAGACAGGATAAGACTTATCTGGGACCAAGCAGCACCTATTCCCACCCATCTCTAGGCCTCTTCCTCTGCAACTTCTGGGCAGGTCCAGGTTTGCCATGGAGATGCCCCCTCCCAACAACACTCTGCTAGACAGCAGGCAGTCCAGTGGCTACTGGTACCCTCAGTTCTCAACAGTCCCATTTGTCAACCTGGGGACAAAGCTCAGTGGGATGCTCAGAAAAGTCAAGTGGCATAGCCTGGGGCACAGTGCACACAGCACCCTGGCTTCGTGTGTGGGGTTTTAGGCTTTGCTACAATGCCACAGAGAAAAAGGATTTTCCTTAGATGAACAAGAATATTTTTAAACTTGTCTCTGATTCATTGCACATGAATTAAATGTGCCAGTCATATCTGTATGGACCTTGGGGGCCTCATTTACTTGTGTATACGTGTGCACACAAACTTGTCCATGCACACACATGTGTATGTATGCACATGTGTGTGTTTGTGCTAGCTGCTTCCTGGAGATGAAAGCCCCCTGTGAGAGAGAATGGGATGCAGCCCAATATTCTCTGTGTGTGTGGCTTCAGTTGGGTCCAGAGAGAGCCAGCCTGTTTGCCATCTTCAGACTGGACCCTGTGTGCAGAGCTCCTTTCCTTGTTGCCCCCCATGACTGGGGTCCCATCCTGCTGCTCTATGGGGTGGTGGTCAGGACACATCTTGGCTGCCTGGTGCCTTTGTTCCTGAACTGGCCTGCCACCTGATGGGCTCTAAGCCCCAGTGAGTACTGGCAGCTATTGGAGAGGTGCAGCCATGCGAAGCAGGATTCCCGGCCCAGTGCAGTTGCACAAGCTAGGGGGCAGTGCCCATCCCAGAAGGCTGGCCAGGGCTGCAGAGCCACCAGGTTAAAGATGAAGCAGCAGGATAGAGTTAGGAAGCGGGAGGTGCTGGGCTCCAACTCCTGGGTCTGTGAGGACCAGCCTTCTTGGATGTGAGGCACCACATTCCTGGCACCGGGCGCCTGCCCCTCTTCCAGGCTCCACAGCCGTCAGACGTTGACAGAAAGTGACCCATCATGACAATGAAGTGAATGCTTCTGTAGGACACGCTTGTTTCCAGCCAGAGAGGGAGCACTGAGGTCCATATGCAGCACCTCTCCTACATGAGATGCTATGCTGCAGGAAGTGCAGGTGCCTGCAGACACCACAGGGCCCTCTGGGGGGTAGGAACAAGGAACCCAGCCCACTCTGTGATGGCTGTGGAGGATCTCAAGGGCTGTGAGGCCAAGCTCCAGGTGCCAAGTAGGCTGACTGTGGGAGGGTCTAGACAGACAGAGGTGCCCAGACATGGGGCCCCAGGAGGGACTGGATCCAGTAGCCCAAGGCATCACAGAAGTCAACATTCAGGAGTTGAGAGGACATATATTCCAGCCCTTCCTACTGTGGGAGCTGCAGCTCCACCAAGTGCTAGTCCAGCCTCTGCTTGCATGCCTCCAGGAACAGGAGCCTTACCACCTGTCAGGGTAGCCCCTTCCAGGTGGGGCAACTTGAACTGGGAGAAGCTGTCCCTGGGGCTGCACCCTGCCCCCATAAGGCTGCTCTCTGGAACTGAGCAGGCCCAGAACAGATTCCAGGTGCCCCCCGCCCTATCCCAGCCATTCTTAGACAGGGCTCAGCTGGCGCCCTGGACCCAGGCATGAGTGGAGGGGTGAGGTGTCCTGCCACCCCTTCACCTCCCACCCCGGAGCACATTTCCCCCTAGTGAGACGCATTCCAGGAACCCAGGGGCCACCTCCCAACCAAGTTAGGGAGGCAGAGCCACAGCATTCTGTTTTTTCCATTAGCAGCCCAACCCTTATACCACTCCCTCTCCTGGGGGCCAAGCTAAGACCCAGCAACCTAGTGCTCTGCACTCAGCAAGTCCTTGGTGAAGCTGTCCTACCTAATGTTCCTGCTGCCCATTACACGGCCTGGCTGGCCCCTGCCCAGCAGCCTGCCTGGCCCAGATAAGACTTTTCTACACACTCATCACTGCCCCCAGGATGGTAAGATGAGGCTCCCCACCTCCAGGACAGCCCTCCAGCCTTGCTGAAGCTCTGGGTTCATGGCTCACCTCATGCTGCCCAATAGGGCGCTGGGACCCAGCCCTTCCTCTATGGCCTCTACATCCCCTCCTCTCCCGGCCAGACCCCTCCTTGGCCTTCACTGCCCCTCCTCCGAGAAGCACACCCTGACTGGAAAGGCCGGTGGTTCCCCCCCAACTCGGCCGCACAGCACTTACCTTCCACAGCTGCAAGCTGCTCCCTGCGACGTTGTTCCCGGGCCCTCATGGCAGGGCTCTGCATGCACAGCTCTGCCCCGCCCCTTGCAGAGCCCAGCCTGTTCACCAGCTACAGGGCAGATGGTAGGAGCCTGCTTAGAGCCTGCAGCTCCCTGGGGACCATGCAGGCCATCTGTAGTGGGGGGCCATCCCTGGCTGTGTCCCACAGGCACAGAGCCCGTCACCAAAGAAAGGGTCTCCACATAGACCCAGAACTGCCCGGGACTTTCCTAGGCACTGGGGACACTCTATCTACACACTTCATCACCGTGGCCACATGGGCCTAAGCACTTGACATGGAACTGACTCATTACCTACAGTTAACATTGATTTTGATTCAAATTGTGTGTGTTGCCAGTAGTGACTGAATTGGACAGTGTGGGTTCAGAGCTGGCTTGCCTATGTGCTCCCCCAGGAGCCTCGTGGCCCCACCCTGACTACCACCAGTGGCTACATGGAGGAGGCTTGTAGCCAGGAAGAGCCAGAGCCTGCACACCTTCCACAGACCAGCCCTGGCCCTGCAGGTGGGCAGGTGGCTTTGGGAAAAGAGAGGATGCCACCTAGGGCTCCCATCTGGGTCCCTGTCCCTTGTCATGGACACTGGATGGTGGGCCAGGGACCCCCTCCCTCACTGGGGATACTGGGTGATGATGGGCCAGGGTCTCTCCCTCATCAGAGACCATGGGTGATGGGGGCTGGGGTCCCTCTCTCATCAGGGACACTGGGTGATGGGGGCTGGGGTCCTTCCCTCATCAGGGACACCGGGTGATGGGGCCCCAAGCTAGGCCCCCCAGCTGCCCTCGTGCCCGCCCACCTCACCTCACACTCATAGTGGCCCAGGTCATCCTTGCTGGCTGCCAAGATCTCCAGCACCAGCAGGCCGCTGCGGGGCTCACTCAGGGTTCGGTACTTGCTGCTGGGTGTCAGCAAGGCCCCATCCTTGTACCACCTACGGCCAACCCTAGAGTGTAAGGCAGGGCCACCCCAGCCTCCCCCACTCGAAACCCTCCTCTCACCCCCACCCTGCAGTCTGGGCTTGCACCTGGAGCCCACATTTTCCCAGCATCCCACAGACCGTGCCCCAGTCCCATGCTGCCTGGCCTACCTGATCTGGGGGTGTGGGGCGCCTTCGATGGTGCAGGTGACCTGAGCATCCTCTCCCTCCACAAAGGGCACCGCCCGAACCTTTTTCACAAACCGTGGGGGAACTGCGGGGCCACCAGGTGGGGGAAGGAGAAGTGACAGAGAGAGGCAATGTGATGGTGCAGGACCCTACCCTACCCCCACCAGTGAGTCCCCCAGACGTGGGTTGGAATCCACATGGCCACATCAGCCCTGCCCACAGGCCTGTGCCCCCCAGGGAGCCCCCTGACCCGAGGTGGAGCAGAGTCCAGATGCCCCACACCCCAGCCTCCCTCCTAGGGCCCACCTTGCACCAGGATCTTGCCCAGGGTGCTGGCATTGCCTGCAGCACTGGCTGCGAAGCACATGTACTGGCCGGAGTCCACTCCAGTCAGGTTGTCCAGAATGAGGGCACACGAGCCATCGGGGTCCTCGATGAGGATGTGGTGAGGGTCCACCTCCACTGGCTTCCCATCTGGAAAGGCAGGCAGGGCTGTCATGGAGGGGACCCTTCTGGGGACAGGAGGCTGGCCTGCCTGGGGGTCGCATTTACAAGGCAGTGATGGGGAGCACTTCTGGAGCACGAGGGTGGAGCACAGACTCCTGTCAGGGAGCCCGGCTGGGCAAGGAGTGCCATTCCTTTCCCCAGACCTCTGTGCCCAGAGTGCAGCCTTGCAAAGTAGGCTCCTAGCTGGAGGCAGGGGCCGGGCGGAGCGACCTGATCCCACAGACCATGTGCCATCCTGGCACGCAGACCGTCTCTCATCTGCTCACTGGTCCCATGACTCCCTGGGACCTCACCCAGCAGACACGCTCAAACACTGCCCATGTCCCTCATCACCATCTGACCAAACATCTCCAGCCGTCATGTGATTCTCCCCTGGGTGGAGGTGGGGGAGGGGTGCGTCTTTCCCTGTGAGGAACTCTGTCCTCCATAAATACCTAGAACTTCACAGGTGAACTTGTACGTGCCGAAAGGCGCTGCTTAAGTGATAAGGGTCCACAAGCAGCATCGTGAACCCCGAGTCACGGGAACCCTGGGAAGTGCTTCTAAGCCACATCAAGTGACCCAGTGACTTCTCTGTCAAGGAAGAGGGCCCAGGCAGGACCACAGAAGCCCGGCATCTCTGGAAACCCAGGGTTTCTCCCCTGGGGGGCAACCCCCTGCCTGCAGTTAACTTCTGGCCCCCAAACGTGGGGACTGACACATGTGGCTCCAGCCAGAGGGCCTTGTTTTCAGTCGGTATCTGGCTGGGCTTGTGGTTCCCAAGCAGGAACACACTCCAGACCATTCATGCTTCGGTGACAAGAAGCGATGCCATTAGGGACACACAGTATTCCAGAAGTGAAAGGAGGAGGAAGATAAATAGAAGATCCTGCTGGGCCAGGTAATGGGACCCACGACAGGTCTGTGGAGCCAGTAGCAGACAGTGCGAGGTCCACTGGGCCCTCCTCCGTGGCCTGTTGATGAACTGCCATGGGGCCAGAGGCAGCAGTCTGGGCACTGAGAAACAGGTTCACAGGTCCCTGGGTGGTGCCATGGCTGACACCCTCTCTCCTGATGCCTGAGATCGACTGGCTTCCTCACAAACATGAGAGCCCATGCTGGGTACAGTCACCAAATCTGGACGGGCAGAGGGCAGGAGGGCCGGCACCTGGCCTGGGAGGCAGGGCACTGGAAGTGAGTGAAGGACTCCTTCAGATGACAGCAGAGAACCCATGTCCCCACAGGGAGCTGTGGATGTCTGTCCTATGGGCTGGTGGCACCTCCACAATGTCCTGACAGGCTAGAGGAGGAGGAGGTGAGCCGAAGGATGTAGGAGCATTCAGACAGGTGGCCCTGCCTCCTGTGAAACCACAGAGAGGATGGGGGATGGGACTAGCAGATACCCCATCGGCAAGGTTACCACCTTGCATGTGGATCCCCAGCCAACCACGGGGCACAGAGCCTTGGACGGCGACGTGATGTGGCTGTTAAGTCAACATCCCCGAAGCCGAAACAATCTCTGCAGAAAAGCTCTCACTGCTCCAGTCAGAGCTTTGGGTGGGCCCCAAACGTGGGACATTACTGAGCCTTGGAAGTGTGTGGTGTCTTCCTGGCTCCCCGTTCTCTTCCTTCTTGTCCACCCAAACCCGACAGGTGAGCCTTGGCACCCCGTGTCCAGAGACCTCAGGCAGGGAAAGCTCAGATTTCCACAGCACCTGCATCCACTCACGGGACTTGATTGTCACCTTCAGGCCAAGTCAGAGTTCTGTGGCTGCAACTTATACCTCTGGACCCAATGTTTGTGGTCTGCAATTCCCTGGCCAAACCGAACGTGAGGAGGGGACATTCCAGGTGCGGACTAGCCGGAAGCAGAGGTGGCTGTGGCCACCAGAGGGCGCAGTTGGTTGGCGGCAAACGCGGCTGCTCCTCTGCCTCCAGCTTGTGTAGACAGGCTGGCTTTAAGGGGATCCCCTGTGTAGAGCAATGGCTCCTGCTTTTTCACCCCTGGGACATGCAGGCACCCGGGCCTCCCTGCATTCTCCGGGCAAGGTCTCTGATTCATGTCTGGTGTCCTCTGCTTAGGACAGGCTGCCCCATGGGCGGGTCAGCACTTCTGGGTCAGGACTTGCCCCTCTCAGCCCCCAACACTGGGAGCATCCACCCAGTCGGCAATGTTCTGCTGGCTGGCAAGTCAGAAGTCTCCTCCTCATGCTGAGTTCCTCCATTTCAATAACCAACCTTTACCTCCTGGATGACTACAAAGGGGATCCACACCTACGACTCATGTGCTGGGACAGAGCCCCTGGGGGACCTTCCCTCTGATTCCCCGTCCTCCAGCTCAGCGGAGACCCAGGCTGTGCAGTGAGTGCAGCAGCCGTCCAGGCCACATGGAGGGGAGTCGGGTCCCAGGTCCGTGGGCAGAGCTCAGGGCCGGTGTGGCTTAGCTGGGGGTGCTCTTCCCAGTGAAGGCTGCTGCATGCCCACTGGACTTGAGCTGTTGCAAATGGCACATCCTGAGAGGCTCCAGACAGGTAGGTTGAGGACGCCTCCTTGGGGCTGTGAACAAGCTGAGGTTCCTGCGTGGGACGCTGCTCCAAGTCCGGGCTGGAGGCAGACTTCCCATCCCGGCAGATGAGTGTCTCTGCGAGTTACCGGTGGGGTTTGCTGCCGTGACGCTGCTTGGGTCAGGGTGGCTCTGTCCCTACCACATGGCCGTGGGTGCCACATGCACTGTGACCGTGTGTTGACACAGGCTGACCATCTGGCTGGCCCCCACCTCCTCTGTCCACCCCTTGGGGAGGTAGTTTGGTCACTGGACACAGCTGTCCCTAGAGACAGGTCATCCTCTCCACGGCGCTCACCGTTGGCTCCTAGGTGGCATGTCCCCCTTTCCCCTTGGATGTGGCCCCTGCCATCACGGCACACCTTCCTGGGGGCAGCCTGGCCAAAACAGGTGGCCCCTAGGGACTCATTCTGGCTTCCAGGGGGCAGTATGAACCACTCTTACCCTCTGAACTGGCCCTCCCAGGCCAAAGGTCTGGCCGTGAAGGGACAGTGGGGACATTCAGGTGCCCTCCCAGGTCCTGTGCAGGGGAGGCAGCTGGGGATGGGCCTCCTCAGGCCCCAGGATGTGGGGGCTGTGGGCCTCCCTCCAGAAGACCCTGGGGTAGCTCTCCCGAACTGCTGATGGGAGCCAGCCGCTGCATCCACCAGCTCCGGCCTGTGTCTCTGGCTGTAGGACACGGGGAAGGCCTCTCTTGTGGTCCCACCATCAATCCACTCCAGCCCCGTCCTCAGCCACAAGGGGCAAGCCAGTGCCCCTGGCTGCTTGACCCGAGGGCCTGCCCCTCACCAGGACTGGACTTAGTTATTCAGACTGAACTGGGGACTTGGAGACCCACCTGCCAGTCCAGCACAAGTGACCCCCAGGGAGAGTCTCTCGGCTTACTTGGAGGCCTGGACCATGCCAGATGGCTGTGCTACACTGTGATTTAGGGTTGGAGCTTAGGGCCACATGTCATAGGTTTGACCTCTTCACGGGCCATGATAGAGGTCAGCCGTGCCTGCCTCAGTGACCTCGAACAGAAGCCCTGGACACAAGGCCACAAGGTTCAGGTGGCTATCCCCAGGGGGGCAGAGCATGTGCTGCCAGGCATGCATGTGGGAGAAACATGCAGTCTGCATGACCACCAGGTGGGGGGACACTGGGATCCGTCCCCTTGTGCCTCTTCCCTTTCTTGCAATAACCCAGAACCTGAGCAGAACGTTCTGGTAAGTTCTGTAAATTCTTCAGGTGATTCACTGAATCCAAAGTTGGTCTGGGGACCCTCAAAGTACAGCTGATGCCAGAAGTGGGGTGGTCTGGGACCCCCAAACTGCAGCTGGTGCCAGAAGTGGGGGTGGTCCCAGGGACCCCCAGACTACAGCCGATGCCAGAAGTGGGGGTAGTCCCGGGGATCCCCAAACTGCAGCTGATGCCAGAAGTGGGGTGGTCCCAGGGTCTCCCAAGCTGCAGCCAGTGCCAGAAGTGGGGGTGGTCCCGGGGACCCCCAGACTACAGCTAGTGCCAGAAGTGGGGGGGTAGTCTGGGGACCCTGACCACAGAGCCAGCCTCAGTGCCCTCTCCCTTCTCTGGGCCTCCTGGTTGCCCACCCAGAGCTCTCAAATGTCCACCAGGGATACCTGCCAGCCTCCCCCTCTTCCCTTCCATCTGCCTCATTTCTCTGGCTGGCTGTGTTACCTCCCCATTTCATGCCACATGTTTGTCTTCAGTTTGCCATCTGTCTCCTCTCCTAGACGGCCAGCACCCCTGGGCAAGGCCTATTTGCCATTGCGTCCCTGGTACCTGGAACAGGGTGTGAGCCCTCAGATTGCTAATGAGTGAGGTTTGGGGTGGGTAGTGTCACTGCGCCGGAAGCATGGGTGCAGGCCCTCTGCTTCTGTCCCACCTCGTCCACCCGTGCACCTACTCAGGCTGAGAGCCTGCCCCCTTGTGCCCAGCCCCCCAGCAGGCCCCCCTCTTTCTCTGACCCCTGCCCAGGATGGATACCCACCCCCTACCTGGAGCCCCTTCCTGGTGCAGGATCAACATCCATTGGGCCCCAGTGGCCTACCTTTGTACCAGCTGACGATGGGCTTGGGTGTGCCTGTCACACGGCAGGCCAGCTTGACAGTCTCGCCCAGCTCAGCTGTGCAGTCCGCCAGTTCCTCTTCGAAATCTGGGGGTTCTGGGTGCGTGCACACAAACACACACATACACGCACACACAAACACACAGGCTCTGAGCTCTTGGTGAGTGGGATACCCCCCTCCCCCAAGTCCTTGGTGCATCCCTGGCACAGTCAGAAGCCTCAGGGTCAAAGGGTGAGACTGTTATGGACACCGTCCCCTGCGACCTTCCATCCAGGACCCCACATCTGGGTGTGATGGGAGTCAGGGTGAGTGAGGCAAGCTGAGTGGATAACAGAGGACCGTGGAGAAAGGGGAGCCTCCCTCCTGCTCTAGGTGGGGAAGCCGACCAGGGGTTACCAAGCCCTCCACATCCCTAACACAGTCCGGGCGCCTGTCTTGTGCTGGGGGGTGGGGCCTGCATGAACTCCTAGGCTTCCTGTACTCGGGCTCCCAGTCTGGCACTCACGCCACACAGGCAGGACCAGGCGCTGCTGGATGCCACAGATCTCCTTCACCCAGGAATTCTTGGTGATGACGGTCCGTGCCTGCAGCAGGTACTTGCGCACAGAGTCCTCTCGCTCGTGCCAAACCTCGAAGGCACGGTCGTCACCCTCCACCTGGTCGTTCAGGTCGATGCTGCTCAGCTGTGGGTGGGCAGAGGGTGCAGGGTGACCACTTGGACGCAGGCCTCCGCTCCTCCTGCCCTGCCGGCCCCTCTCTGCCCACCCGGGCTGCGCGGGCGCCTGCAAACCTTCATCATGTTCCGGAAGACGTAGCTGAAGGTGTCGGTGCGGGAGTCCCGTCTGGGCTTGCAGACCACCAGGTGGTGGCGGAACAGGAAGACATGCCGGTGGTGGCCTTTCCAGGGCATCCGCGCACCTGGCGCCCCCTCCCACACGATGAAGTGGCCCTGGGGGAGCATTCAGCTGTCAGCCACGTGGCCCCTCCCAGGCCCTCCACCGCTACCGCACCTACGTGGCCCCGCCCAGGCCCTCCACCTCTCCTGCACCTGGCGGATGGGCTCGCCCAGGGCCTGCAGGGTGCCCGGGTAGTTCTCCATGAGCGACACGTGCAGCTGGTTCTCAGCGCGCTGCGGCAGGGCCGACACCACGGCGTACGCCTGCTCCAACAGCGCGCAGTTCTGCCGGTTTCTCGCCTTGTTGCGGATCAGCTCCTTGGAGAGACAGCGTCAGGCCCAGGCCCCACCACCCGCCCGCCCGCCAAGGCCAGGGAGGGCGGCCACGTAGCGGCCATGTACCTTTAGCAGGGCCTGGTACTGCTGGACACGCTCCACTGGCTGCTCCAGGAAGTGCTGCAGGGGCGGCGGCGGCGGCTGAGAGGGGTCTGCGGCTGACAGCACCTCCTCCGTGTATTTCTGTGGGAACCGCAGAGCGTGGATGGGGACGCGCATGTGCATTCCCGATGGCCACTGTCACCAGGGGTGGAGAGCCTGAGGGTTCCGGCGTGGGGTACTGGTGCACACGCACATGCGCACATGGGAACCTTGAGGGGGTGCATGTGCACCCCGGGCAGCCAGTGTCACCGGGGGTGGAGAGCCTGAGGGTTAGGACCTTGTGTACAGGTGCACATGTGCACACACACACGCACCGGGTGTGCCTCCTCCCGGGTGGGCCTCACCCCCACCCTGCGGTGTCACCCTCTGAAGCTGAGCCCAGAGCTTTGGTGACCCTGCTTTTCTCAGAAAACTAAGAGGCATGGGCTTGGGGCACCTTGTAGAACTCCTGCACAGCCGTGCTGACCACTGCTGACTCGGCCTGCACGCGGCCCACCAGGAACTCCAGGTACTTCTCAAAGGCCGCCTGGTTCTTGATGAAGCACATGGCCACATCGTCATCTGTGTCACACTGCTGCAGCTCCTTCTGGAAGCTGTGGAACAGGGGACGGTGGTCAGGTGTCTTTGCACACATGTGACTGTCATGTGTGCTTGTGTGGCTGGCACGTGTGCATGCATGTGTATGGTGTGTCTCTGCATGTGTGCACACATCACTGGTATGTGTGCATGCATCTTTGTGCACATGTGACTGTCACATGTGCTTGTGTGGCTGGCATGTGTGTATGCATGTGTGTGTGCACACCTGGGGGCCCCGGAGCAGCTGTGGGGCCTACCCGTCCACCCACCTGCTGTGGAAGTGGCTGATGTCCTGCACGTTTCGGAAGATGACAGCCTTCTGGGAGGCCACGGCGGCAGGCACGTGGGGGCAGCAGTCCAGGTGCTGCATGTGGTGGCTCTGTAGGAACTGCAGCTTGCTCACAAAGGCCTGCTCGGAGTTCAGCAGCTCCTGGATGATGGAGCTGGGAAGGGACGGGGTGAGGAGAGACCTAGGAGCTACCGAGGCAGGTGGGCAGCCTCCTCCTCCTGTGCAGCCCGCCACCGCCCACCTCAGAACAAGCCCTGGACATGGTGCAGGGCAGCACCCCCAAAGCTACCTCGCGGCCAGAAAACCACTCATGCCCCCGCCTGTCGGACCCTCACCTCAGCCTTGTCTTGTATTCATCCTCAGACACAGCCTCCCCTGGGAACTCGGGGGCCTCAGTGGGCCCCCACTCAGGTGATAGCTGGTGAGAAAATGGGGAATGGTGGCAGGTGGCCAGGCTCTGGCTCCTGCTCTCATGGGGGACAACCACCCCAGGACCCCACCCCAGCCACCCAGTACCTTGAGCCGCCTGTCCAGGTAGGCAGGGGATACCCAGCCCTGCCGTGAGGGGCTGGACTTGGTGGGTTTGGTGCGCACGAGCCAGCGCAGTGGGTGGGCCGAGTCCAGCACCTCCACATACTGGCCCTCCCGCAGTGAGATGGCGTCCTGCTCAGCCCCCAGGGGCAGGTAGTCAGCTGTGACCACGTAGATGTCGAAGATCTGGGGGGATGATGCTGAGTCAGACCAGAGGGGTGCCAGCCTGACCTACCAGGGCCCCCACAGCTCCCCAAAGGCCCCAAGGGTCGGGAGACCCAGACCAGAGCCAGCCAGGCCTCCAGAGGCTGCAGGGTGCCTGGCATTAAGTTGGAGGACAAGCCATCCTGAGGTTCCAGGAAATTCCAGAACAAGGTCAACCCAGCTCTGCTGCTGGAAATCCTGTCAGTGTGGCTGAGACCACCCCAGGGGGCCCAGGGGGCCAGGCCAACCCTGGGTGGTGGTACTGTGCCCCTGCCCCTCCCCCTACCGGCACCCTGCTTGCTGCCCACCCCCAGCCCCATCAGAGCACCTCGCCGCGGGAGTCCCCATCCTCCGATTCCGAGGATGACTCCTGCACGCTGGAGGAGGGGCGGGAACGGCCATGCCAGGGGGATGCAGACGGCGTCTTAGATTCCTCGTCACTGTCACCTCCAGGCACCTGCAGCTTGGCTGAGGGCACAGGGCATGTGATGCCCACTAAGGGCCTGCTCCATATCCTCTCCCCATGGGTCCTCAGGGTGCGTGGACAAGGGGACTTGGCCACTGCCCCTGCCCTAGCCCCAGTACCTCCCCGTGGGTCCCCAGGGTGCGTGGACAAGGGGACTCGGCCACTGTTCCTGCCCTTGCCCCACAGCCAGTGGCGTCCTCACCTTGCGTGATCTTGGCCGACACTATCTCCGTGATCTGAGAGGTGAGCTTCTGCAGGAACTCTTCTGTGCCCACTTCAGCCAGGGACAAGTGGCCACGGGCCTCCACCACTGGGGGCTCTCCTGGGGGCCAGAAGCCAGCTCATCCAGCTGCCTGCCCTCCAGGCCCCGACCTGGGCTCAAGGGTCAGCAGTGCTAAGGGCCACACAGACTTGGGGCCATCACCGCTGGAAGCTTTGCAGGGTCGGGTTAAGGGTGAATGAGGGCTGCCTAGGTGAGTGGGGTCAGCCGAGAAGTGACCCCAAAAGTGGGCAACCAACAGGCAGTGAGCATGGCCCTCCCTTTTCTACTTCTGAGTAGACTCCCTGCTTTCCATCAAAAAGTTACAAATATGCCAAGATGCCGGGAGGCCCTGTGCAGGTGGCTGGGAAATGGACAGAAGGACCCTGTGGGGGACGGGAGAATCCGGGACAGATCAGGTCTGGATGCTGGCATGCCCAGCACCTGCCTCCTGCACTGCCCTCACCTAGCCTTCCCTGCCACCTGTGTCAGGGTGTCCAGGGTGGGCATCCACACAGCTCACTGGACGTGAGCTCTGAGCCAAGGGCCAGTGGGCCCCCAGATCTGAAAGGCTCAGAAGTGGCCCTGGCACCAGCCAGAGTTCAGAGTCAGGCCCAGGAGAGGGCAGGGAGCCCTGGCCTACAGCAGGTATTTTCGGAGTAGCTCTGGGCCTGGGGCAGCCTCCTCCATGCCTCACCCCTGCACTAAGGGCATGTCGACCCCCATCCTGCTCCCAACCAGCCAGTACCTTTCCTCTGCCCGGCAAGGTCAGTGAAACCTGTGGGTTCTGACATCTGCGTGGAGACGGCTTGGGTCCTAAAGGGGAAGGGGTCCTAAGAGAATGCCTCAGCTGAAGCCCCCATGTTACAGTGGGGACACTGAGGCACAGAGAGGGACAGGGGCTGGCCCAAATCATGGAGCTCTTGAGGAGCACCCCTGGGCTACAGTCTGGATGGGTCTCCCTCCTGAGGGCCGGGACGCCCCGCTCCCAGGCCTGCTGCTGCTGGTCTGGTCCCCCACTCACCCCTGCAGGAAGGTGGAGATGAGGGCCTCCTTCACCCCAACATGCTCCTCTGCTGCCCCTGCCTCCTTGGACACTGTCAGGAGAACAGAGTGAGCCACAAGATGATACCCCACAGCCCCGAGGCAATTCTGGTGGGGACCTGGTCCATGCTGCCTACCCTCCCTACCGCAGGGACCTTGACTCTGGCCCTCAGGAGCCCCTAGGTGGAGTGGGGCCCAGGAGGAAAACACTCAGGGGGGCAGGGGACTTCTAGGAGGGTCTCGGCCAGCTACACAAAGATGACAGGACAGGGTGGAGCTGGCCCATGGGGCTCTGTGTTCAGGGCCCAGAGAGAGGGCTCTGGGTCAGGGGCCCAGTGAAGGTCAGCTGCCTCCAGTCACCCACACCCACTCACAGCCAGAGATGTGCAGGCTGGCGGAGCAGAGGGCCTGGCCCGCAGCATTGCTGGCGATGCAGGTATATGTGCCTCGGTGCTGTCTGCTCACATCCAGCAGGACCAGACTGTGCTGCTGTGCAGAACTGGCCACCGTGTAGCCTGGTGTGTCACGGCCAATCCACAGCACTCCTCGCTCAGCCTCCTCCCGCAGCCAGTGCACGGCTGGGGCCGGACATCCTGCGGGCAGGAGGGGATGGTGAGGGGGGGCTTTCAGAAAGTAGGGGTCGCTCCGGGTGGAGTTGGGGGGTTAGTCCTCGGTGGGCGGCAGGGAGGGGCCTGCTCAGACCCTGGGGAAGGAGTCCTAGGTAGGTAGAGGTAGGAAGAGTTAGGAAAAGGGAGGGGCCTGCTCCGACCCTGGGGAAGGAGTCCTAGGAAGAGGGCGGGGCCTGGTCTGATCCTAGGCAAGGAGTCCTAGGTAGGAAGAGGGAGAGGGAGGGGCCTGCTCTGATCCTCCAGGCGGCAGTCCTTGGCAGGGGTCATGAAGGTAGGAGTGCCCCACCTTCCACCTTCACTGAGAAGGTGATGCTGGAGCCTTTCTTCACTTTCTTGGAGGTGAATCTTTCCAGGAATCGAGGCGGCACCAGCTGCTGGTGCACATCTGGAGAAACAGTGGGCATTGGTGATGAATGCATGTTGAGCCCCTGCTCCCTGTTGGGGCACCAAGTCCCTCTCCCCACTCCCCCTCCCCCCCACCCCCCTCATCCCGCCAGGTCCCGGTCCCATCCTGTCTGTAGGCTGGGTCTATACAGCCTGCACCCCACCCTCTTCCACCTGTGATGCTGTGTCCCTCATCCACTTAGCTGAGCTGCCCACCCACTTCTGTCCACCCGAGTCTGCTCACCCGATGCCGGCTTCTCTTCAGGATCTTTGGGGCCTGAAAGAGGCAAGAAATGGAAGTTAGGCCTGCAGCACCAAGGGGCCTCTTTCCTCTGGGCCTGTGCATCTGTTGGGGGTAGGAGTCTGGGGGTGAACCACCCACTCCCATAAACACACCCCTCCATGGCCCCAGAAGTGTGGGCGTCGATTTGGAGCCAGCTTGCATGGTCGCACCAAAAGCAGAGTGAAGCCTGGGCAGAGACCGTTTCGAGCATGACCTGGAAGCACCTTGAGGTGCTCAGAACCTTGGAAAACAAGGGAGCTCACACCCGTACTCTGAAAGTGATCCCTGACCTCTTCCTCTGCAGTCTCCTGGTGTTCCTACGCTTGCCCGGGGCTGGTTTCACCACTTGCACTTGCACTGCCCAGGTGTGGATGCCCAGTCCCCAGCACCTACCTCGGACCAGCAGCCGGGCTGATGAGTAGGCAGCGCCTACGGTGTTGCTGATGTAGGCTGAGTACTGGCCGGCATCCTCCCTGGTGACCGATACAACCTCCAGGGTGTGAAGCGTCTTCCTGTCAGTCATGCAGATGTGTGCAGAAGCCGTCAGGGGCTGCCCGTCTTTGAACCAGTACAGCCGGGGCGCTGGGTAGCCTGGGGTCACACGGGACTGGTCAGCACAGAGCCTCCACCCGTGCGCCACACCCTCAGAGCCCCCTGGACACCAGTGCCCAGCCAACCTCCACTGTGCAGATGGTGCTCCCGGCATCTCTCTCTTCCTCACCTTTCACCTTGAGCTGAAACTTGGCCAGGCGCGTGCCAGGGGCCACCTGGAGGTCCTTCAGCTCCTCTACCACCTGGGGCAGCTGCCCCTCCTCTGAGGTAGATTCCGTCCCCTCTTGCTCCCGGCTGTTGGTAACAGAGAAGGAGCATGAGGTGCACCAGTGAGGGGTCAGGTGTGGGTGGCTTCTGCGGGCCCCTGCTTGCTCCACAGACACAGCCAGGGCCTGGCTGAGAGCTCCAGGTCAGATTCTGTCTGTCCAAGCCAGCACTGCCACCCCCTGAGGCCCACACTACCAGCCCACCAGGTGTTGCCCCTGTCCACATGGACCCCTACCTGGACAGGTAGCCTTGGGCGCTGAAGTAAGAGGAGGTCTCTGTGGCATCAGCTGCAGTTTCATAGTCTGTGCTAGTCACTGGGAGAGGAACAGTGGCTAGCATGAGCTCTGTGCCCCACCTGTCCAGGCACGGCCCCCCACCAGAGGCCAGCCACCTGGATCTGAGTGCGAGGGTGTCCCTGGGAGCCACTGACATTCCTGGGGGAGCAGCCATGGGGCACATGGTAGATGGTGGCCCCTCAACACCCCAGTCTGTCACCAGCCTGGGTTTCCAGGCCTATATTTAACTGCAAGTCCCAACAAATTGTCAATACTGGGTCTCATGACTGGCAGGCAGCGCCCACGGCTGTATCCTCCAGTCTTACCCACTAGGGAACAAGGGGTGACATATATAGGCAGCCGCAAAGGAGTAACAGGGCTGGAACACTGGATTTCTACAAGACAAGGATGAATTTGGGCCCTTAGCCTCACACCATATATGAAAAGCAAACCTAAATGTCAAAGCTAAACCTGTAAAAATCTTAAAGGAAAATACAGGTGTAAATGTTTACAGCAAAAACTAGGTGATGGTCTTGTAGATGTCACAACAACAGTACAAGCAAGCAAAGGAAAAGTAGTGGACTTCATCAATTAAAAATTTTGTGTATACAGAAAGTGGCAAGAAAACCCTCAGAATGGGAGAAAATCTTCAAAAATCATGTATCTGGTAAGGGCCTAGTACACAGAATATATAAAGAACTCCTGCAACTCAAAATCAAAACCCAGTCTCAAAATGAGGAAAAGATCCGAGTAGACATTTTTCCAAAAACCATACATAAATATCCAATAAAAATACATGAAAAGATACTCAACATCATTAGTCACAAGGCAAATGCAGATCAAAACCCCATCACTTAGGGCAGCAATTACTTTAAAAAAAAAATAAAGGGACCCTGGGTGGCTCAGTCTGGTTCAATGTCCAACTTTGGCTCAGGTCATGATCTCAAAGTTCATGGGTTTGAGCCCCACATCAGCTCTGTGCTGTCAGCACAGAGCCCACTTTGGATTCTCTGTCTCCTTCCCTCCGCCCATGCCCTGCTCATGCTCTCTCTCTCAAAAATAAATAAACGTTAAAAAATCAATACAAAATTAAAAGGTGAATAATGACAAGTGCTGATGAGGATGTGGGGAATTCGAACCCACATTCATTGCTGGTGAGGATGTAAAATGGCACAGCCCCTCTGGAGCTAGGCCACTCCTCCAAGAGTTAGCCACAGAATTGCCATATGACCATGTGATTCCACTCCCAGGTACGTGCCCAAGAGAACTGAACACATATGTCACAAAACACAAATACTTGTACACAGATGTGCACAGCAGTATTACTTATAGAAGTCAAAACAACCAATGGATAAACACCACTTGATGAATGGATGGATAAGCAGTCCACATACAAGGGAGTATATTTCAACCTGAAAAATGGAAGTATTGATGTATTTTACAACACAGGTGGACCTCTGGGACATGCTCAGTGACAGGAACCACACATAAAAGGCCACATATGATATGATTCCATTTATATGAAATGTCCAGAATAGTCAAACCCACAAATGCAGAAAGTAGCTTAGTTGTCTCCAAGGGCTGGGGAAGGCAGAATGTGGAGTGACAGCAAATGGACACAGGATTTCTTTCCAGGACAATGGAAATTTCTGGTGTGGGAAATAAGTGTAAGAATTCCTTAAGCTTGGGGGTGCCTCTGTGACTCAGTCCAATAAGCATTGACTTTAGATCAGGTCATGAACTCTCAGTTCGTGAGTTCAAGTCCCGCATCAGGCTCTGTGCTGACACCTCAGAGCCTGGAACCTGCTTCAGATTTTGTGTCTCCCCCTCTCTCTGTCCCTCCCCATCTCGTGCTCTGTCTCTCAAAAATAAACAAATGTTAAAATTAAAAAAAAAAAAATAGGGGCACCTGGGTGGCTTAGTCGGTTAAGCGCCGACTTTCGCTTAGGTCATGATCTCGCGGTTCGTGGGTTCGAGCCCCGCGTCGGGCTCTGTGCTGACTGCCAGCTCAGAGCCTGGAGCCTGATTCAGTCTGTGAATCCCTCTCTCTCTCTGACCCTCCCCTGCTCACGCTGTCTCTCTCTCTCCTAGAAAAAAAAAAAAAAAAATAGGGCGCCTGGGTGGCTTAGTCGGTTAAGCGTCCGACTTTTGCTTAGGTCATGATCTCACGGTTCGTGGGTTTGAGCCCCGCGTCGGGCTCTGTGCTGACTGCCAGCTCAGAGCCTGGAGCCTGTTTCAGTCTGTGACTCCCTCTCTCTCTGACCCTCCCCTGCTCATGCTGTCTCTCTCTCTCTCTCCTAGAAATAAATAAAAATATTAAAAAAAAAAAAAATAACTCCCTGAGCTTGCACCAATGGGTTAACAAGGTGTAGGGTGGAAAGCCACCTCTATAAGACAAAAGCCTTTGAGAACAACTAGAAGCAGAAAAACGCTACAGGGAGGAAGCGCCCAAAGTCAACTAGTGAAAAGGGTGCCTTGTTAGCCTTAAGGCAGCATGCTCCAGCAAGCTTAAACTTTGGAGATAACAGCTACTTGGCTGTATCACCCAAAGAGAAGCACTGTCCACTTGGCATCTGGTGGCAGTATATCATTGTGCTCTAATCTCAACTTCTAACACCACAAAGCCCTTTGCTTGTTACACTCACAAGTTACTGGTCCCTAGATTGTTGTTTTATTCTGCAAGTTCACCACGTATGTAAAACCTTGAGAGCTCAGTAAATACAGAGACAAACCCCCTGTTTGGGGCTCTTGTTTCCTCCCAGACATTAGCCTCTCTCAAATTCAATTCTGCATCTGCTCTTTTGCGGACAAGAGACAACTCCAGACTCAAAATCTGCAACACCCTGGCACTAGATGGTCATGCTGGTTACACAACATTATGAATATACTACAATCCACAGAATTGCACATTTTTAAATGAAAAATCTGATGGTGTGCAAATATCTAAACATTTTAAAATCCCAAGAGAAAAGGCAAGTTTTGCACAGAGAAACAAAGGTAAGAATGGCATCCTATTTCTTGGGTGGAAACAATGCAAGTTAGTAAACAGTGGAGCAGCACCTTTAAGGAATGGAAAGGAAAAAAAAATCCTAGCAAAAAATATCTTCCATAATCAAAATAGAAACAGACAATTTTTTCAGGCATACAAAAGCTGAGAGAATTCTAGCACTCCCAGACTACAAAAAATATGCGGAATAATGTCCCTCAGGCAGGAAGGACGTGAGAGCAGATGGAAATCCAGATCTACACAGAAGAATTAAATAGTTCCTACTTGGGTAAACACACAATCTGGTCTCATTCAAGTTACCTAAGTTACTGTTGTGTGCAGCTGTGCTGATAATACTGACCCCACCTTTGGCCCTACATCTTGTTAGTGTTGCTCGATGACCTCTCTTGGGCCCACGTGTTTCCAGGCCCTTGGAAACTCATATACAGGTCTTAGAAGTGCCTGCCAAAGCCAGGAGGGGGGAGGTTTGCTTTGGGCTCCCGTGAATCTGTTAGAGATAACCTAGTCTTTCGCAGACCCTATATGCCCTTTAGTCTCCAGCAACCAAGGTCCCTTGTGTCATGACTACAGAAGGTGACACTGACACATCCCTTCTCCTTGCCAAGCAGTGTTTCCTAGAATAGCTGTACTACTGCTTAACCATCGCCTGGTGAAGAACAGCTGGGTTGTGACCAGTTAGAGAATAAGGTGGCTATGAACCTTTGGGTACAAGTTTGATTATGAATTTGAGATTTAATTTCTCTGGAATAAATGCCCAAAACAGCAACTGTTGCATTACATGTTAGCTACAGGGTTAGTTTTGTAACCAACTGCCACGCTCTTTTCCAGATGGAGTGTACCATATTACATTCCTGCCAGTGATGCATAATTGACCTCATTTCTCTGTTTCCTCGCCAGCACTGGGTGTTGTCTCTATTTTTTTATTTTAGGCATCCTGATATGTGTACAGTGACATCTCACTGGGGTTTTAAACATTTTCCTGGTGGTTAATGGTGGTGAACATCTTCCATGTTATTTGCCTTTAGCATGCCCTCTGGCATGAAACATCTGGACGTGTCTTTTGCTCCTGTTTTACTGGATTTTTTATTGTTTATAATTCTTTATATATACAGTAAAACCTTGGATTGCAAGTAACCTGTTCTGTGAGTGTTCCACAAGACAAGCAAACATTTCTAATAAATTTTAACTTGATAAACGAGTGATGTCTTGGAATACAAGTAGTACGTGACGTTGAATGCCACATGATTACATCTGAGCCAAAGGTTCTTCTTCTCTCTCTCTTTCTCACTGCAAGATTGCGGGTGGTTGTCTCCCATGCTCAGATGCTCATGCTTGGTTTCAGGCCATGGCGTTTGGCAAAAATCAGCAATTTTTCAGATCATTGGAAGGTACCCACAACTGGCACTAGTGTATTTTTTGTCACTTCCAATCACTTATGGACAGTCCTTTGCTTTTCCAGACAAGAGTGAGCTTAGGAATGCTTTGCTTCATTCTAGCTCAGGCTGCCTGCAGATATAGACCCCTTTCTCTGCTGCCTAATTGCCAATTACATTAAGTACAGTACATGAGAAGAGTTTATTAATACTGTAGTGAGGTCAACATCTGTATAGGCCCCCAAGCAGAAAAACGTTCCATGGAGCCAATAAATGCCAGTGATTCCCTTAGTGATAGTGAAAGTCACCTACACAATAACCCTCCTATTTCTTGTCTCCCTCACACCAGCCACGAAAGTTTTCAAAGGTAAGTGCAAGCTAATTTGCTTTTTTTCATGTTTCGTATTTTCTTTACTATTTTGGATTATATTACAGTATTGTAATCATTTTTGTATGAGTATTTTTGGGCTGTGGAGCAAATCATCTGAGTTTCCATTATTTCTTATGGGGAAATTTGCTTTGATATACAAGCGCTTTGGATTACAAGCGTGTCTCTGGAACAAATTATGCTCACAAACCAAGGTTTTACTGCATATGTATTTTTATGCTTTCCTTATTTCTATTGGTTTCAGAGGTAGAATTTATGCTATATATTTTTAGACAAAGTCCTTGACTAGATATGTGATTTGCAGATACCTTCTCCCATTATGTAGTCTGACGAACCTCTGCAGGGTTTTCTCAGAGCAGATGTTCATAACTTTCACTAATTTTCCCTTTTATGGGTGTTGCTTAGTATCAAATCTAAGAAGTCTTTTCCTGGCTTCAATAGATTTGTTCCTATTTTTTCCCTGAAACCGTCATAGTTTTGTTTTTTACACTGACACATATAGTCCACTTTGAGCTCATTTTTGTATAAGGCCGAGGTCTAATTTTTTGCCTCTAAATGTCTCAATGTCTTCAGCACTCCTTGAGATTCTATCCTTGAATCTGAAATCTATCCTGCCTCCACTTAACTGCACTTGCACTTCTGTTAAGAATCAAATAGACATACTTGTCCTGAGGTCCACCTGGAGTCTTGGCATTAGGATACAACACATCTCCTCGTCCCTTATTACTTGGAAACTTCCAGAGGTTTAAGAACGGTGTGCTAGGAACCCGGGATGAGATCAAATACATATTTCTTATTGTGTCACAGCTAGCCGCCCACATGTGCTGGGGGCACCTCCAAACTCTCTTAGGTCCCTCCCCAGCCTAGGCGCATACCAAAGAGATAAGGCCTCCAGCTCCACTCTGGCCACAAGACACGAGGCTCCACATCCTGTCTGACCCAAAACCAGTGCTCTCTGGGTCATCCTTCAGCCCAGCACCACTCCTCCTAGCTCCCACCCTGGGGACTACCACACTCACGGTCCACACGGAGCTCCGCCTTGGTGGATGACACACCCATGCTGTTCTCAGCCATGCAGCGGTAGACACCCATGTCTGCTGGCACCACTGCCGTGATGATAAGTTGGTGGCCGCCTTGCTGGTCCTCACTGATCATGTAGTGGTCATCCTCCTCTAGCATCCTGCCATCCTTGAACCAGCACACGGTGGGCACGGGCTGGCCTGTCACCACACAGTCGAAGCTCACGGGGTACCCGTCCTGCACCTCCTGATTCTGCAGCTCAGTCAGGAACACCGGGGCTGGGAGGGACAGGCAGGGTGTGCAGTGAGCTGGCCCCAGGTCTCCCCCAGTGACCCCAGCTGCCAGCGACTCAGCGTGCATCAAGTCCCCAGCACTCGTTCACAAGGGAGTGCTCGCAGGCCCCAGGGCTAAACACAATTCTACATCTGCCAGCTTCACCCCTGTTCTCTAGAAGAATCCTCTCCTTCTCAGCCTGCATCTCAAGCTGCTGAGAGGCCAGAGGGATAGTGGGCAGGAAACAAGGAGGAGGGGCAGGCAAGGCTAGGCAAATGTCGTGTGGGCTGCAAGCATGAGAATGGCCCAAAATTCCACAGGGGAGGTTTCCAGACATTAGGCCATGGGTCATTAATTATATACCCTCGTTACTCCTAGGTAAACTATGTGAACAATGAAATAGCTTTGGCTGTGGAATGCCACCTTTTATACTGGTTGCGCTCCAAACCCTCACGGAGCAAAGACAAGCTTTGGAATGTCCATAATCCTATACCCACTTCAGAGAGGAGAGCAATGAGGCTCAGAGTAGCTAGTACGAAACAGGCAGAGCTGGACTTAAATCGAGCTCTCTAACCCCAGATTCAGGGGTTCACCAGCTCAGGGGGCTGCATCTGCAGTGGCCCCAGGCTGGAGCCCAGCCAGCTCCCCAAGTCATCAGGTGACACAGGTCACCATGGCCCTGCCCCTCCTCCTTACTGGCTCTGACCCTCCCCTACCAAAGCCCTTGCCTTACCACCCGCCCCGCCCCCTTCACAGCACGCCCCACCTCTTCCAGTCCCCTCTTTCTCCCTTGTCGCCCCGCCCATCTGCGTTCCTGGCCCCGCCCCTCCCCCTTCTAGGCCTCATCCCCGCCCCATTCCAGGCCTAGCCCCTTCCCCTTCCCACCTCTCCCCTTCCAGATCCCACCTTTCCCCATTCCCACCCTTCTCCACCTCTAACCTTCTCGGTCCCGCCCCTCCCCTTACCTTCCCTTGCCTTCCCTCCCCTTCCCGGCCCCGCCCATCCCCTTCCAGGGCCTACCCCACCCCTCCGCCTCTTCGCCCCTCCCCCTTATCGGCCCTGCTCCCGTCCCCGTACCTGGCCTTGCCCCTCCTCCTTCCCGGCCCCACCTCTCCCCCTTCCGAACCCGACCCTCCCCATTCCAGGCCCCGCCCCCGCCCCACCTTCCCGGCATGCCCTCCCCTTCTAGATCCCGACCCCGCCCATCCCCTTCAGGCCCCGACCCAGACAGCGCGCAGACTCACCAGCCTCTGAGGTCAGCGGCCGGGGCACCACCTCTTGAGCTGTGACTGGGGCAGGAGCCACCTTGCTGATGCGCATCTCCACCCCCCGGGGCCCCTGCTCCAACAGGCTGATGTCCACGCCAATACCCATCGTGCCAAACATTTCTCGGAAGCAGGTGGCCGCACGGTGGGCCTCGGCAAGAGCCTCGAAGCGAATGTAGACAAAGTGTTCTTCTTCGCGGTATGTCCGCCAGTCTGCCGGCTCCTCCGGTTCCGCCGGGCCCTCGTCTGCACTTAGGAAGATCTCTTCGTCCGACACCTCCGCCGGGCCTTTGGTGCGGAACAGACGGTGCAGCCGTCGGGCTGCCCGGCGGAAGGCGTCGTCCAGCTCGCCCCCTGAGGAGCTCTCCGCCTCACTCTCCGTCCCGCTGACCACCACACAGGCACTGTGGGCCACGCGGCCGAACTTGCTGCTCACCTGGCAGGTGTAGCGGCCGGCGTCCCCACGACCCAGGCCCGTGACCAGGAGACAGCAGGTGCCGTCCCCAAGCTGGTCGATGTGGTGGTGCCGGCTGTCAGTCAGCTCCATGCCGTCCTTCAGCCAGCGAGCACGTACGTCCGCCTTGCTGGACACCACACACTCCAGACGCAGGACATCCCCCACCTGTGCCTCGGTATCCCCAAATGTGCGGGAGAACACGGGTCCCTCCTGCTGTTTCATCTCTTTGCGGACTTTGTAGCCTTTAAAGGCAGCCTGGATCTTCACTGCTGCCTTGTCCATGGACGGGTCACCCAAGTCCGCAGCCCTCAGATCTCCCGGAGGTGGGTGACCTGCAGTTGGCTGTTCCTGATGCTTCAGTGGCTTCCCAACTGCAGGGATCCCAAGCTGTGTGCAGAGGTAACGTGGGGAAACAGGCCCGTGACAGGGAAAGGACAGTGTAGGGACATACAGGGCAGGGCTGGAAGCAAAGCCTGGGTCTCCCACCCCAGCTCCATGTCTCAGTTCATCATGCCACTCTGTCTTCTGTCTACCTGCAACTGCACAACCTTTACAGAGGCTGGATTCCTGATGGCTTCTATTGCCACCAAGAGGCAAGCCCACACTCCCTGAAATCACTACTAATGGTTACCCAGACAGGGACTGACAGGCTGTGAGGAACACCACAGAGAGGCCAGTTTAGCTCTTAAAAGCCAGGTGGAAGGTGGGTGTGTGGGTGGTGGCTGGATGCATGGGGGAATGGGTGGATAAATGGTGGATGGGTAGATGGTAGATGGGTGACTGAATGGTGGATGGGTGGGTGGATACATGGGTGATAGATGGGTGGATGGCAGATGAGTGGATGGTGGATGAGAGGTGGATGGGTGGATGGTGGATGGACAGATGGTGGATGGGTGGGTGATGAGTGGATGATGCATGGACAGAGAATGGATGGCAGATGGATGGTGAGTGGATAGGGGTGGTATAAGTGGATGTTAGATGGACAGATGATGGAGAAATGGGTGGGTGTATGGCTGATGAAGATCTGAGACATCCAGGCCTCTCCTCACAGGCCACACTGGACACTCACCTTGCTGGCCAGTGGAGAGGTGCTGGTCCTCCCAGCCTTCTTGAGGTAGGTAACCAGGGAGGGAGTGCCTGCCCGGGACTCATCATCAGAGCTGGTGTGTGAGAGGTCGGCCTCGCCAGTGCGTGCCAGCTCATCGGCTGTGGAGTAGTCCTCAGAGAGGTCTGGGGCCGCTTCTTCCACCTCCTGCTGCAGGCGTGGTGAACGGCCATTCTCCTCAGGCAGCTCACTGATGGAGTCCAGCGTGGGCTCACGGCTCATGCGGCGCTTCCGGGCCAGGGCCTCCCACAGCAGGTGCAGGTCACCCTCCTGGGCTGCTTCGGGGGGCAGCCTGGGCTGTGCAGGGGCCTCGTCCCCAGATCCTGGGGACAGCACCACTGAGAAGGACAGGAGACTGGTCAGCAGGGTGGAAACAGACCCTTGACCCCAAGCTGCTGAGTGTGGTTCTCCTCAGTAGGCCTCTGCTGCCTGCCTGGGCCACCAGGGTTCTGGAGGTCCAATCTTTATGAAGTTTCAGAGGCTCTGAACTTCCTTCTAGGCCTCAGCTTCCCCTAATGAAGCCAAGCTTCAGCCTACCTTGGGCACCTGCACAAGAGAAATGAGCCCAGGGGAGCACAGGGCCAGGGTCAGTGCAGATGCAGGGGGACCAATAGTGTGAGGGGGCTCAGAGCACCAAAGGAAGGTGGTCAGAGTAGGGAGGCTTGTAGTGTGGGGGTGGGAGCTCAGCACAGGGGAGAGGGGATCAGAGTGGGGAGGACTCGGAACACAGGGGCTCCCTGTGCATGGGGAGGGGGCTCAGAGGGCAGGGACCGAGAGCTTAGGGGACCAACAGTGGGCACCAAGGGATGTGTTGGGCAGGACCGTGCTCAGGGAGCAGTGTTGCCTCAGGTGCCCACTATATGCTTCTGAAAAAGGTTCAGCCTCATGGGTCTGTGCATCTCCCCACCAGACCTCAGTCTTCTTTGGTGTGCGAGGGGCTTCCCAAGAGGATCAAGGAGGTGATGAAGAGGAGGGGCTGGCTCACTCCCATGCCCCAGGGCTCCCCACTCTCCGCTGGGTTCTGAGGACGCACCCCGGAAAGAGGCGGCTGCAGAGGAGGCCTGTTCCCCGGCGTGGCCGCAATGGTACTCCCCCTGGTCCAACGCTGAGAAGCTCTGGATCACCAGCGTCTGCCGCTGACCCTGGCAGAGGACCTGGAAGCGCCCGCTGGGTTGGATGACCTCTGTCCCCTTCAGCCAGACGACCTCACCTGCCTCGGCCACCTCGCACTCCAGGAACACGTCCTCGCCGGCAGCCACCTGCCGGCTCTCGAGAGCGGGAGGCGCAGGAGCTGGGCGCGCAGGAACCGGGGCTGCAGGCGCGGGGACCGAAGGCATAGAGACGGGGACCGCAGGCTTGGACGCAGGGGCCGCAGGCACGGGGGCGGGGGCCTCAGGCTCTGGCGCGGGGGCTGCAGGCATAGGCGCGGGGGCTGTAGGCACAGGCTCCAGGGGCTCTGTCGGGATCAAAGCCACTTCAGCAGATAGTTGCAAATGACATATCAGATAAAGGGTTAATATCCAGAATCTATAAGGAACTCACCAAACTCCACACCCGAAAAACAAACAACCCAGTGAAGAAATGGGCAGAAGATATGAACAGACACTTCTCCAAAGAGGACATCCAGATGGCCAACAGACACATGAAACGATGCTCAGCATCCCTCCTCATCAGGGAAATACAAATCAAAACCACACTGAGATACCACCTCACGCCAGTCAGAGTGGCTAAAATGAGCAAATCAGAGAACTCTAGATGCTGGCGAGGATGTGGAGAAACGGGCACCCTCCTACACTGTTGGTGGGAATGTAAACTGGTACAGCCCCTCTGGAAAACAGTGTGGAGGTTCCTCAGGAAACTAACAATAGAACTCCCCTATGACCCAGCAATAGCACTGCTAGGAATTTACCCAAGGGATACAGAAATGCTGATGCATAGGAGCTCATGTACCCCAACGTTCAAAGCAGCACTCTCCACAATAGCTAAAACATGGAAAGAGCCTAAGTGTCCATCAACAGATGAATGGATCAAGAAGATATGGTTTATCTATACCATGGAATACTCCATGGCAATGAGAAACCATGAAATCTGGCCATGTGTAGCAACATGGATGGACCTTGAGGGTGTTATGCTGACTGAAATAGGTCAGGCAGAGAAGGACAAATATCATATGTTCGCACGTATAGGAGGATTAGGAGGAACTTAACGGAGGACCAAGGGGGAGAAGAAGTGGGGAAATGGTGGGGGAAAGGGAGAGAGGCAAACCATGAGAGACTCTTGAATGCTGACAAAAACTGAGGACTGATGGATGTGGGGGGAAGAGGGGATGGGCATGGAGGAGGACACTTGTGGGGATGAGCACTGGGTGTTATATGGAAACTAATTTGACAATAAACTATTTGTAAAAATAAAAATAAAGCAATTACATGGCAAAAAAAAAAAAAAAAAAGAAGACACTTCAGCAAGGTCACCCCCGGGTTCTCCAACTTGGGGAGCGCTCCAGGCGGGACCTCACCCCCACCCACCATGGGAAGGCTAGCCACTCACCGAGCTTCACCATCTGGGGCAGGTGCACAGGCTCCCCAGCCCCCGCTGGGCCTACTGCCGCCACGCGGAAGCGGTAGGTCTCTCCCGGGGCCAGGCCGTCCACCACGCACTCGGGCCCAGGCACCAACTCGTGGCACAGCCGCCACTCGCCGGTGGCCACCGCCTTCATCTCCACCCGATAGCCGCAGAGACCGCCGCCACCGTCGCTTGCAGGCGCCACCCATGACAGTGTCACGGAGCGGCCGCTGCGCGCCACCACCTCTGCGTCCTCTGGAGGGTCTGGGAGGCCTGCGGGGACGGGGCTGCTCAATGGAGGCTCCTCGTCGGCGCCCGCAGGTGCCCAGCCCTGCCCGCCTGGACTCTGATCCCGGGGTGCCGAGCGGGGGTTAGGCAGACCGCCCCAGCAGGCCCCTGAGTCGCTGTGCCTGGCGGCCCCGACCATCTGACAGAGCAAAGGTCGTGCACTTGAGAACCAGGGAGACTGTGTGCCCTGAGCCCACCTGGATGGCAGCCTCTGGGGCTGAAGCAGCAGAGCCCTGGACGCAACCTGTGGCAGGCGGCCCGAGCCACCCACCTAGCACGGTGAGCCGCGCGGAGGCCACGGCGTCGCGGGCGGCGAAGGTGACCTCGCCAGCGTGGTGTGGCTGCGCACCGCGCAGCAGCAGGGTGTGGTGGCTGCCGTCTGCGGTGACCATCCAGTCGGGGTCGTCCGGCTGCACTGCGGCCCCGTTGATGTACCACGTCGTCTCGCCCACCGGCACCGCCTCGCTGAGCGTGCACCTGAAGCGGACCTGCCCACCAGCTCTCACGGCCGCATCCTGCGGGGACTCCAGTACTTCCAGGCGCCAGCCTGCGGGGCCGTGGTGTGCGGTGAGCGCCCGGGCCCAGAGGCGTCCTGGAGGCAGGGCTGGGAAACCTCTGGGCCACCAGGTCCTGCCAGTTCCGTCCCCCCTACCCCTAGTCGAGGAGGAGGGGCGGCATCTGGCTGGAGGGTACTGAAAGACCGAAGCCCTCAGCCAAGGTCCCCAGCCGCAACCCCAACAGCTCCACTGTGTGGGATCGGTGGGAGGGGTCTCAGAGGCCTGGCCCCGCCCCACCCCACACACACTTGCCGAGCGGCGTCGGGCGGGAGGGGTCTCCAGATACACGTCCCTCCCCGCCAGGCCTCAGCCTATCCCTCACACCACTAACCTCTGACTGTAAGGAACGCGGAGGTCACCACGTCCCCCGCCAGGAAGGTCACCCGGCAGCTGTCCTGCGGACGCAGGTTTTTGAGCAGCAGCAGGTGCCGCAGGCCATTCTCGAAGTAGACCACCTCCGCGTTCTCGGAGGTTCGCACAGGCTCGTCGTCCAGCAGCCAGGTGTGAGTGGCCACCTCGGGGCGGGACAGCTGGCACTCGAACAGCGCCTCGCCGCCTTCAAGTGCGTCCACGTTCTCCAGGCCACGCACCACGGTGTTCTTGGCTGCGAGGAGGGAGGCGGCTCAGGGCGTGCTGAGGCCTCCTCTGCCCCAAGGCCCCCTGCACAGTTATGTGGAAGAGCCCATCCCCATTAGAAGGGCTCAAGGGCTGACCAGAACGTGGCCCAGTGGAGGGCAGGGCACGGGGTCCACATGAGACCACCAGGAGGCCTCTTGAGGCCCTGCCCACTCCCACACCATCACCAGCTGGTGGCCTGCCTTGGCTGCTGGCCAGGGAGCACTTCTCCACACCAGATAGGTGAGAAGCTTCACAGATGTTTCCAAAGCTGCCCACAGCTAGGCTCAAACCCTGCCCTCCACAAGAGTTATGCCCCTGCCCGGGTTGCAGCATGGGACTCTGGAAATGGCTCCCTTTCTTCCCAATCCCCAGCCAGCACTAGCCATGCTGGGCTGTTCCCTTCACTCACAGGGACCAGAGAGACCTCTGCCCTCCTTTCCCACCCCTCTCCAGCTCTCTTGTTCACACAGTACACCAGACTTAGTAAGTGGATGTGAATTTGATGTGTAAGCCATGAACTCAGGACTGGGCTTGCCCGGCCCCAACAGCAACCCAGTGCCTGGCTGCACTGGCTTGCCACCTGCCATGGTCCATTCCCGTGACACACCACCTGTATGGCAACAGTGGGAATAGTCTGAGCGGCTTCCTGGGGGAGGCAGAATCTCAGGCTAGGCGTGATTGAGCTGGGCAGGATACATGTGAGGCAGGAAAGAGCGCCAGGTGACCCAGGGCTGGCCCAGGTGCTGGGAAGGGTGTGACCGTGACCCACGTGACTTCAGGAGGCCACTGCAGACCCTGACCTGAGCAATGGGGGGTGCGGCAGCCAGGCCCACAGCCCCAACTGCTCTCTGGGATACACACCACACTGGGACCTGTTCACAGCTCTAGTGCTCAACCCCAGCCTGTCGACAGAGTCCACATGCCCTGCAGGTAGGGGCGTCTGCTCTGGACAGGGAGTGAAGGGGGCAGGGCATCTCAGAGCAGAGGCCTCACAGGACCCACCCATGACCCTCCTCTGGCCCCCAGTCGAGCCCCAGGCTCCTCACATACAGATCAGATTTCCTCACATCCCAGCCCCTTTCCTCCCCACATCAGAATCAACGTCACAACGGGGGTTAGACATCCCAGATGTCAAAGCAGCAGAGAATCCCTGTCCTTCCTGTCCCTCTGGGCCCCACTGTCCCCTACCCTGCCCAGATGGCCTTGTGCCTCAGCCACACCCCCACCTCCCTCAGGCCTGGGCTCAAAGGGCAGCCGTTCCCCATAGCTGCTGTCACATCCAACTTCCCAGAGGGACAGCCCCCTGAAGGGAGGGATCGATGTCTATTCAGACCTGTGGCCCCAGAGACCAGAAAGAGGTGCTTTAAAAACATCACTGTTCACAGAGCAAGGACCTGCTAGTCCTGGCTTGTATGGCCCTCTCACTATCACCTCCAGCTCACTCCTCAGTGGGAAGCGGTCAGATCTTCCCAACTGGGAGCTGGCAGCAACCAAGTGAGGAGCCTCCCCCAGGGGGCTGCAGTCAACCAACCCCCACCCCTGGTCCTCCAGAGGGTATTCTCGCTGTGTGCAGAAAGGGACACGGGGCTCCAGCACCCCCAGCTAAGATCAGGGACTCAGGGCACGCAGCCTAGCACCCTCTCCTGTCCTGTCAGGCAACTCCGGGAGGAGGAGCAGGGCCTGCCTGCTGGAGCCCTGTCTCCAGCACTGCCTTATGGTGCTGACTGTCACGCCCGCCTCTGCACCAGGAAGGATGGCCACAGCCACACCAGAGCTGTGCAAGGCCTCACCTTGCACCTGCAGCAGGGCCACCACGCGGGTGCCCGCAGCCTCACAAGAATAGATGCCAGTGTCGCAGGGCAGGGCTGGCCTGAAGGACAGCTTGGCCACGGTCCAGTCCTGCTCTATGACGACGCGGCACCCGTCAGTGCGCACCTCCTGCTCGTCCATCTTCCATGTGGCCTGCACGGGCCGCGAGTACTGGCAGAGGAGCTCGGCCGGGCCGCCCTCCTCCACGGCCAGGTCCTGCATGGCACTGACCACCTCCACCGTGGGATCTGTCGGCCGACACCCCGGTCACGCATCAGCTGGTGTAGTGCTGCTGCACCCCACCCCCACCCCACCTGTGCTCTCAGCGGCTCAGCGGCAAGCAAGCGCAGGGCTGCGGCAGGAGGGGAACCCATCACAGTGGCCCAAGGCCCTCCTCATGGGGGAAGCCGTACCCCCAGTATCCACCTGGGGTAGATGGCACTGTCGGCTCATCCTCTGTCGGGGCTGGGCCCTTCCTGAACCCTCTGCCTCCCTCCCCAGCCGTGGCCCAGGGCATACTTCGCCTCAGCAGGGACACAACACCCCCCCTCAGAAAGCCCTCAGGCCCTGCTCAGGGTCAATCAACTCTGCTGGGCCCATGGCACCCCCTGGGGCCTCGTCAACCTCGGGGTCCCTGTCTGGTCTCAGCCTGATGAGATCCTACTCAAGAACTGGTTCACCCCTTGGACGTGGGTGAGTGTCTGCACTTGTTCTGCAGAGGCACCGGGTGAAGCTTTGTGGGCCAGCCATATCCCGGAGCACCAGATGCCCCACTGCAGTCCCCCCCAAAGGCTGGCTCTTTTCCAGACGGTCACAAGACCCCAACTGAGCCCACAGCAAGGGAAGCATCAATGAGCAGGGACAGAGCAGGCCAGACCCAGGAAGGGGGCTCTCACTCCTCGGGTGCCCTCTCAGAGAACATCTGAGGGACGGACAGCCCCAGAATGGTGGCCAGGCAGGAGCTTGGCCTGGTGCCCTGCAGGGAGGTGGGCGTGTGGTTGGCTTCACATCTCCCCAGCCTGGCCTCATGCTCCGCAAATCGGGACAGCAGACTGCCTACCATGCCTACCCATGGCACACATGGAGCGATGCCCAGCTCGTATCCTGGAGCCAGCCCTGGACCCACCACCCTGGGAGCCCACAGCAAGCATGTGGGGTAAGCAGGGGCAGAAGCACCAGCTCGGGGCAGGGTCCCATTGGCCAATACCTTTGACCAACAACTTGGCCATGGAGACCAGGGGCCCTGCGCGGTAGGTGATGGTGCCTGAGTCAGCAACCCCCAGGCCCGAGAGTGTGAGGGAGTGGAAGGTCCCATCATGCACGGAGATGGCACTTTCGGGGCCATCCTGCAGCAAGGTGCCATCCAGCCACCAGTGGGCCTCTGGCCCCCCCGCACGGGACACCTCACAGGAGAACGTGGCCACCTCCCCCGCAAAGACGTCCACGTTCTGCAAGCCACGTACCAAGTATGGTGCTGCCTCTGTGCAAGAGGGCAAAAGGAGGGGGGCTGTGCCAACCTGGGGTCTGCAGGGGCTGCCTTGGGGCTGAGACGAGAGGTCCACCCAGGCCAGCTGACCCACCTTGCTTGCAGAATGAGACACAGAGACCACCCACAGCAAGCCCACACGGAGCCAGCTCAGCCTCCTGCACCCAACACCCTCATCGGAACATGTCCCGTTTCACCACAGGAGACTGGTCACCTCCATCCACGTCCTTTTCAGGACACAGAGCAGACAAACCCCAAGGCTCCAATCCATGCAGAGTGGGTATGGGTTCTGGAGGAGAAGCCAGGAGCCCACTGCTCTGATAACATGGGAGATCTCCCTTGGGAAGTAAGACCGCCATCCCGGGGCATATGGAAGCAGATGTTCCTCCCGTCCCCTGAGGTCCATTTTCCCAGATGAGCCCCGAGATCCCTCCAGCCCTCAGATTCTGGGACCCTAATGATACATGGCAACTGCCCCTTGCCCTGTCACACAGGGGGCCTGAATCCAGGGGCTTCCCAGATGCAGATGATGCCTGCTCATTACCCCTCTACCTACCATGGCTGGGTCCTCCCTCAGAAACCCCCCCCATACCCTTCCTGGGTGTGCACCACTGACATCCCAGTCCCTACCTGCCCTTCCATCCTTTCCCAAAAGTGCACACCTGTGTTCCCACCCCACTGCATCAGCTCCCCATTCCCACCGCCAACAGAGGTTCCAAGCTTGTCCAATAGCCACCTACCAGGACACCCATTTGCACTCCACCCCCATGCTCATGGGCCCTCCTCATGAGGCCATGGCCAGGTATCTGTACATGAGCTAGCACACTCCAACGCCAGGTCAAGAGGGGCCAAGGCACAACCCTCAAAGGAGCCTGCAAAGCCCAACCCAGTCTCACACTGCCCCCTCACAGACACCCACTCTGAAGAACACACAGGCTCTTCCTGGACCTGCTTGGCTCACAACACCCAGGATACTGCCCTTCTCCCATCACTCAGCTGGAGGGCACTGCACTCTGGAGGCTTTCCCAGATGCAGTTCACAAAGCTGACTGTGTCTGTCCACCCTCTCAAGATCTGGGCTGGTGGGGCACCTGAGACTCAGGACACACTCCATCTCTATGTCCAACTCCACCAGCAGACTGGGGATTCCCTGAGGGCAGAGCTGCATCTGGCCCCTCTCCAGGTAGATGGCAGATAGATGCTGGGTGGATGGATGGACACATGGATAGGTGGTGGGTGAATAGATGGATGGTAAGTGAACAGATGGGTGGACAGGTGGTGGATGGATGAGTGGGTGGATGATGGGTGAACAGATGGACAGTAAATGAACAGATGGATAGTGGATGAGCAGCAGATAGATGAATACAAGATGGCTGGGTGAATGGTGGATGGATACATTTTGGGTGGGTAGATGAGTAGATGGACAAAAAGATGGGTGGTGAATGTGTAGTGGATGGACGTGTAGATGCATGATGGATGGTGGGTGCATGGGGCCAGCTTGAGAACCAAGAGTAGGACAGCATAGGAGAAGCTCTCAGGGTCAGGCACCCAGAGGTGACCAGCTCTAGGGATAAAGTATAACCCAAGTTGAAGGTCTTCAGGTCCTCCCTACATACTTGGGGCATTGTATGCTATTATATAAAACCACACGTGCCACTTGGAAACCTGTGGATGTGCAGGTGTGTGTCAGTGTAGACACGAGCACATGGGCCTGTGCCATAAGAGTGGACATTCACAGGGTGGAAATCCCAAAGGCCCGGACTCCACCTCAGGGCCCAGGCCCACATGTCCCTCCTGTGGACAGCACTAATCCCATACAGGGATCCTACACACACTACCATTCTGGTCTGTGGCTTTAGCCATCAAGGGGTGGACGGTCACCATCCCAAGGCAAGATCACCTCTGGAAGGTGTGAGCCTCTGGCCACACCACCCGCAACAGCTCCCCATCTAAGGAAATACAGACATCCACAAGCAATGGGCCGGTTAGGGGAGGGGGCTGCCCACCTGTGACCTTCAGCTGGGCCTCAGAGCTACACGAGCCCACTTGGAAACTAATGGTTCCAGCATCCTCCAGGGTCACCTGAAGGAGAGAGGGTGGTCTGTTCCATCTATGCAGACCCCTATCCCAGTCCAAATGCAGTGGGAAGCTTCCCCCCTACCTGGGGAGCACTGTGGCTGGACCTCAGCCTGGTCTGAATGGAGTGGGAACCTACTCCCCACACACACCCGAGGAGCACCGTGGCTGGACCCCAGCCTTGTCTGAATGGAGTGGGAACTTTCCTCCATATCTAGGGGAGCACTGTGGCTGGACCTTAGCCTGGTCCGAATGGAGTGGGAACCTCTGCCCCCTACACCCCGGGAAGCATCGTAGCTGGACCCCAACCAGGTCTGAATGGAGTGGGAACCTCCCCACCCCACAACACCCGGGGAGCACTGCACCTGGACCCCCGCCTGGTCCAAATGGAGTGGGAACCTCCCCCAACACACACACCCGGGGAGCACCGCAGCTGGGGCAGGACCCAGGGAAGCCACCTTATGCAGAGTGAGCAGGTGCAGCGTGCCGTGTTCCACAGTGATGTCGTTCATCTCGTTGGCCTGCAGGGGCACCCCTCCCAGGGCCCAGCAGGCCTCCTGGCCGCAGGCCCTAGACAGCTGGCACCGGAAGTGGGCGTCCTGGCCTTCACTGAGCTGCACGTCCTGCAGGGGCTCCAGGATGCTCACCTCGGGGACTGCACAGGGGATACAGGGTGTGGGCCTCAGTGTCCAGGATGTCAGGGGTGCCTCCCAATACCCCACCCCACTTCCTGAGCACAAGCACATGGGGCACCCCTCCATCAGACCTCTGCCATCTCCAACCCCTCACAGGGCTGCCTCCCCACCAGTCCCACAACCCCGAAGGCCAGGGACCCAGGAAGTTGTCTCTGGCATACTGAGGGCTTGAGCCTGTGTGGCACCCACTACCTCGGACAGTGAGCTGGGCAGAGGATGTGTGGGCGCCCACGTGGAAGGAGACGATGCCTGCGTCCTCAGGGGTCACACCCTTCAGCCTCAGAGTGTGGGTGCAGCCACCCTGCACGGCCAGCTCCGTCACCTCATTGTTCTGCAGTGGTAGGCCCTGGAGGCGCCACTCCACCTCTGTGGCCCCGGCCCGTGACAGCTGGCAACGGAACTCCACGTCCCCATCAACCTGCACCTCAGCATCCTCCAGCCCCCGCACAATGGTCACCTCGGGCTCTGGGGTGTGGGTGAGAGGGTCCCTTTACCAGCCAGGCCAACCTCCCACTCCCTTCCTCCAAGAAGTCTTCCTGAACACCCTCCCACTCTCCCCCTCTATCCACCAAGCACAACCTCTATCCACCATGCACAATCTTTGTCACCATGACACTCGAGTCTGGGCACTTGGTAGAAGTACAGAAGGGTTGTAGGGCTGCCTCTGCCCACCCCCACCCTGTGGCCAGCCGTGTGGGGTGGGGTTGTCGCGTGGGGGCTGCCTCTGCCCACCCCTACCCTGTGGCCAGCTCCACCTTGGTCAGGATAGCAGGGAGGCAAACTCTTCAGAGAGGCCCAGGACAGGCTGTCCGCCTGCAGGCTGGGGCCACCCTCACCAGAGTGAGCAGAAAGAAGAAAGAGCCTGTAACTGCAGGAGCCTCAGAGCCACGCCCAGATGAGTGTGTGGCCCTAGAGAGTGCTGGGCCAGGCCAGGCATACCCCCAGGGCAGCTACTGGGGGAGTGGGTGTGGCACAGATGGCTCACCTTTGACCATGACAGAGGCCACGGTTTTCTGACCACCGGCCACGCAGACGTACTCGCCGGTGTCCTTGGTCTCCAGCCCGTGGATCAGCAGCTCACACGTGGTCCCCACACGCCGTATCTCGTACTTGGGGCTCATATGCAGCTCCACACCCTCCTTAAGCCACTGCACCGGGACGCCGGGCTCTGCCTCACTCAGCTGGCAGTGTAGCCGGGCCACACTGCCGGCCTCCTGCCCTGTGCTCTGCAGCTCCATCTGGAATATGGGCCTAGGGGCTGGGGGGCCAGGGAGAGGTGCTTGGGGCTGGTGAGCATGGCACCCACTGCTCCCAGGAGGTGAGGGCCCAGGGAGGGCAGGGCAGCTCACCTCGGACGGAGAGGCTGGCCGTGCTCTGTGCGTGGCCTGTGTCACAGGTGTAATGGCCGGCGTCCTCCTGCTCGGTGCCATGCACCCGCAGCTCAGCAGCCCTTCCCTCCTGCACCATCTGGTACTTGGCACAAGGGAAGAGCTGCAGGGAGTCCTTGCGCCACTCCACGCTAGCGCCCTCTCGGCTCAGCTCACAGCGCAAGTGGGCTGTTGCACCTTCATCCACCTCCTGGGCCTGCAGCTCCCGGAGGAAGTGCACTGGTGCAGCTGCAGGGAAGCAGGACGGCGTGAGGGCAGGTGCAGGGGTAGCTAGGGAGTGCAGGGAGACCATAGGGATGCAGCTATGGGTGGGCAGGGAGAGACCACAGGGGTGCAGTTATGAGAATGCAGAGAGACTACAGGTGCAGCTAAGGTGTGCAGGGAGACCATGGGGGTGCAGCTGAGGGGATGGGGAGAAAGTGAGAGCCAGACCCATGGTTCCTACAAGGGTGTAGGTGGGAATTGCATGGGTATGGCTGCAGGGGATGGGGGTAACCTCAGGGGCTCAGCTCCCAGGGTGGGGGTCATGGAGGCTGAGTCTCCTGCCATGCCTGCCATGCCCACGGGAGCCTGTGTGCCCCACAGGACACCCAGGGAGGTGCTGCAGCCCAGAGGCCCAGCCCAAAGCACAGGGAACTTGCCCCTGGAACAGGTGTTGACTTGAAGCCCACCTGTAACGGTGAGGGCAGCACTGGTGGCCTGAGGTCCACAGGCACAGGTGTACTCGCCCGCGTCCTCTCTGCGCAGGTCCCGAAGCATAAGCTCTGCAGTGTGGCCCCGCTGCCGAGGCTCCCGGCGCCCATCAGCCTGCAGCTCCAGACCGCCCTTGCTCCAGACCACAGCAGCATTGGGCTGGGACAGCTCACACCGCAGGGTGGCTGAGGCACCCTCCTCAGCCTGCATGCTCTGCAGCGGCTCCTTGAACACCACCTGCGGGGCTGCAGGGAGGTGGGTGCAGAAGGGAGACACGGTCAGCCCAAGGCGGCACCCCCACACTCAGCTGTGCCCACTGAGAGCAGGAAAGCTGGACAGATTGGGGTGAGGTGGGAGAGGTACACCCACCAGCAGGACAGCCATGTGAGGTCATGAGGATGGGGGTCAGTGAGCAGACAAAGAACACTGGACAGGTGAGTAGACATGGCACAGTGTAGGTGAGAGCCCAAGACACAGTGGTGCTGCAGGAACACATACAGGGACAGGCACCCATGCAATGCACATGGCCACACGTGGTCTTTACCCCTGACAGTCAGCATAGCTGATGTTCTCTCCTGCCCGCACACACACGAGTACTCTCCGGCATCTGCCACGGCCAGGCCACGGATCTCCAGTTCACACATTGTCCCATCCTGCTTTAGGCTCACTCTGTCCCCAGCTCTAAGGGTCTCGGACCCCTTCCTCCACTCTACAGGGGCCACCTTGCTTAGCTCACATAGCAGAATGGCTGTGGCCCCTTCTGTGGCCTCTTCTGTCCTCAGGCTCCTTGTGAACTTGGCGGGCAGGGCTGGGGATGGTCAGAAAGACACAGGCACAATCACGGTCTCTGAACACGTGGATGAGACAGGACACAAACAGCACAGAAAAAAACACAAACCAAACTGGACGTGGGCCACATGCTGGGTGTACTGAGCACACACTGTGGGTAGCTTCCCTCAGACCTGCTTATGTACAGTGTGGCCGTGCCACTTTGGTGGCACTTCGAGCCTCATACTTTGTATGACTTTGGCTAGCATGGCTAGGGAGTCGGACACAGAATGCAGGATTGTTGAGGGTGGAACACAGTAGCATAGATGACAGGACAGACTCCTATGGGACAACAGGAACAGATGTGACCAAGGGTTTATATGCAGCTGAGCTGCTGGCTTCTCGTGGTTCACACAACCTAGGAAGGGGAGACATTCCATGAAGTAATGGGTGGAGGGTGACATCAGGGACAGAAAGAACGTGAACACGGAATGAGTGAGGGATGTCACAAATGCAATTAGATACCAGATCACAGCTATGCTTGGCTACACTAGGTCTTTACCCCTGACAGACAGCGTGGCTGATGTTCTCTCCTGCCCGCACACACATGAGTACTCTCCGGCATCCGCCAAAGCCAGGCCACGGATTTGCAGCTCACACACGGTCCCATCCTGCCTCAGGCTGATTCTGTTCCCAGCTCTGAGGGTCTCGGATCCCTTCCTCCACTCCACGGGGACCGCCTTGCTCAGCTCACAGCGCAGAGTGGCCATGGCCCCTTCTATGGCCTCTTCCTTCAACAGGTTCTTTGTGAACTTGGTGGGCAAGGCTGGGGAAAGCCAAGGATCAGGAGGACTCCAGACTGTCTCAGGGACTCTATGTCCAGGACAAGACACTCACAGGCATCACACAAACTTCCCAGGGCCATGGCATGAATGAGTGAGTGGAGCACGGAGTGGGTGGGCAAACAGTCCAGGAGAGACAAACACAAGCTTGGACACAAGCATCAGAACAAATACTTGACAAGGAGAAGGAGGCTGGGAGTTCCCAAGGGACACAGCTAGAGAGACGCAGATGCCCACGGAGTCTGACAGGGAGAAGGTGGTGACATAGTGACAATATGCAGACACCAAGACACTGGCCCACATGGCCACACATGGTGTTTACCCCTGACAGCGTGGCTGATGTTCTCTCCTGCCCACACACACACACGAGTACTCTCTGGCATCTGCCATGGCCAGACAACCAATTTCCAGTTCACACACAGTCCCATCCTGCTTCAGGCTCACTCTTTCCCCAGCTCTGAGAGTCTCAGTACCCTTCCTCCACTCCACAGGGACTGCCTTGCTCAGCTCACAGCGCAGAATGGCTGTGGCCCCTTCTGTGGCCTCTTCTGTCCTCAGGCTCATTGTGAACTTGGCGGGCAGGGCTGGGGATGGTCAGAAAGGCATAGACACAATCACAGTCTCTGGACACGTGGATGAGACAGGACACAAACAGCACAGAAAAGACACAAACCAAACTGGACCTGGGCCACATGGTGAGTGGGTGTGCTGAGCACACACTGTGGGTTGTGGCTTCCCTCAGACCTGCTTATGTACAGTGTGGCCGTGGCCTCTTCAGTGGCTCCTCAAGCCTCATACTTTGTATGACTCTGGCTAGTACAGCTGGGGAGTCAGGCACAGAATAGAGAATTGTTGAGGGCAGGATGCAATAGAACAGAGGATAAAACAGACTCTTGGGGCATCTGGGTGGCTCAGTCAGTTGAGCATCCAACTTTGTCTCAGGTCATGATCTCACAGTTCATGGGTTCGAGCCCCGTGTCGGGCTCTGTGCTGACAGCTAGCCCAGAGCCTGGAGCCTGCTTCAGACTCTGTATCTCCCTCTCTCTCTGACCCTCCCCTGCTCATCCTGTCTCTATCTCTCAGAAATAAATAAAAAAGAAAAAAAAAGAAAAAGAAGACAGACTCCTATGGGACAACAGGACCAGATATAACCAGAGGTTATATGTGCTGGGATGCTGGCTTCTCATGGTTCACATAACAATCCAGGAAGTGGAGAGATGCCACAGAGTCATGGGTGGAGAGTGACAAGAGAGAATGTGAGAGAGAAAGAATGTGAACACAGAATGAGCGCAGATGGACGTCCCAAAGTCAAATGGACACCATATCATGGGTATTGTTGGCCACATGTTGTTTTTATCCCTGACAATCAGCATGACCAATGTCCTCTCCTGCCCACACACACACGAGTACTCTTCAGTGTCTGCCACAGCCAGGCCACAGATTTCCAGCTCACACACAGTCGCATCCTGCCTCAGGCTGAACCTGTCCCGGCTCTGAGGGTCTTGGACCCCTTCCTTCCTCCACCCCATGGGGACTACCTTGCTCAGCTCACTGTGAAGATTGGCCATGGTCCCTTCTGTGTCCTCTTCCTTTCTCAAGCCCTTAATGAACTTGGCCAGCAGGTCTGGGTAGGGGCAAGGTGACACAGAGAACATCAAACTGTCTTGGGAACACTTTGTCCAGGATGGGAATACCCACAATAATCTCTCAACAGTAAAGGGTCACAGTCGAATGAATGAATGAATGCATGAACGAAGACACAGAAAATGAGAAAGGCAAACAGTCCAGGAGGAACATACACTAGCCTGGATACAAACACCAGAACACATACTTAAAAAGGAGATGGAGGCTGGGAGTTCCCAGGGGACACAGCTGGAGAGACACAGATGCCCACTGATTCTGACAGGGAGAAGGTGGTGACATAGCAATGATACGCAGACACCAAGACATTGGCCACATGGCCACATACGGTGTTTACCCCTGACAGTCAGCATGGCTGATGTTCTCTCCTGCCCGCACACACACGAGTACTCTCCAGTGTCCTCCAAGGCCAGGCCATGGATCTCCAGCTCACACACGGTCCCCTCCTGCTTCAGGCTCACTCTATCCCCGGCTCTGAGGGTCTCAGATCCCTTCCTCCACTCCACGGGGATCGCCTTGCTCAACTCACAGTGCAGAGTGGCCGTGTCCCCTTCCGTGGCTTCTTCCTTCCTCAGGCTCTTTGTGAACTTGGCAGGCAGGGCTGGGGAGAGGCAAGGATAAGGAGGACTCCAGACTGTCTCAGGGACTCTATGTCCAGGATGAGACACCCACAAGCATCACACAAACTGCCCAGGGCCACGGCATGAATGAGTGAATGGAGTACGGAATGGGCAGGCAAACAGTCCAGGAGAGACAAACATAAACCTGAACATGAACATTAGAACAAATACCTGACAAATAGATGGAAGCCAGGAGTCCACAGGGCGACACAGCTAGAGACACACAGATGCCCAAAGAGTCTGACATGGAGAAGGTGGTGACGTAACAACAATGTTAAGACACCAAGTAACAAGGCCACACACAATCTTTACCCCTGACGGTCAGCATGGCCGATGTGCTCTCCTGTCCGCACACACATGAGTACTCCCCGGCATCTGCCACAGCCAGGCCATGGATCTCCAGCTCACACATGGTTCCATCCTGCCTCAGGCTGACTCTGTCCCCAGTTCTGAGGGTCTTGGACCCCTTCCTCCACTCCACAGGGGCTACCTTGCTCAGCTTGCAGCACAGCTTGGCTGTGGCCCCTTCTGTGGCTTCTTCCTTTCCAAGACTTTTTGTGAACTTGGCAGGTAGTGCTGGGGATGGTCAGAAAGACACAAACACAATCACAGTCTCTGAACATGTGGATAAGGCAAGACATGAACAGCACAGAAAGGACACAAACCACACTGGACATGGGCCACATGCTGGGTATGTTGAGCACAATGGTGGGTTGTGGCTTCCCTCAGACCTGATTATATACAGTGTGGCCATGGTCTCTTTGGTGGCTCCCCGAGTCTCATACTTTGTATGACTCTGGCTAGCACACCTAGGGGGTCAGACCCAGAATGGAGAATTGTTGAGGGCAGGACATGATAGCACAGAAGACAAGACAGACTCCCATGAGACAACAGGACCAGATGTGGTCAAGGGATATATGTGGCTGGGATGCTGGGTTCTCATGGTTCACACAACAACCCATAAAGGGGAGATATTCCATGGAGTAATGGGTGTAGGGTCATACTAGAGAATGTGAGAGAGGAAGAATGTGAACACGGTGTGAATGCAGATGGACGTCATGTAGTCAACTGGACACCAGATCATGGCTCTGCTTGGCCACACGTGGTCTTTACCCATGACGGTCAGCATGGCCGATGTCTTCTCTTGCCCGCACACACACGAGTACTCTCCAGTGTCCTCCAAGGCCAGGCCATGGATCTCCAGCTCACACACGGTCCCATCCTGCTTCAGGCTGACTCTGTCCCCGGCTCTGAGAGTCTCGGACCCCTTCCTCCACTCCACGGGGACCACCTTGCTCAGCTCACAGTGCAGAGTGGCTGTAGCCCCTTCAGTGGCCTCTTCCTTCAACAGGTTCTTTGTGAACTTGGCGGGTAGGGCTGGGAAGAGCCAAGGATCAGGAGGACTCCAGACTGTCTCAGGACTCTATGTCCAGGACAAGACACTCAACAGGCATCACACAAACTTCCCAGGGCCATGGCATGAATGAGTAAATGGAGCACAGAGTGGGCAGGCAAATAGTCCAGGAGAGACAAACACAAACTTGGACACAAACATTACAACAAATACTTGACAAGGAGAGGGAGGCTGGGAGTTCCCAGGGGACACAGCTAGAGAGACACAGATGCCTATGGAGTCTGACAGGGAGAAGGTGGTGACATGGGACAATATGCAGACACCAATACACTGGCCCATGTGGCCACACATGACCTTTACCCCTGACAGTCAGTGTGGCTGATGTCCTCTCCTGACCGCAAACACATGAGTACTCTCCGGCATCCTCCATAATCAGGCCATGGATCTCCAGCTCACATATGGTCCCATCCTGCTTCAAGCTGACTCTGTCTCCAGCTCTCAGGGTCTCAGACCCCTTCCTCCACTCCACGGGGACCGCCTTGCTGAGCTCACAGCGCAGAGTGGCCGTAGCCCCTTCAGTGGCCTCTTCCTTCTTCAGGCTTTTTGTAAACTTGGGGGGCAGGCCTGTGGAGGGTAAGAAAGACACAGACATGATCACAGTTTCTGAGTACATAGATGAGACAGGACATGAACAGGAAAGATAAGACACAAATTCAATGGACATCGGCTATGTGCTTAGTGTGCTGAGCCTACACTGTGTGTTGTGGTTTCCCTCAGACCTGCTTATGTACAGTGTGGCTGTGGCCTCTCAGTGGCTCCTCAGGCCTCATACTTTGTAATGACTCTGGCCTGCATGGCTGGGAAATGGCCAAGAAGCAGGGGGGACAATAGGCTCTCTGGGGACCTGTGTCCAAGATGGTACCCATACAAGGATGCCACAACTGCAGAGGGCCATTGGGAGGAATGAGACACACATGCACCAATAGTGAGGGGGCAAGCGGCCTTGCAGAAACAAGGGGCACAAAGGACTGGACACCAATATCAAGACATGTGCTGGATGACGAGAAAGGATCCAGAAGACCTTGCAACTACAGCTAAAAAGACACAGACACCCACAAGTCCTGTGAATAAGGTGGTGACGTGGCAACAATGTGCAGACATCAAGCCATTAGTCCATGTGGCCACACATGGTCTTTACCCCTGATGGTCAGCATGGCCAATGTCCTCTCCTGCCCGCACACACACGAGTACTCCCCGGCATCCACCAAGGCCAGGTCACGGATCTCCAGCTCACACACAGTTCCATCCTGCCTGAGGCTCATTCTGTCCCTGGTTCTGAGGGTCTCAGACCCCTTTCTCCACTCCACAGGGGCCACCTTGCTCAGCTCACAGCGCAGAATGGCTGTGGTCCCTTCTGTGGCCTCTTCCTTCTTCAGGCTCTTTGTGAACTTGGCAGGCATGGCTGGTCAGAAAGACACAGAAATAATCATGGTCTCTGAGCACATGGATGAGACAGGACACGGACAGCACAGAAAAGACAAAGAAACTGGACACAGGCCATGTGCTGAATGTGTTGAACATACACTGTGAGTTGTGGCTTCCTTCAGGCTGGCCTATGCACAGTGTGGCCATGGCCTCTTTGGTCTCTCCTCAGACCTCAAACTTTGTATGACTCTGGCTAGTACGGCTGGAGAGTCAGACAAATCGGAAGATTGTTGAGGGCAGGACACAATAGCACAGAAGACAAGACAGACTTTCATGGGACAACAGCACCAGATATGACTGAAGGGTTATATGTGGCTGGGATGCTGGCTTCTCATGGTTCACACAACAGCCTAGGAAAGGGAGAGATTCCATGTAGTAACAAGTGAAAGGTAACACCAGAGAATGTGAGAGAGAAAGAATGTGAACACAGAGTGAGTGCAGATGGAAGTCACAAAGTCACAAAGTCTGGACACCAGATCATGGCTCTGTTTGGCCACACATGGTCTTTACCCCTGACAGTCAGCGTGGCTGATGTCCTCTCCTGCCCACACACACACGAGTACTCTCTGGCATCTGACACGACCAGGCCATGGATCTCCAGCTCACACACAGTTCTGTCCTGCTTCAGTCTGACTCTGTCCCCAGCTCTGAGGGTCTTGGACCCCTTCCTCCATTCCACGGGGACCGCCTTGCTCAGCTCACAGTGCGGTGTGGCCATGGCCCCTTCCATGGCCTCCTTGGTCTTCAGATCTTGGATGAACTGAGCAGGCAGTGCTCAGTGGAAGGTCAGATGGACAGAAGCCATCAATCCCTCTGGAGGATTTGAGGCATGATGTGAACACTTACGATCAATAAAGCAGAAACGTGGAGGAGGACAGATGGATCAGCTCATGTTTGATTGTGAGGGCTTCTGGCATCCACCCGGACCCTGGGCATTTTACCCAGGAACTGGCTCCTTCCAAGTGTCATGTCTCCTCAATGTCCTCATACCCTGACCTTTTGTACTAGCCCAGCTCTGGCCTCACCTGCACCAAGCTTGAAGTCAGGTTCCTCTCACTCACAACTCCCACACATGACATGATGGCTATCTCTCATGGAAGAATGCCCATGAGGCAACTCCTGGCCATGACATCCGCTGCTCCACTGTTGCTTCTCACCTCATGTCTCCCAGCCAAGGCATGGTGTCCATCTCTTGCTGCCACACCTGGGCTCATTGCATGCCATCCCCACGCACACTAGGTCCCACCTGCTCTACCACACATGTTCTTGTCCAGACCCCACCGGACACTCATTCTCCTGCTCAGATCTCCAAGATTATGATGGATGCAGCACACTCTTGGGCCCTTGTCACCTGAAATCCCACTCCAGACACAACAAGGTCCAAAAGTTACAGTTGACCAGTGTCCACCCTGATCACACCATGTCATGGGATGACTGCTGTATCCCAAATTCATGTTGAGGCCCCAACCCCCAGGACCTCAGAATGGCACTGAATTTGGAGAGGGGGTCTTTACAATGGTGGTTAAGGTAAAATGAAGTCACTAGGGTGGGCCCTGATCTTATATGACAGGAGGTAGGGACACACACACATACACAGAGCAACAGCTACGTGAGGACAAAGGACACAGGAGAAAGACAGTCATCTGCAAGCCAATGAGAGGCTTCCAGAGGAACCAGCCCTGTCTCGCCTTGATCTCAGCCTCCAGCCTCCAGGACTGGGAGACTACACATTTCCAATGTTGAGGCCACTTCTCTCTGTATCTCAGGCATGCCTGTTTTGTCAGCAGGAGCAGTTCGTGGCATAACAAAGACCTCAAGTTCTAGAAGAAGCTTCGGAACTGGGTGTTGCGTGGAGGCTGGGTTTTGATGAACAACTGGATGGATCTAGATTGCCTGGAGCAGATCATGGGGGCAGGGGTGGTCAGTATAGGTGTTACGGCACTTTTGGTGAGGCCCAAACTGGCAATGAGGAATAGGTGACTGGCCACTTGCTGGTGTCTGTAAGAAGTAGGAAGAAACTTGGATGAATTCTGCCCTGAGTCTGTGGAAGGTGGGTCTCATGAGCAGTGAACTTGCATGGTTAGCAGAGGGGATCTCCAAGAAAAGAGTTGAGAGAGAAGCTTGATTTCTCCTCACTCCTTGTGGTGAAACAGAGGTAAGAGTAGGGCAGATGCCATGCAGAGATGGGGTCGCCCAGGCAAGGTGTGTGGAGGGGTGGTCTGATGTTCTACACTCCTGAGAGCTGCATGGGAGACCAACAAGGTTTAGGAGAGCATGCCAGCAGGAGAAATGCCACAGCCATGCCTGAATCAGAGAGATGAAGGCTGAAAGGGTAGAGACCTCCAGACCTCTGGGGTTCCTACAGGATGCATTCATAGAGCTGCCCAACTATGGACATGTATCACCCATCAAGAAGGGCAAAAAAGGAAAGCAAGGGCAATTCAGAGGCTGCAGGGCTGCCACAGCAAGGCATCCAGAAACCAGGACAAGGCCACCCACTGCCCATGGCACCACTCGTGGGCCCAGAGGACAGATGATTAGGGCAGAGGCTCCTTCTCCAGCCCTAAAATCCAGGAGTCTGTCTTTTCCAGTGTCGTGCCTCTGGGGATTAGGGACCTCTTCCCTTGTTCCCATTTCTCCTCTTAGGAACAGGAACGTGTGTCCGGTACATGTCCTGTGACTGTCTTTGGGAGACGTGCAGCCTGACTTCACAGATTCACAGCTGGAGAGGAAGCTGCCTTGAGTGTCACCCAACCTGGTGCATATCCTTCCATCACACTTCGGATTCCATGGTGATGCTGGACTCAGCTAAGGCTTTGGGGCCTTGGGGATGGGGTGCATATATGCTGCATGTGGGAAAGACGTGCATTTTCAGGGATACAAGGGGCAGACTGTCATGGATGGATGGACTGTTACCTACCCACAAATTCATATCCTGGAGTCGTGCCCCCGAAACCTCAGATTGTGAACATATATGGAAATATGATTACTCTTCAGTGGGGTAATTAGGGTAAAAGGAGGTCTTTGGGGTGGGTCATACTCTAATCATGCTGGTGTCCTAACAAGAAGATACCAGGACACAAATAGAGGGACAATGGACAGGCACATGAGGACATGGAAGGAGACAGTGTGTACACTCCAAGGACGGAGGCTCCTGGGTCCTGACACCTGGATCAAGACATCCTGCCACTATGAGTGTGGGACCTGTGACAGTGTTTGTTCTGCAGCCAAGTCAAGTGGGACAGAGCCCCTCACAGGGCAACCAAACCCTGTCACCAGAAAAGGAGGGCCTGGCCTCTGTGGCCTCCTTATCCCCGAATGCCCCAGTGCTGCCCCTCAGTCCTCCTTCACACAACCGTCATGTGTGTGAGATGCTCCCAGCTCCACGCCGGGGCCCACAGCATGTGCGCATCTGCAGCCCAACCACAGGCCAGCAGCCCAGGGCCACTCTGCTGGACTGTGATGCCCATCTGTACATGCTCACCTGGGGGTTCCCATACCATCTGCCCCAGGGCCTGGACAGGACTGACCAGTGTGTTCTTACTTAGTGTGAGACTGTGGGATGCTCTACATGGTTATTTTGTGGCCCTGGAGGGACAGCAACTCTGATAGACATGGTGGGGGCACAGGCCAGGAGGCAGAGGAAGTCACTCAGGTGGCCACACACAGTCTTTACCCCTGACAGTCAACACGGCTGATGTCCTCTCTTGCCCGCACACACATGAGTATTCTCCGGTGTCCGCCAAGGCCAGGCCACGGATCTCCAGCTCACACACGGTCCCCTCCTGTCTCAGGGTGACCCTGTTCCCGGCTCTGAGGGTCTCGGACCCCTTCCTCCACTCCACAGGGACCGCCTTGCTCAGCTCACAGTGCAGAGTGGCCATGTCCCCTTCCACGGCCTCTTCCTTCCTCAGGCTCTTTGTGAACTTGGCAGGCAGGGCTGGGGACAGCCAAGGATCAGGAGGACTCCAGACTGTCTCAGGACTCTATGTCCAGGACAAGACAGCCGCAAGTATGACACAAACTGCCAAGGGCCACGGCATGAATGAGTGAATGGCGCACAGGGTGGGTGGGAGGTAAATGGCCCAGGAGAGACAAACACAAGCCCAGACACAAACATCACGTCAATTACTGGATGGGGAAATGAAGGCTGGAGTCCCCAGCTGGAGAGACACAAATGCCCACAGAATCTGACAGGACAGGGAGAAGATGGTTACATAGTGACAATGTGCAGACACCAAGCCACAGGACCACATGACTACACACAATCTTTACCCCTGACGGTCAGTGTGGCCGATGTCCTCTCCTGCCCACACACACATGAGTACTCCCCAGCATCTGCCACAGCCAGGCCACGGATCTCCAGCTCACACATGGTCCCCTCCTGCCTCAGGCTCACTCTGTCCCCAGCTCTGAGGATCTGGGAACCCTTCCTCCACTCCACAGGAACTGCCTTGCTCAGTTCACAGCGCAGCATGGCCGTGGCTCCTTCCATGGCCTCTTCCTTCCTCAGGTTCTTTGTGAACTTGGCAGGCAGGGCTAGGAAGGATCAATGTGACACAGAGAACATCAGACCAGAGTAACGTGGGGAGTCAGGATGTGGACACTCAACAGTGAAATGCACTCTAGAGCAAATAAGAAATCAAAGCATGAACACACAAACACATGGGTGGACCACAGTGTGTGGTGGCTGGGCAGCAAGAAGACAGAGGAGCTGGCATCTTCACTGGACCCCAGGACATGGACACACACATGGAAATAGTCATAGCGCCCACAGGACAGACAGACACAGTGGCCAAAGGAAACATCTTCCAGCATCTTCTATGCCCAGTCCTGCCTCAGATTGCACCTGATGCCAGATTCAAGGGCCCAGGTCCATCTACCTCACATACCCCAGGCTGCCCTGCTTGGACCACATCATGGCCTTAGCCCCTGGCAGCTGCTCCCAGGCTAGGGGGCACCCATGCCCTGTGAGGTCACCTGGTGCCCCTATGGCAATGATGCTATGCTCGTCCACACAGTTCAAGCTCCACAGGAGCCTGGATGCTCCTGAGATCCCCCCAGGATGTGGGAAGTGGCTTTATCTTATCTTGTCCTATCTGCTTCCCTGCAGGAAGTAAGCAGGCCCCCATAAGGGCCCCTGAGAAGCCCAACCCTGGCAGGGAGCCACTGGCCACACCATGGCAGGGCCTGCACTGAGCCCCCATTCCCAAGGGTCTCAGGCCCCTTGCACCACTGCACAGGTTCTTCCCAGGGCTCAGGCCCTAGGATCTTGGTGAATAGGTGTAGTCAGGCCTGGGTAGGGCAAACGGACACACAGACGGCAGATGAGGAATGGCCATAGATACCAAGCTGGCCTGTTGGAAGCAGGCTCCCTGGGGATGGTGGGCAGGATGCCACATGGGAGGCAGCTCCACTGCATGAGGACCCCCCCTGCCTCTCCCAGGGGAGCCTCTCCCAGGACATGGCCCTATCATTGCTGACCCCTGGGCCAGCCCTCCTGTCCTGCCCTGCATCCTGAATCCCACCATCTCTGACATGCCCCACCCCCAAAGGACCCCCTGACAATGCTGTGAGCAGATCTATCTACCTGCCAGCACCAGACCCAGACCCCACCTCCACATGGACACCCCCCCTGCCTTCCCGGGCATGGCACACATGACCTTCCCCTCCGCCACCTGCCATGCTCCATCCACACCCACTGTCGCCTCCACAACTGCCTCACCTCACCTCCACATCCAGCTCACCTTCCTCATTCACCACATCTCATCTCACCTCACCTATCTCATCTCCACACCCACCTCACCTCACCTCCACACCCACTTCACCTTCCTTATCTACCTTATCTCACATCACCTCACTTCATCCACTTCATCTCACTGCCATACCCACCTCACCTCACCTCCACACCTACCTCACCTTCCTCACTCATCACACCTGACCTCATCCATCTCATCCTCACACCCACCTCACCTCACCTTTCTCTCATCACCCACCTTACCTCACCTCCACACCCACCACACCTCATCACCATACTCACCTAACCTCCACACCCACCTCACCTTCTTCATCCACCTTACCTCATATCACCTCACCTCACCTCCACACCCACCTTACCTCACTGCCACACCTGCCTCACCTTACTTCCACAATCACTCATCTCACCTCCACAACCGCCTTACTTCATCTCCACACCCACCCTGTCTCATCTCCACACCCACCTAACCTCACCACCACACCCACTTCACCTCATCTCCATACCCGCCTCACTTCTACAAATCATCTCACCTCACCGCATGCCCACACCCACCTCACCTCCACACCCACCTCACATTCACAATCATCTCTCCTCACCTCCACACTCTCTTCTTCTCACCTCCACAATCACCTCATCTCACCTCCACATCTGCCTCACCTTACTTCTGCACCTGTCTCACCTCCACACCCACCTCACCTCACCTTCCTCATTTCACCACTACACCCACTTCACCTCATCCACCTCACCTCATCTCCACACCCTCCTCATCTCACTTCCACACTCACCTCATCTTCCTCACTCACCACACCTCACCTCCAAACCCAACTTACCTCACCTCACCAGCCAGGTCCAGTGCACCTCACCTTACCTCAGTCTCCACACCTGGACCTTGCTCCACACCCACATTTCACCCCCCACAGCTCTCCCATGTCCCTTCATGTGTGTTCTGGCTCTCTTCCTCAATCAGCCTCCCAGTATCCCTGTGTTGAGTGCCAAGCTTCAATCTACTTCCTAGCACCTCCCTGGCACACTCCAGAGGCCTCATGAAGTCTGTAACCCTCATTTGTATTGTAGGATGCCTCCCATCTCTCCCTGAGATGTGACCCCCTGAGGGCAGGAAGGACCTTATTTTCTGCAGTTTATTTGGGATGAGCCTCACACAAGCAGGATGCAGCAGACACACAGAGAGGCAGAAGGACCTTACAGTGATCAGAGAAGAACAACAGGACATGACACAGCTTTTGGAGACATGGAGACTGCTCCACGTGGGCACACAAGGTCCTTACCTCTGACGGTAAGTGTGGCTGATGTCCTCTCCTGCCCACACACACATGAGTACTCCCCGGCATCTGCCAGGGCCAGGTCATGGATCTCCAGCTCACACATGGTCCCATCCTGCCTCAGGCTCACTCTGTCCCCAGCTCTGAGGGTCTGGGACCCCTTCCTCCACTCCACGGGGGCCTCCTTGCTCAGCTCACAGTGCAGCATGGCCGTGTCCCCTTCTGAGGCCTCCTTGCTTCTCAGTCTCCCTATGAACTCAGCAGGCAGAGCTGGGAAGAGTGAGACATAGAAGATCAGGTTCTCTGGAGATTGTTGGGGGTGGTACATGACAGGACAGACAACAAGACAGACTCCCACAGAACAACCAGACCAGCAGTGACCAAAGGGTGGTAAGTGGCTGGGATGCTGGTTTCTCATGATTCACACAACAGCCCAGGAAGGGGAAAGATTCCACGCGATGACAGGTGGAGGGTGACACCAGAGAATGTGAGAGAGGAAGAATGTGAACACGGTGTGAGTGCAGATGAACATCACAAAGTCAACTGGACACCAGATCAAGGCTCTGTTTGGCCACACACAGTCTTTACCCCTGACAGTCAGCGTGGCTGATGTCCTCTCCTGCCCGCACACACATGAGTACTCCCCAGCGTCTGCCACAGCCAGGCCACGGATCTCCAGCTCACACACGGTCCCATCCTGCCTCAGGCTCACTCTGTCCCCAGCTCTGAGGGCCTGGGACCCCTTCTTCCACTCCACGGGGGCCTCCTTGCTCAGCTCACAGCGCAGCGTGGCTGTGGCCCCTTCTGAGGCCTCCTTGCTTCTCAGTCTCCCTATGAACTCAGCAGACAAGGCTGCAACAGGACCCAACAGAGAATGTCACCTTTGTCTTCCTAAGGGAATGAAAGGGGAGTGCGGGTAAGGCAGGCAGGGATGCTTACCCTTCACTGTGAGCATGGCCATGGTCATCTGGTCCCCAAAGTGGCAGGAGTACTGCCCAGTGTCCTGGGGCCGCAAGTCCCGGACTACCAGCTCCAGCACTGCGCCCTCTTGACGCAGGCTGTACTTGCCTCCAGGCCGCAGAGCCTCATCTCCACGGCGCCACTCCACAGGCGCGGCCACAGATGACAGCACACAGCGCAGTGTGGCAGCTCGGCCCTCTGGCACCTCCAGGTCCTTCAGCCCCTCGCGGAACCACACGGGCCGTGCTACAGGCAGGCACAGGCTTGGCTCAACCTCCCAGTCCTGCACCCCAGCTGAAGGCCCCTGGGGTTAGGGACAGCTGAGGAGACAGCAGCCAAGGGCACAGGCAGGCCCACCTCACCCTTTCTACACAGGGGGCTATGGACAGCGACCACCAGAACTCTGTCCTGGTGTCCCACCCCCCGATTTATACACTGGAGCCCCAACCCCTAGAATCTCAGGATGACTGTGTTTGGAGACGGAATCTTTACAGAGGTGATTTTGGTAAAATGAGGTTATTGGGATGAGCGGATCCCTCATATCTGTGAGATCACATACAAGGAGGTGAGGACACAGACACAGACGGAGAACAAAGCCAGGACACAGGGAGGGGGCGGCGTGTGCAAGCCAAGGAGAGAGGCCTCAGTGAGGAACCGGCCCCACCCATGCCTAGATCTCAGACTTCCTGCTTCCAGGAGTGGGACACAGTAAAAATCTATGGTTTCAACTACCTGGTCTGTGGGTCCATGGGTCCATGGCATTTGTCATGTGGCCCATGCTATGACACATGGAGATGAGCCAAGCCAGGAGGAGGGGACACAGAGATGTCAGAAAATAAGAAAAACAAGACACAGAAACAAAGCAAGACAGACACTGCTGCTCAGGAGACACAGGTGGAAGATGGCAGACTCTACCAAAGCAGCAGACACCTGGACACGCACAGAGGAGCCATGGGCCCCCACACACAGAGAAGACAGGAGCCCAGGAGGAGGACATGAGCCCAGGAGCTCACCATGGACCCTGACGATGGAGCTGCTCCAGGAGCCCCCAGCTTCACACTTGTAGCGCCCGCCGTCCTGCACGGTGGTGCCCTTGATGACCAGCTGGGCCCGGTGGCCCTCCTGGCTCAGCTGGCACCGGGCTGATGGCCGCAGGGCCTTCCCGTCCTTGGTCCAGCACACGGGGCTGTCCAGGATGGTGGTCTCACAGACCAAGGTAAGATCCTCCCCTTCTGTGACTGTGGCTTCCGTGAGCTCCCGGGAGAAGACACTTGGCTTTTCTGGAGGTGCAGAGGGAAACTCAGGACACTTGGGGACTCCTGGTTGCATGTGTACTACTCCCTGAAGCTAGGGCTACCAACTGGATGCCAGGGGAACAGGGAAGGCCTGGCATGGCCCAGCCACACTTTGGAGACAGTGGGATCAGCTCTGCATACCACATGCAGTGATCATCTTCAAAGAGCCTCACCTCCCCGGGATCTGTGGTCCAGGCACCTTGTCTGTGGGCCCCAGGACTATGCTCTGCACATGGCCAAGATCTGCCCTCCACAAGGCTGCACCCTCAGCTCCACAGACAAGACCCCACCCCGGCACTGAGCACCCAGCCCACCTGTGACCTGAAGAGTGGCTGAGGTCCGCTGGTCCCCAGCCTCAAAGTGGACAGTGCCTGAGTCCTTGAGCGCAAGCTGCCTCAGAGTCAGCACATGGTAGCCACCTGGCTGAACCTCAATCTCATTAAGCTCATTCGGGTGCAGGGGCGTCTTGTCCAAGAACCAGTGGACGGGCCCATAGTCAGCAGGGGAGATGCGGCAGGAAAAGGTGGCCGAGGAGCCCTCTCGCACCTCCACGTCCTCCAGATCCTCTGTGATGAGCACTTTCCGGCCTGCAGGGCACAAACCCACAAGTAAACATCCCCTGCAGCCTGCTCTCAAGGGAAAGGGGCACTCCCCAAGACCGGGTATGGGCTCCCAGCCGGGCTGAGCAGGGCTCAGGATGGTGAAACCCAGAGCACAGCAGGGACGTCAGAGCTCAACTGTCCACAAATGTGCTTTGGCTCAACTGATGAACCTCAAACCCACCTCTGGGGTCCTTCTGCAGAGCACACAGGGTGGCTCACAGCGAGCTCCCTCTCACCAAACCGTTCTCTACACCTGCCTATGTCTGTCCCCAAGGTCACAGGATGCAATTAAATCGTGGATTAAAAGAAGAAATAGGAGGGGCACCTGGGTGGCTCAGTCAGTTAAGCATCTGACTTTCACTCAGGTCATGATCTCATGGTTTGTGGGTTTGAGCCCCACATAGGTCTCCGTGCTGACAGCACAGAGCCTGGAGTCTGCTTCAGATTCTGTGTCTCCCTCTCTCTCTGCCCCTACCCCATTCATTCTCTCTCTCTCTCTCAAAAACAAATAAACATTACAAAACTATTTTTAAAAACACAAGAAATAGAAGTGTGAAAATAGACATGTGGCCATGTGAAAACTTAAATGCTTTGGAAGATTGGCAACGTGAATTCCTGGGGAAAACCTCACTTCTGCTGCTTTCCTAGGTGCGGGGAAAGCTCAGAGAGAAGTTCTAATGATGGAGAGGAGCTGCCTCCAGTCTCCTTTTGCACCTGCAGGTGTCTTACATCTATGGGACCATGGAAAACACTTGTGGATGGCCCATTGGTGGATGACGTGTGTAGGGGAGACAAGTAAACTGAGTCACGCACTGGCACGCAAAGAAAAGGCTGTGGCCTGCATGGCCAGATGAACACATGTCTGTGTCTTGTCTTTGAAGAGGATGCTGTGTTACAGCGTGTTGCTCACTTTAGCTGATATTTTCTGGATTAAGCACGAGTATCATCTTTGTTACAGACCAGGGATTCTACTGTGCTGACAAGGTGGATGTGGTGTGAGCTTACTGGGTTTGCTGGATTTCACAGAAGAGGAAAGGAAAAACCATAGCAAGGCTGCTTTGTTGTACTTTCACTATTTCCCGTGAACAGACCCCCACCCCCCACCCCGGGAGGGCCCTCCTTCTGACACCTCCCTGGATCCTGGACCCTGGCATTGGGAGGGGAGTGCCCTGTCCTGCCTACACTGACATGCCCTACAATTCTGGGCCAGCCGTGGGCCCCCACTTCCCCACCTGGGAGGTGGGAGAATAGCCCTCAAGCTGCCTGGTGGATGCAACTGTTACTCACACTTGGAGACATCCCCAGGCCATGCTCCCTGCAGAGACCCACTCCAGCACACAGGCACACTCCAGCACACAGGCTCAGAGCAAACGCTGCATGAATTCATGAGGACACATGCTCATTCACACCGCGTCCCTTTAACAGGACCACAGAGACGAGACTACCCAGGGCTGAGGTCCCGGGGATGGGGAAACCGAGGCTGGTCCCTGACAGACTCTAAGCCTACTTTGAACAAAGCTCACCCCCGACCATACCCCCAGCCAGCATGGTGCCGGGCCCCACCTTGCACCAGGAGCCGGGCCTGGGAACAGGCCTGGCCGATGTCACAGGTGTACATGTCGCTGTCCGCCCTCTCCAAGGTGCTAATGGTGAGCTGCAGGGTCAGGCCCTCCTGGCTGGGTGTGTGCTTCCCGGAGGCATGCAGCTCCGTGAGGCCCTTGCGCCAGGTCACTGTGGTTGCGGGACGCTCCGTCTTGCACAGAAACACAGCTGTGCCCTTCTCTTCCACCTGCAGGTCGGTCAGCTCGTCTGTGAACCGGTTGGCCTTTTCTGGGAGGTGGTGGGAAGGAGTGGGGGTTGAGGGCTGCGCAGACCCCACACTGGCCCCTCCAGACAGGGAACAGCCCCCACCATGGGCAGGAAGGGAGGGACAGAGGCCTTGGGGACCCATCCTAGGGTCGCCTGTGGGGTCACCTTCCACACGGAGGCTTGCTGTGCTCTTGGAAGCTTCTGTCTCACATGTGTATTCGCCCGAATCCTTGAGCGACACGGCACGAACCACCAGCGTGGCCCGAGTGCCTTCTGTAACCAGGTCGTACTTCTGACTCTTGCGAATGGCCTTCCCGTCTTTCAGCCAGCGCACCGAGGTCCCGGCCCGAGACAGCTCACAGCTCAGCACCGCGTCCTCACCTGGAGTGGCCTGCTGGTCTTCCAGAGGCTTTGTGATACCCGCTGGCCTCTCTGAAGAGAGCAGAGAGCAGAGCAGCTTCCCTTGAGGCATGGTCACACCCTAGCCACGCTTAGGGTGAGGGCAGGGCAGGTACTACAGAGGCCGAGACCACAGACTGTTCTGGGGTCACCGGGCCTGGAGTGCAAGAGCCCCCACAGTCACAGAGAGGGGCCTGGGAGGGGAGATACGAGACCACAAGCCCTCACACCTCAGTATCATCCAGAGCCCTGAGACTCAAAGCATGGCCACCGCCAGGGCCAGCTGTGAACTGAACACACCCACCTGCACCCGTATTTATGCCAGGTGCACAAGCTGAGGAATGTGCATGGTGATTTCACTAGCTCAGTGAGCCGTGAGCCCTAGGGGTACCACAGCTGTCAGACCACAGGTCAGAGACCACAAACCCTGCTCCTGCCCAGCAACTGGAGACTCCAGCCCCACAGAGTGAGCTGAGATGACCAAATCTGCCCTGCATCCCAGCAGATGCCTCTGGGCCTCCAACAGGGGGGCCCCCCCAGGGACTGCGGGAGGTCATCCTCAGAAGCACCGTTTCTGGCCTTGAGGCCCCACTCACCCTCACCCCAGTCTCCACTGACAGGCCCCCATCTCTGTACACATTGCCCACCTCTAACGATGAGGGAGGCCTTGGAGGTGAGGTCCCGCACGGAGAACACCACTTCCCCAGCATCTCCAGGAGCCGCATCTTGAACAACCAGGGTATATTTGCGGCCCTGGAGTGTGGCCCGGAAGCGGCCAGAGCTACCCACTGTCTTCCCGCCAACTGTCCATGTGGCCACATCGCCAGGGTTCTCATGGGACAGGACACATTCGAAGGTGCAGCTCTGGCCTTCTGGCACCTCCGCCGATTTCAGCCTCTTGGTGATGCCCACGTGCAGGTCTGTGGGCCACGGAAGATGGTGGTCATGCCTCTGACACCAGCCCCTTAGGACTGACACTGTTAAGCCTGTAGCTACCCCAGGCCAGACCCCCCTCCCCCTCCCTAGGCCCACTCCCTCCTAAGCAAACGCCTCCAGCTGGCTGAACACTGTTGTTTGGACCCCAGAGAGCTGTGAGTGCCAACCAGTGTGGCCACCCTCCTATCTGCTACAGAACACGATGCAGAGAACATACACTGTCTGCGGTGGTGGCCAGCTCAGAGCTCCTGGGGGTGGGGGGGGGAAGGACAGATCCGCACGAAGGGGCTGTCCGGCTCCAGAAAAAACTCACCACCCTGCCCTGCCCCATTTCCTATCTCACCCCAAGCCCTACCCAGACCTCCAGGGACCCGCACCCGAGTGACTGGGGACCAAGCTTGCCATACACTTGCACGAGAGATAATCTGACCAGAGGAGCTGGGCCAGGACACCGGTGCACACAGGAAGTCAGCCCTAGGCTGGCAGGGATGTCTGAAGAGACCCAGGTGTCCCGAGGCAAGGGAGGGGCAATGCTGCCCTGCTGGCTGTGAAACCTATGATGTGGCTCAACCTTTCTAAGGCACCTTGATAAACCAGAACGTGGCCTGCCCACAACCACCTTCACCAGGCTGTGCCTGTGGCCTGGGAGTCCTTCTGGGCCATCCTATGCCTGACATCTGAGCCCCTGCCATTGGCAACCCCCAAGAAGCAACCCTGGCTGTGTGCCCTCGGTGGTTCTCGCACCCGACCACGACATATCTCCTGGTACAGATTGAATGTTACCAGCCTGCACTGAATCCCTGTCATCTTGGGACGCAGGGGCATCTAAAACGCAGGGGCAGCCCAGTCTCCCCAGCTCTTCCGTTTGTCTTCCTCTCCCGCTCCCCTGTCTGTACTTAAGCCTCCTAGGGACAGTCAAACCTGGTCTTCCAGGAGCGTGCCCTGACCTCCTGGGCTTTACAAAGCAGCTCTTGGTACGGTTGAAGGGGTGGACCCCACAGCCGCAGGGGCCGCCTGCCTCCTGGACCTGGTTTTGTTCCTGGGCCCAGACCCGCCCCTAGACCCCTAGGCCCTGCCCTGCCCTGCCTTTGCAACCGGCCCCTCCCCTGGAGACAGCTCCGCCCCTGGACCCAGACCCGCCCTAGACCTCACCATGCCCCTGCAATTGGCCCCGCTTCTGGACATGGCCCTGCCCCTGGAGACGGCTCCGCCTCTGGAATTAGTCCCGCCCCTGGAGACAGCTCCACCCCTAAATTGGCTCGGTCCCTGGATGCGGCCGGTTTCCTGGGCCCAGACCTGTCTCTGGACCCGGCCGAGCAGCCTGCAACTGGTCCCGCCCCTGGAGACAGCTCCTCCCCTGGAACCCGCCCCGCCCCAGGGGCCGGGCCGGGCCTCAGGGAGCCAGCTCCATCTCTTGGAGCCAGCCCCGCGTAGACACGCACCGTGCACGCTGACTCTGGCGCGGGTCTCCTCCGAGCCCACGCTGCAAGTGTAGAGGCCAGTGTCGTCCCGGCTCAGGTCATGCACCACGAGACCGCGCGTGCCCGCTGTGTGCAGGAAGTCGTACTTGTCGCTAGGGCCCAGCTCCACTCCGTCCTTGCGCCAAACCACGTGGGCCTGGGGGTCTGAGACCTCGCACTGCAGGGCCAGCGTGCCGCGCTCCTCTGCGGACACATCGTCCAGCGCCTTCAGGAACACCACCGGCTTTGCTGGGGGGAGGGTGTGGGCAGGTAAGCGAGTGCCACCTTCAGCCTGCGAGGAGCCCAGCGCCCCGCTCCGGGAGGACCCCAAGGACCCGCAGTGACGCCTCACCTTTGACCTCCAGGCGGGCAGTGACCGACACCTTGGGGGAGCAGGCGCGCACAAGGCCGGCGTCGGCCCGCCGAACCCGCTTCAGCACCAGCGTGTGGCGACGGCCCTCGTGGGAGATCTCGTGGAAGCTGTCGTTGTACAGAGGTGTGCCGTTGAGCGACCACTCCACTTCTTCGTCCTCATGGGACAGCTCGCAAGAGAAGCAGGCGCGGCCTTCCTCCGTGGCTTCTGCGTCCTGCATTGGCTTCATCACTGTAACCTCGCGTGCTGCAAAGAGCACAGAGCCGCTCAGCACCCTTCCCCCTTCCCCCCAACCTCTCTCTGGGGACCCTCCCCTCCCCTGAGACCCAACCCCCTACTGGAACCAACCCCCCAGACCCAGACCCTGCCCCCACCCTCTCCGCCACCCCCAGACCCTCCCCCCCACGATTCCTGCCCCCTCCTCCCCCTAGCGGAGGCCCTCCCACCGAGGACCCTCCGTCCAGTGGAGACTCTCCTCCGGGGACCTTCCCCCTGGGGGCCCTTCCCCTCCCCGCGGCGGAGACCCATCCCCCCGCCCCGGAACCCCGTGCGCCCTCTCTACCTTCCACTGTGACCTCGGCGCTGCTCTGGGCGCTGCCGGCCTGGCACCGGTAGACGCCGGCATCTGCGGGTGTGAGCCTGAGGATGCGCAGTTCCGCCATGTGGCCCTCCAGCCTCATCTTGTACTTGTCTGAGGGCGCCAGGGGCGTGTCCTCCTTGTACCACTGCACGGCCTTGGGGGGCGGCTTGAAGTCGCAGGACAGGACCACGGACTGCTGCTCGCGGCCCGACTTGGGCTCCAGGGGCCATGTGAGCACCATGGGGATGTCTGCCGCGGGAGGGGAGAAGGCAGCGCTGCGTCAGCGGAGGGACTGCGGGGTCCCAGCACCCTCCCTGTGGCAGGTCTGCCTGCAGCCCTCTCGCTCCAGCGGCACACTCACCGGAGACCACCAGGCGCGCGGTGGAGCGCGACTTGCCAATGGTGAAGTGCACCGGCCCGGTCATGGTGGAGCAGGTACGCCGCAGCGTCAGCCGGTGCACCGTGCCCTCCTGCTCCATGCCGATGGTGGGCCCGGCCTGGAGCACCGTCTTTCCCAGGAGCCACTTGGGCGGCCGCACCGAGGGGATGGAGGTCTCGCATTCGAACCAGGCGGGTGCGGGCTCCATCACCGTCACATCCTGCAGGACCCGGACGATGGTGATGGATTGCTCTGTGGGTGAGGGGCTGGTCACTGGCGCGGTCCCGCAGGGAGGACCGCCAGTGGCCACAGGCATGGGGGAAGGTGCCCGCACAGCCCCGCCCACACCTTCCACGAAGAACTGGGCGCTGGTCTTCACATCGCTGGCATCGCATGTGTAGATGTCCTCATCCTCTGGCTGCACGTCATTGATGATCAGCTTGCGGTAGAGGCCGTCACTGACCATCTCATACTTGGGCCCCGGCTGCAGCTGCACGTGGCCCTTGAACCACTGCACCTGGGCGCTGGCCCTGGACATCTGGCACTCCAGCACACCGCGGTGCTTCTCCATGGCGATCTTGTCCCGAAGTGGGCGCAGGATGGTTACCGGCAGCTCTATGGTGTGGTGGGGGGAGGGCGGACAGGGTGAGGGATGCTCAGCACCCCAGGAACTCTGCCTGGCCCCCCTGCCAAGTGGGCAGGCTGGAGCCCCTCCGCTGGGGCCAGCAGGTGGCTTGGCCAGGTGTCACCCTCTGCTTCTCTGGGACCCACTGCACACAGCTGACCAGGAGAAGGGTGGGTGCACACACATACATACACCCCTGCACCATGCACCCTGGCTCTAGACAAGCTCCTCCAGCACACCCCTGCCCCACCCCTGTCCCACCCCTCCACATCCCCACTTCTTGCCCCACACAATCCTGCATCAAACAATTCCAAGCCTCATACACCTTCGCCCCAACTTGCTGCAGACCCTCCCTCTTTTATGCCCTGACTGTCACCATGGCCACCTGTTAAGGCCTCATGCTCACCACATGCTTGGGGCCCCACACCCCTTCTCTGCATTGCTACAGTCCCAGGAGGAAGGATTTACTCAACATCCTGAGCTGCCTCTCAGAGCCCCCTGTCTTGCTGGCGAGGAGGCAATACCTCCCTTTCCTCCTCCTGGTCTTGCTGTCCTGGGACAGCTGCACTGTCAGCCCCCATAAGGCCCCAAAGCTGTGTCTTCAAACACACTGCCCAGCACACACCCTCCCCTGGGCTCCCTCACCTTTGACTCGGAGCTGGGCTCGTGATTCTGCGTTTTCAGCTACAAATTTGATCTCCCCTGCATCTTCTGCCAGGACCCTCCGGTAGATGAGGGTGTATGTCCTTCCTGGAAACACAGGCCAGTCAGTACCGGGGGAGCAGGGCCTGGGGACAGGATGGAGGAGAGCCCTCCCGAAGCCTGCCCAAGGGCACACCTTCCTGGCGGATGCGCACGTTGTCGCTGGGCCGAAGCTTATTGCCCTCCCAGAACCACTGGGCCGGCACTTCGTCATGAGAGATCTTGCAGGAGAAGGTGGCACCCTCCTTTTCCATCACCTCCACATCCTCCAGGTGCGTCACGATCTGAACATTGCGACCTGGGGTGGCAAGAAGGCCATGCCACTCCTGGGTGCACAGAGCTCCCCCTTTCCCTCCCCCCGAGATTGCTGAGGGGTGCAGGGCAGGGGTGGAGCCAGAGGGCTAAGCACCTTGCTGGGGCATGCAGGGTGGCCAGGAAGCTCTGGCCCAGCAGACCCTGACCCTTAGTCGGCCCACCTTGCACCTTCAGGGAGGCTGAGCTCTGAGCATCACGAGCATCACACACGTACACGCCCTGGTCACCAAGCTCACAGTGGAAAATGATGAGACTCCGGCACGTGCCCTGGGCCACCATGCCCACTGTCTTGCCCACCCGCAGCTCTACGCCGTCCTAAGGAGGAGCGAGGTGGGTCAGGCACTGGAGTTGCCCAGCAGAGCAGCCCACCCCTGCCAGCCCACAGTGAGGGGCAGGAGCAGGCGGAGCCACCTTCAGCCAGCGCACGTCCACGTTAGGGCGAGACAGCTCACACTCCAGGTTCACTCTGTCCTTCTCCGTGGCCACCACGTCCTGCAGAGGGCGGCTGAACCGCACAGGCAGCTCTAGGTTGGCAGGAAGTGGGAGGTGAGATGCGGGGCCTGCGATGCGTGATATCCAACAGCCTGTCTGGGAATGAGACCCTCCACCCTGCCCTCATCTGGCTCCCCAGGCCTCCTCGGGGACAGAGGTGGGTGCGCTCGGGAGTGGGGACCACTCATGCCCACGCACCAGTGACCGTGAGCCTCGCGGACGTGTGCACCCCCTCCGCTTTGAAGGCGATGAGGCCACTGTCCTGCGGCCGCAGCCCCAACAGAGTGAGGGTGTGGATGGGGCCCTGCACAGCCAGCTGGCATGTGGGCCCTGGCTGCAGCCGCACGCCGTCTCGTGTCCAGCTGCCCTCCACGTGGTCATGTGACAGCTCCACCTCCATGGTGGCCGTGCCCTGCTCCCAAGCCTCTGCCGCCTGGAGGCCCCGCACAAGCCGGACCTGGCGCACTGCGGGACACACAGGGGTGGGTGAGCCACCGCAGCAAGACTGCGGCTCCTCTGCCAGCCCCCACTCACCTCCCAGCCAGCATCTTGGAGGGAGAGGACCACCCCTTCCCTTGCTTCTCTCCCATCCTCCCCCCTTCTCGCCGCCCCCAGGACTTGTCCCTCTAGGGCGACAACCACTGTACTCCTCCATCCATCCTCCTTCCTCGACACTGACCCCCAGGCCCAGCCTGCTGCTGCCACTCACTTTCCACAGTGAGCTTGGCCTGTGTCTTGTCGTCTGGAGTCTCACAGCCGTAAAAGCCACGGTCCTCAAAACCCACGCACTGAAGAACCAAGCGGTGCCTGGTGCTCTCGGCGTGAATCTCCACATTCTTGCCTGGTGCCAGGGCCGTGGCATTCCGCGTCCACTTGACCTCAGGCCATGGCCGTGTCAGCTCTACCTCCATGGTCACTGAGCTCTGCTCCTCCACTGTCTGTGGCTCCAGTTTCTTTCTGAACAGCACTGGAGCCTCTGGGGTCACAAGAAAGGGAGGTCACTGCAGCTGCTGCCACTCCCAGGAAAGCCAGGGCACAAAGGGGCCTGACCATCCCTCCCTAGTCAGCACAGCTCCCCCCGGGAAAGCCAGGGCACAAAAGGGCCTGACCATCCTGCCAGTCAGCACAGCTACCCCCCACCGGGAAAGCCAGGGCACAGAGGGACCTGACCACCCCCCCCCAGTCAGTCTAGCCCCCTCCCCTCGGGAAAGCCAGGGCATAGAGGGGCCCCACCACCACCACCCCAGTTGGCACAGCTGCTCCCCACTGTGACCTCTTGTTCTGATTCTGTGCTGGGCCCAGCTGCACACCTGCACAGACACAACTGTAGAGGAGGGAACGGAAGCCCCAAGAACCGCTTTTTCCTCAGCCCCTCTCTCCCCTCCCACCCTCTGGCTCTGGACAAGCCCACCACAACAAGCAGCAATGGGGCAGGGGGTAAACACAGACTCTGAGCCCCCAAGCCTGATGCACCAGCCAGTCTGCCCCTGGACACGCCACGTGAAGGAGTGAAAGGCACTGGTCAGGTGCGCCTCCCAGTCCCATGTTCTGCCATGACCACTGCAGAAGGTGCCCACGTTACTCATTTACTCAGAACTAGCAGCGGATCATCAGGTGAGGTCCTGTCTTCAGCTGGGGGAGCTCATCCCCCTGCCCCCATCCCCTGCCACTGCCATGCACTGGCTGCTAACTCCACTTCCTCCCACCTTGCTGTCCATGGAGCTCAGCTTGGGATGCCTCCTCCAGGCAGCCTCCCTGGACGGCCTCAGTCTGCCCACCCGCAACCAGATGCACCTTTTGAGGGTTTACTTTCTCCCCTTCAGAGTAGATACCTGGCCCCTGAGTCCCATCTGAGTCTCCTTTCCTTAGCCAACGAAGACCAGTGTCCCCAGAGGTCATCCGGACCAGCTGGACACAGGCTGGCATGGAGAGTGGCCTGCGAACCAGCCCACCCGCAGGCCCTCCTACGCACCTCGCACCCGGAGTGGAGCAGCCGTTGAGACCCCCTCAGCCTCTGCGGTGATCTGGCCAGCATCCTCCAGGGTCAGGCCTAAGATAGTCAGGCTGTGGCTGGCGCCACTCTGAGAGATGAGGAACTTCTCGCTGGGCTGCAGTGAGGCGCCGTCCCGGAACCACATGACTGCTGCGTCGCTGGGGGACACCACGCACTGGAAGGTGGCCTCCTGGCCCTCCTCTGCCACCATGGCACTCAACCCAGGCGTGAACTTGACCGTGCGGGGGGCTGCGACAGGAGTTTTGCTTAAGAGGTGAGTAGGAGAAGCAGAGCTCCCCCACCATGCAGACGTGGAGAACGCGCACCCCCTCTGGGAAGCCCCCCAGGTGCCCTGCACCATTGCCTACCACTGACGGTGAGCTGCGCGCTGGTACGATCATCACGGGTCTCACACGCATACTCCCCCGCATCCTCCAGCCGCAGGTCGGACACGGTGAGAGACCGCCGGGGCCCAGCGGCTTCCATCTGGAAGCGCTTGCTTGCCCGGAGCTGCGTGCTCCCACAGTGCCACACCACCTCAGCCTGCGGTGGGCTCAGCTCGCAGATCAGTGTTACCGTGCGGCCCAGCTCCCCGCGTACGGGCTCCAGGGGACGGCAGAACTTAGCGGCCACCTCTGCGGAATGGAAGGGGGTGTCAGCTGCGGGGCTCCAGCCAGGGGACGAGCTCTGTGTCGACCAGTCCTGTGCCAAGTCCCACTCGGGCTCCACAGAGGGATGCTGCCTGCGCGACATCACGAGAGACCCTCCTCCCCCCACCTGACGCCCCAGCACACATGGGGTTCCCAGAGGACACCCCTGGCCCTGCTGACCTTCCACCTGCACCGGGAAATCCTGCCCGTCTGCGCCCACGCGGCAGCTGTAGACTGCCGTGTCCAAGGTTTGGGCCCTGCGGATTCTCAGGGTGTGGGTGTCCTCCAGGCTGGTGGTCTCATGCCGCTTACTGCGGCGAATCTCCACGCCGTCTTTGAACCACCTCACCGCGGCCACAGAGGGTGTCGCAAGCGTGGCGGTCAGGACAATGTCCTCGTGCTCCTTGACCACCAGAGGCTCCTTGTGGCCGGGTCTCTCCACAGTGGGGGCCTCAGGCTCCAGCTCTGGGGGTAGGTCAGTGAGCATGAGAGCAGGGCCCTTGTATTCCTAGCCTAGCCCCATCGTGCCTAGAGGCCACACTGTGGGACAAGATCTGAAAGAGACCCCCCAAACTCCCATTGCTCTGTGGCCCATCCCCCTGGCCCTCCACTGACTCTCTGCTGAACAAGCCTGAGAGTGAATCCAGCAAGGCTTCATGCCACCTGCTGGCCACCATCCAGGCTGCCAGGTTCCCAACAGTGTGGCCACAGGCCTGGGGGACAAGAGCTGAGAGCCCAGGATCCCTGCCCAGCAGGGAAGAGGGGCCGCATGAGCAGACACTGCAGACAGTGGGCAGCAGGCAGTTCAGAGAGACCCTGCCGCAGCCAGGGGCGTTGGCCCACATTACATACAGAAAGGCATCAGAGCAGAGCCAAGCCCACAGGGCTGACCGAAGATCAGCTGGAACTCAGGATCCCAAAGCCAGAGACAGGGGCAAGCCCCTCGAGTGAGGCTCCCCGGAAGAGGACTGAGCTCCATAGATGCCCACAGTGGGTTTATGATGAGAAACATGTCTGTTCACCAACCCCAGACAGAGAACGCCTACGGCCACAGACCACAGGACTTGGAAGCCCGGAGGTGCCCGAGGAAGCTGGTAGGCTGTGTGTTGGGTAAGGTGGGGATGTGGCAAAGCAGGGCAGAAACTGGGGGACACAGATGTCGAAACTGTCCCGAGAACAGGGGCTGCAGGGAGCATCCCCAATCCAAGGACCTGGGCAGTGGACAGAGCCCTGGGCTGGGCCCATTGGCAGAGACCCCGATAGGTACAACACACAGCCCTATCTGAGAATGGTTCATTTCCTGATTTGTCAGGAGCTTATCCCCTCTGCCCGACGCTGGTCCCCACCTGTGACGTCCAGGCGGAAGGACACCTTCTGGCTCCCCGCCTCGCAGCTGTACTCCCCGGTGTCCGCCTTCCCCGCCTGCTGCACCACCAGCCTACTGCTGCAGCCCTTGGCCTCCACGTGCACTCTGGAGCTGGCACTCAGCTTCTTCCCATCCTTGTACCATGTCACCTCCGTCTTTTCCTGGGCCACCTCGCAGCTCAGCGTGGTGCTGGCCCCGGCCTTGGCCTGCACCTCACTGTGTGCTGGCTGCTCCTTGGCAAACACGGCCGAGATCTCTAGGGACGCATAAGAACAAACATACCATCTAAGTTAGGAAGGCAGCACTGGGGAAAGAAGGAGTAAACGGGATGGCTGGAATGGTCTCTGGGCACTGCACCTGTGTGGCCTGCAGGGTCTTACCCACGAGACTGTGCACAGAGTCCACATGGCTCCCTGCTGTCACCTATTCTGTCAGCAGCTACTGGCAGTGCACGGGGGAGTGAACTTGTACCTCCTATCAGTGCATGATTCTGTTGATACGCTGCTGATTTCAGTTTGCTAATACTTTGTCTAACATATAGGCCTGGAAATCCATGACACATTGGCCTAGACTATAAATTCTTTCTTCTGTCCTGTCATCTTGTCCTACAGAAATTACTCTACTGCATGAACTGGGATAAGAGTGTACCTCCTTTTCTATTCTCTACAAGAATCCACGTGAACAGGAAATAAGTTCCAGGATGCCTGGAAGGATTTACCAGGCAAGCCACTGGGCTTCCATACTGTTCCATGAAGACACTTTGGTTCCTGGCTCTAATGTTCCAGGGGGGCTGTGTACGTTGTCCCCTTCTTATGTCGGTTGAGATTTGCTTTTCTACAACCACTAGGACTGTATGTCACCACTGTTCTGGTTCTCTGGCATTAAATAATGCCAGATTCTCTTAAATGACACATCAGAAAGATGCACAACAGGTTTTGTGATGTCCATACACACCCACAACTCATGATCTACTGACACAATAGCAAACTGCTGTGTGGGGGCACCCAGGAGTCAGGTGGGGCTGCTCTGAAGTTCTATTTGCCCAAAAGAGGGTCACAGACTTCTCTGGAACCAGTGGGGAGGCATCAGTGTCATGGAGCACCATCCAAAAACACAGTAGGATGAATGCTGCCTTACCAGTCAGGGGCTGTTACCACTGAGCGTGCCGATGCCCCACAAGCCACATACTCCTCTGCTTCCCTAACCCTCTACCTCAGAATCCAAGGGCAATTCTGACACAGGATATCCTAACTGAAGACAAAGAGGAAACAAGATTTGCTTTGAAAAGAGCTCCAAATGGCACATGTGCACATCACAGGAGCTCAACTACCACTTTGCAGCTCTTTATGTATTCTGCTGAGATGCTGCAATAAACATCTATTTGTGTTTTGCACAGAGGGAGCTTCCACACCCATGAACATGGCCCAGAATACCTACAACCTCAATAATGCAAGTTCAGGCTTGAGATGATTCCAGCTATGGCCAGGAGGCTGATGTATCCTCTTATCCTGGCTTACTGAAACCCAAACATCTCTTGATAATGGGAACCTTTATATGAAGCTACAGAAGCCACTAGAGCATCCGTAGATGAGGACATCTGGTTGACCTCAGCCCAGTGCACCACATAGAGCTCGAATCCCAGATACCAAGGAGCCAAGGTGGGTTCTGAAGGGTGCTGGGGACAGTGGCTGAGCGTTGCAATGTGGACACACCATAAGGTGCCCAAGAGGAGCTCTCTCCTGTCTGTACACTCTTCCCTTCCCACATCCATGAGTTCAGCCACCAGAGTGAAATGGGAGGCAGGAGGTTGGGATCTGGAGAGAGCAGCAGGGTCCATCTGGGTTGTGCGCTAGTGGCATTATCACAGGCAATCAAGGATAAGATATTAGCCCCAGAACTGACCTGTGACATCCAGGTGGAAGGACACCTTCTGGCCCCCAGCCTCGCAGCTGTACTCCCCGGCATCTGCCTTCCCCGCCTGCTGCACCACCAGCCTCCTGCTGCAGCCCTTGGCCTCCATGTGCACTCTGGAGCTCGCACTCAGCTTCTTCCCATCCTTGTACCATGTGACCTCTGTCTTGTCCTGGGCCACTTCACAGCTCATTGTGGCACTGGCCCCCACCTTGGTCTGCACCTCACTGCATGCTGGCTGCCCCTTGGCAAACATGGCTGAGGTCTCTGGGGACAGAGAGGGATACACAGCATCAAACACACTATCTCCATTAGGGCCACAGCCTTGGGAGAGCAGGCCTGGATGAGGGTGCAGGGACACGGAAACTCCTCCAGGCTCTGTGCTGGCTGCAAAAGTACCCAAACTTCACTTATGGGCTCTACCACTGCTCCACCACTCCCTATGACTTGTTCCAGACAGGGATGCTGGAAAAGACTTTGCCATGCACATGCTCCTCTAGGAGAGGTACAGGGGTGTTGCAATGCACACGCACCCCAGCCTTCCCAGGTGATGCACTCTTTCCTCATGGTTGTGTGGGGAGCTGCTGCAGCTCCCTGCTCTTGTCTACCCTGTGATGTCCTCTGCCAGCACCTGCAAGGAGGGATACTGTCCCTCCTGGGGCTTTTCCATGTGGGTCTCTGATAACTTGCACAGTGGAGTACTGTTCTTAGTTCTCTGGCTCTTCTCTTCTGCAATGTGGTATCACTGCAATGCCCTGCCCGGTTATCAGTTATTGCTAATTATGTCCTGTCCTTCACATATTTGTTTTTAGGCACTCTTGCACTTGCATTAGAGCTTTGATAATTATGGTTTTGTGAATATTTTCTCCATCACTGTCATTTGCCTTTTTATCCCTGTGTGTCTTCTGATGATATAAAGTTCTCAGTTGTGATTTAGGCAAGTATGTCAATGTGTGTGTTGTGACTGGTGTGTTCATATCCTATTTCAGAAATCTTTTATTACCCTGAGGCCATTAAATGCTGTGTGTTCTCTGCTAAGAGCGTGTTTTGTATTTTACACTGGAATCCTAGCTCGGTTGGAGTTGGTGTCTGTGTGTGATGTGGAGGAGCCATCCATTTTTATTATAGATAAATAGATCACTTGAGAGAGACATAAAGGAGAGATAGATAGATGATAGATAAAAGATAGATAGATACATAGATACATAGGTATGTAGGTAGATAGATGATACAGATAGATGATAGATGGATAGAAACATAGGTAGGTAGGTAGGCAGATAGATAGATGAATAGATAGATAGATAGATAGATAGATAGATAATCCAAATAGATGATGGAAAGATGGAGAAATGTATGATACAGATAGATGATACACAGATAGATAGATGATATAGACAGATAGACAGATGATAGATGATACAGATAGATGATAGATACAAAAGTACACAGTCTGAGCACCATTATGAAAAGACCATCTACCTCTATACCATGTGCCAGCATTACAGAATAAAAATAATGGAAAAGGGGGTGCTTAGGTAATTTAGTCAATTAAGCATCTGACTCCTGGTTTCAACTCAGGTCATGATCTCACAGTTCATGTGTTTGAGCCCCATATCAGGCTCTGTGCTAGCAGCAGGGAGACAATGCATTCTGTCACTGCTCCACCTGGGCTCTCTCTCAGCCCCTCCCCTGCTCTCTCTCCCTCTCTCTCTCTCTGAATATAAATAAAGATTTTATTTTTTATTTTTTAAATGTTTTATTTATTTCTAGGAGAGAGAGAGAGAGAGACAGCGTGAACAGGGGAGGGTCAGAGAGAGAGGGAGTCACAGACTGAAACAGGCCCCAGGCTCTGAGCTGGCAGTCAGCACAGAGACCGACGCGGGGCTCGAATCCACGAACCGTGAGATCATGACCCAAGCGAAAGTCGGACGCTTAACCGACTAAGCCACCCAGGCGCCCCAAAGATTTTAAAAAATGTTCCATTCCCTTTAAAGAATGTAAAAGGATGCGGTGGGTGAAGCTGGTTATGGGACGTTCTATTTGAACCTTACCACTTTGTCCCTTTGTGCTATGCACCTGCCCCCAAGTTGCAACCCACTGTCTTCATACTACAGCTTTATTAGTTATATTAGTTATATTACTTCATTTTCTATTTCTCCTTATTCATTGTATGGTGTTGCACACAGTTATATCAGTGGGGCCATATACAAGCTCCAGTTAGGGGACGCCCTGTGAGTGTGATGTGCTGTAGCCTTCTGTACCCTGCATCAAATCAAGGAACTATCTTCTTGTCACTAGTTAATCAAGAACTTGACTACATGAACGTATGTTCTAGTTTATAAAATTCTTCTTCTACATATGATGTAGAAATTTTATCAAGCAGTCATGTGAGAATAAAACAAAAATGCATTTTCTATTTTAACTTCTAAATATGACAGATTATACTGATATTCTAATGTTCTGGCCAACTCTGTTTTCTTGGGTGATGACCTCAGATGGTGTATTTGCACTTCAGGTATTGCTCTGTTACTCGCACAATATTTTGTGTAAAACTTAGTATTGACGTGCATCCAAGACTGGCCTCCAATTGCAATTCTTCATACTTGTCAGATTTGGGTATCAATGCTGCATAAAATGGGTTGAGTGTACATCCCTTTTCTATCCTCTTAAAGAATCTCCATGATCATGGGAAAATTTCTTTCCAGAATTTGTAATTTGTAATTCAGAATTTTTAAATTATAACTTACCAGCAGAACCACTGAACTTAATCTTGTCTAATGAGAAGATTTTTTGTGATGGTTCCATTTATTTAAAAGGTTATAAGACTGTTCACATTGTTTATACCTTATTTGGGATGTTTTGATACAGTTTTCAAGGAATTGGCCAATTTGCTGAAACATTTTGATTTTATTTGAGTAAAATAATATCATGTTCTATTGAAATGACGGGGTCAAAAGTATTCCTAGTAAGTTTCTTGTTATCTGTACACATCTACAAATCATGTAATGATACACTACTGAATAGTCACACATTGCCATTAGGAGTCAAGTGGGGCCAGAGCCCATCTATTTGAGCTTAACCTCTCTTAGCCAAAGGAATATAAAGTTCCTTTGCAGACATCTCTGTAAACCAGACAGGGATGGGAGCTTGAACGCACATACATCACTAGTAAATGTTATGAAATAAATACATAAATACTGCTTTGCCAGTCAGCGGCTGCTACTATAATAACTCATCTGTCCCAAAGTGTGCTGATTTCAGAGAAGCTACTCATTCCTCCCACTTTTGAAATCTAAAATCAAACTCCAAGCACGATACTGACACAGAACATTCTCAAAGAGACAAAAGGAAACCAAAATTTGCTTTCAAAAGAATGTTCCAGGGGTGCTTGGGTGAATCAGTTGGTTAAGATTCCGAGTCTTGATTTCGGCTAAGGTCATGATCTCATGGTTCCTGAGATACAGCCCTGCTTTGCGCTCTGCAATGTCAGCACAGAGCCTGCCTGGGATTCTCTCTCTCCCTCTATGTGTTCCTCCCTTGCTCATGCTCGCTCACTCTCTCTCTCTCAAAATAAGCATTTAAAAATTAGAAAGGAAAGAAGGAAGGGAGGAAGAATGTCCCATGCATTAGGTGCACATCCAAGTCAATATCTCCCAGCTCTCTGCTCCTAGTTTACTTTGTGTGAACATTGCAACAGAACAGGGATCTGGATTTTGGGACACACAAGTGCATAGTTAACTTCCACGTCCACATGCAAGGAAGGAAGTGTCCCAAACTCAAATTTTGGTAATGCCAAGTTCAGTCTCAAGAACATTCCAACATGATTGGGTTGGGTAGCTGAAATGCATCCGTATCTGGTTCCAGCATTCTCAACCCTCATGTGGTGAGAATCATCTGGGAGCTTCTAGAAGTAATTCACATGCTCTGGGGCAAGAGACATCAGCTCTACTTTAGGCACCAAAGCCAGATAGAGCCAGAGTGTTGGACACAGGCACTCCACGAGCACTACTCCATAGAGACACCATTCAGGGTGCACAACAGGGATGCACTGCTGTCACACCGATATTTCCATCTACTCTCCCTGGGGTTGGCCATAGGCATGAAAATGGGATATGGGAGACGTGAGGACAGAAGGCCTAGTAGAGACCACAGGGTCTTCATGGCTGTCAGTCATTCCACACACCCTCCTGAAACAGGGCTAACATAGTACGCCTCCACCACCCAGGTACTGACCTGTGACGTCCAGGTGGAAGGACACCTTCTGGTCCCCGGCCTCACAGCTGTACTCCCCGGCGTCCGCCTTCCCCACCTGCTGCACCACCAGCCTCCTGCTGCAGCCCTTGGCCTCCACGTGCACTCTGGAGCTGGCACTCAGCTTCTTCCTGTCCTTGTACCATGTAACCTCTGTCTGGGCCTGGGCCACCTCGCAGCTCATTGTGGCACTGGCCCCTGCCTTGGCCTGCACCTCACTGCATGCTGGCTGCTCTTTGGCAAACACAGCTGAGTACTCTGGAGACACAGAAAAACACACAGGAACAAACACACCATCCAAGTTAGGAAGGCAGCACTAAAGACAGAAGGATTAAATAGGGATGTAGGGGAATCTTCACCAGACTCTGCACCAGCTCTGTGTCCTGGAGAAGACTCATTAACTTCTCAGCAATGAGTAAACAATTTATCTTTGCATTCTATCACTGCTCCACGTGGGCTGTTCCACACGGGGACCATACATTCTGTCCCTGCTCCTCCTGGGCTGTTCTACGCTGGGACTCTGTGAGAGACCACTGTGCACATGCAACCTCTGGAGTCATGATGTCTTCACACCTAACCTTCCCAGATGATGAAGAGTCTTTCCACACAATCGTTCTGGGAGCATCTCACTGTTAGTGAGAGAGTTCCTGCAGGTTCAGGGCTTCACACTCTGGGAAACTCTGCACTGACAAGTGCTGGCAATCTGGGGGAGTGTCTTTTGCCCCCTGTGGCTGTGTTTTGCACAATCCTGAGGACTCACACACTGGAGCATTCTTTACGAGCATCACTGTCATGTGTTCTGTCCAGTGGTCAATATGAGAGACTGTCTTTCTCACATTCAGTTTTAGGAGCTCTGTTTACGTGACTGGGCCTCTCGCTTCCACATGTGTGTGGTTGCCTTTTCATTCTTGTAGTATGTTCTATTGAATGAAAGATTTCAGGTTTCATGTGGTCAAACATGTCATTCTTGTCCCATGGTGGTTAGTGCATTTGTGTTGTGTCAGAAATCCCCTCTTAGCCTTCAATGCATGTCATCATCTAAGAGTGCCACCTATCACCCTGGCATCACACCTGGGGTTGGATCTGTATGTAGTGTGAATTACCAGACAACTTTTTTTTGCATATGATTAAATGGCAAAAAAACAATTATGAAAAGACCATTATTTTCCACTTCTTGCGTAGACGCTATGTAAAAGGAGTGGGGATGGGGTGGGAGTTTATTCATGGATGAGTCTATTTCTGAGCTCTTTTTTCTATTCCTTTGATCTGCTAACTGTCCCTTCATTTGGATCCAGCTGTCTACATTACTGTAGCTTTATAATATTCCTTGATATTGAGAGATAAAATGCTCACACTGAAGCTGCTTATCAGTTTTAAAACCCTCCACTATCCTCCCAAAGAACATTTCTTGGATTTGAATTGTTAACAAACAGCTTGGATGGATTTTTATCCATTTATTTAGACCTTCTTTATCATCTCTAAAAAATGTTCAATCATTTCCACAAAGCCACTAGGAACCTTTTATTAGATTTGGAATTAGAAACACAATACTTCTGATGCTGTTATAAACCTTTTAGAGTTTTGTTTTCCAATGGTTTCTTGCTATCACTGCTAGTGCATATATACAGAAGTGTTTTTTGTATGTTAGCATTTGTATGTGGCTATCTTTCTGAGTACTCACAAAGCCTAACAATTTTTCGTTGTAATTTTAGACTTGGTGATCATCACCATGTCATCTGTGAATTCTACTTTGTTTTCCAAGGTTTATGAATTTTATTTCATTCTCCTCCCTTCTGTGCTGTGCAATGTAGATAGAAGAACTAACAGTGCGCCTCCTTTCTTTTTCTCTATCTCATGGGTAAAACCTTCAAGGTTTCCCATGAAGTATGATGTCACATAGTATTTCCTGTAGCACTATTTACCAATTTGTCAAGGTAAGGAAGAATTGGTTTATTGATAGTTGGTCAAATATGGAAACAATTTGACAATAAACTATTTGTAAAAAAAAAAAAAAAGAATTTTATGGCATGTATTGAGGCTAAATTTTATCAAACATTTGCTCAAGGTTTATGTTAAACTCTGTCAAACTGTTCTTCTGCATTCATTGAGATAGCCATATCATTTTTTTCCTTTAAACTGTTAGTTCACGTTATTTAGTTGATGCTAGTTCAAACAACATGGGTTTGAACTTCAGGAGTCCAATTTTTTTTTCTTTCCTTAAATAGTTTATTGTCAAGTTGGTTTACATATAACACCCAGTGCTCATCCCCACAAGTGCCCTACTCCATGCACATCACCCCCCTTCCCCTCTCCCCCACCCCCATCAGCCCTCAGTTTGTTCTCAACATTCAAGAGTCTCTCATGGTTTGCCTCCCTCCCTCTCCCCAACTATTTTTCCCTTTCTTCTCCCCCATGGTCCTCCGTTAAGTTGCTCCTAATCCACCTATACGTGCAAACATATGGTATCTGTCCTTCTCTGCCTGACTTATTTCATTCAGCATAACACCCTCAAGGTCCATCCATGTTGCTACACATGGACAGATTTCATTCTTTCTCATTGCCATGTAGTATTCCACTGTATATATAAACCACATCTTCTTGACCCATTCGTCATTTGATGGACACTTAGGCTCTTTCCATGTTTTGGCTATTGTTGAGAGTTCTTCTATGAACATTGGGGTCCATGTGCTCCTATGCATCAGCACTCCTGTATCCCTTGGGTAAATTCCTAGCAGTGCTAATGCTGGGTCATAGGAGAGTTCTATTGTGAATTTTTTGAGGAACATCCACACTGTTTTCCAGAGGGGCTGTACCAGTTTACCTTCCCACCAACGGTGTAGGAGGGTGCCCATTTCTCCACATCCTCGCCAGCATCTATAGTCTCCTGATTTGTTCATTTTAGACACTCTGACTGGCATGAGATGATATCTCAGTGTGGTTTTGATTTGTATGTCCCTGATGATGAGGGACGCTGAGCATTGTTTCATGTGTCTGTTGGCCATCTGGATGTCCTCTTTGGAGAAATGTCTGTTCATGTCTTCTGCCCATTTCTTCACTGGATTAATTGGTTTTTGGATGTGGAGTTTGGTGAGTTCCTTATAAATTTTGGATACTAGCCTTTTATCTGATATGTCATTTGCAACTATCTTTTCCCATTCTGTTGGTTGCCTATTAGTTTTATTGATTGTTTCCTATGACACGCAGAAGCTTTTTATCTTGATGAGGTCCCAATGGTTCATTTTTGCTTTTGATTCCCTTGCCTCTAGGGATGTGTCCAGTAAGAAATTGCTGCGTTTGGGGTCAAGGAGGTTGTTTCTTGCTTTCTCTTGTAGGGTTTTGATGGTTTCCTGTCTCACATTCAGGTCCTTTAACCATTTCGAGTTTATTTTTGTGTATGGTGTGAGAAAATATCTAGTTTCTTTCTTCTGCATGTTGCTGTCCAGTTCTCCCAGCACCATCTGTTAAAGAGGCTGTCTTTTTTCCATTGGATACTCTTTCCCACTTTGTCAAAGATTAGTTGGCCATACATTTGTAGGTCTGATTCTGAGTTCTCTATTCTATTCATTGGTCTCTGTGTCTGTTTCTGTGCCAATAACATACTGTCTTGATGATTACAGCTTTGTAGTAGAGGCTAAAGTCTGGGATTGTGATGCCTTGCAGGGGTCCATTTAAACATGGGTTATTTTTTTATAAATACAGTACAGTACTATAAATGTATTTCTCTTTCTTACAATTTTCTTAGTACCATTTCTTCCCTCTATCTTATGCTATTGTAAGAATACAGGGTATAATACATATAATATTCAAAATATTCATTAATCAACTATTTAAGTTACCAGCAAGGCTCTCAGTCAACAGTGGGATATTAACAGTTAAGTTCTGGGAAAGCCAAAAGTCATAAGTGGATTTTTTACTACATTGGGCATTAACACCCCTAATCCCCACATATTTCAGAGATCAACTTTAGTGATTTTCCAATGTTTTTAATATTAAACCAACATTGCATTCCTGGACTATGACTTCATCATAGCATATTTTTGTCTTGACATCTTGCTTAGGTGACTTTGCCAATGTTTTGTTGAAGATATTGGATATTGATATCCACAAGAGATTGGCCTATAATTTTAATCCTTTCTACTTTCCTTGTCAGATTTTGGTGTTGACATTTTTAGTTTCATGAATCAAAGGAGAGTATACATGTTTATTTTATTCTCTAGGAGAATCTCCATGAACATGGAATAATTTCTACAATGTTTGGTGTAATTTATCAGCAGAGCTACTAGGCTTAGATCATTCTCTAGGGAAAAAAAATACTGTTTGCATTTATTTAAAATTATGGGATTATCTGAGTCATCTATTTCTTCTTGTGTCACTTTTTCAGATGGTTTTTCTTTTCTTTTTTTAAAATTTTTTACTGCTTTATTTATTTCAGAGAGAGAGAGAGAGAGAGAGACAGCATGAGCAGGGGAGGGTCAGAGAGAGAGGGAGACACAGAATCTGAATCAGGCTCCAGGCTCTGAGCTAGCTGTCAGCACAGAGCCTGACACGGGGCTCAAACCAACAAACTGTGAGATCGTGACCTGAGCCGAAATTGGATGCTTAACTGACTGAGCCACTCAGATGCTTTTTCTAAGACTTTGATCCATTTATCAAAACTTTTCAAACTGATACCATAAAATAATACACTATATTCCCTCAAAAAATACTGTGGAAAGATGTAGGTTTTTGTGGTATCTGTACACACCCAAAAATATTATATACTGATATACCATCACAATTATTATGTGCTGGCAGCTAGGATTAATGTGGTGCTACAGCCCACTCTCCTCTGATGTTAAGACCATTTTGACAAAAGTAAAATAAATGTAGTCCTTAGACTTCCCCATTAAGCAGCCAGGAAGCACAAACACACACTATCCACTACAAAATCCTATGACATGCTGCTATACCAACCGGTGACTGCTACCACTAGGATTCATATATAGCAAAGTATGGTGATACTTATTCCTTCCTGTTTCTAAATCTATAAATCAAACTCCAAGAGGAATTCTGACACAGAATGGTCTTACTGAAGACACAAGGAGACAAGATGTGCTTTAGAAAAGAATTCCAGAACTTACATATGTATATCTCAAGCACATGTCTATCAACCTTCTGGTTTTGTTTACTTTGCACAGGCATTGCAAGAAAACATCAGTTTAGAGTTTGCTACATACAAGCACATGTCTGTCAACCTTCTGGTTCTGTATACTTTGCACAGGCATTGCAAGAAAACATCGGTCTAGAGTTTGCTACATACAGGTACACAGATAATATATATTCATGTGCAAAATAATATCTTAAAACAACCAAAAATTAATAATCCAAAGTTTAGCTGAGATAATTCCAAGTATGATTATATCATCAAAATTTCTCCTTCCTGGGGCGCCTGGGTGGATTAGTCGGTTAAGCGTCCGACTTTCGCTTGGGTCATGATCTCGCGTTCGTGAGTTCGAGCCCCGCGTCGGGCTCTGTGCTGACTGCCAGCTCGGAGCCTGGAGCCTGTTTCAGAGGTTGTGATTCCCTCTCTCTCTGACCCTCTCCTGCTCACGTTGTCTGTCTGTCTGTCTGTCTGTCTCTCTCCTAGAGATAAATAAAAACATTAAAAAAAAATTTCTCCTTCCTTGGTTTAAAGAAATTGAAATGTCCCTCACTAGTAAGAACTCCACACAGCACTGAAGGGGGATTATAGGGAACCCAAAAAAGCAAGTCATATAACCAAGGTGTGAGATGCTTAGTCTACTTCAGAACACAAACATGAAGCACAGCCATAGTCCTGGGCACCAAGGAATTCCAGGAGGGTCCTATGCAGGTGCTTAGATGCATGATTGAGAGCACACCTCAGGGACACCAAAATGGCACCTCTCACTCCCTACGTGCTCTTTTCATTAAACTTCTGTTAGTCTAGCCTTGGCTTTGAAAAGAGGAGGAAAAAGGATGGTAGAAGGGAAAAGATGAAGAGTAAGGGAAGGAGCATAAGAGTCTGTGAGATCTGTAATGCAATTCCTTCATTATCTCCAAACAAGACTGTTAGTACCAGAAGGAACTGACCTGTGACGTCCAGGCAGAAGGACACCTTCTGGCCATTGGCCATACAGCTGTACTCCCCGGCGTCCGCCTTCCCTGCCTGCTCCACCACCAGCCTCCTGCTACAGCCCTTGGCCTCCACGTGCACTTTGGAGCTGGTACTCAGCTTCTTCCCGTCCTTGTACCATGTAACCTCTGTCTGGGCCTGGGCCACCTCGCAGCTCAGTGTGGCACTGGCCCCCGCCTTGGCTTGCACCTCACTGCATGCTGGCTGCTCCTTGGCAAACACCACTGTAGGTTCTGGGGACAGGGAGGGAAGTATAGGGTCAAAGATACTATCCAAATCAGGAAGGCAGCACTGAGAAAAGACTGAATGGAGAGGCAGGAGAATTGAAAGTCTAGGCTCTGCACCAACTGGAGAAGCCCCACTACCTTCCAAAGGACAAACAACACGATTTATCTGTACCTTCTACCCCAGTGCTTTATGTGGGCTGTTCTAAGTGAGGACTATATATTCTACCACCACTCTGCCTCGGTTGTTTCAGGGGAGCATTCTGTGAAAGACTCTTGTGTTCATGGGATCTCTGGGGTCATGGTGCCTATAACACCTCAATATTTATAGATGATGCAGAGTCTTTACCACATGATTGACTAAGAACATTCTCCCTGCAGTGCAGAAAGGTCCCTACAACCAGAATATTTGGTACAATTTAACAGTAGACCCCCTATGGTAATACAGTATTCTGTGACAAGATTGTTTATTATGATTCCAATAATTTATAAAGTTCTGAGACTACTTAAATTGTCTATGTGTATTCCATGAGTTTTGATATAGCTTTCTTGATGAACTGGTCAAAACTTTCCAAATTTACTTGCATAATATTATATCATATTCTCAGACAATCACATCACAAATACACAGGGTTTTAAGCATCTATAAACACTCACAAACCATTAAACCCCAATGTAATACCAACATGTTACGTGCTGGCATCTAGGAGCCACATGTAACTATACTCTGTCTGAATTACACGAAAGGAAAATAAATTGGTTCTCAGACATCTCTACTGATAGACCAGGGTGGCACAGGTGCACACTAGTCATTAGGAAATGCTGTGAAATAGAAGCTACATTACTTGTAAGTGGCTGCTCCTGTGACCTCATACTTAGCAGGGCATGCTAGTAGATAATAGCTGTTCAGCATCCCACTGGTAAATGTATAAGTCTAACCACAAACACAATTCAGAGGCAAAACACCAACTTATGACAAAGTGAAAGTAAGATATGCTTTGAAAGGAAATTCCAAGCATAGCAGGTATGTGTCAGGGCATATACACACCAGTCCTCTGCTCTATGTGTAATCTATGCAGACATTGCAACAAAATATGGATCTAGATTTGGCTACATGTGGATGGAGAGAATTCCTATACCCTTGTTAAAGGAGGGAAGTGTCTCAGAAGACCAAAGACTGAGAAAACCCAAAACACAGTCTGAGATAATTCAAAGTATGACTGTGCGGCCCACATCTCCCCTTCCCCTGACTCAGTGAAGTCAACTATCTCTTGCTAGCAGGAACCCTTAAGTGTGCTTGGTGAAGATACAATGACCTTTCAGAAGGACTCCAGAGGAGAGACATCTGGTCTACCTCAATTCCATACATCAGGAAGATCAAGACTACTGGACTCCAAGGTATACTAGTGGGTTCTGAGCAGGTGCTGGGAAAATGTGACCAGCACTATTATGTGAAAACACAACCCATGGTGTAAGACAATAGCCTGTCTCCCTCTCGTGCACTCTCTCCAGCCATGCTCCCATGATCCCACCGAGGATGTGGAAATGCAGGTGGTGAAGGTGATGTCAAGGGACAGTGTCTAACTGAAAGAGCATGAGTCTGTCTTGGGGATGAACCTGTTCCACCCTCACCTCATGAAAAGGTTAATTCTGTAGTCTCAAAGAACTGACCTGTGACGTCCAGGCAGAAGGACACCTTCTGGCCCCCAGCCTCGCAGCTGTACTCCCCGGCGTCTGCCTTTCCTGCCTGTTGCACCACCAGCCTCCTGCTGCAGCCTTTGGCCTCCATGTGCACTCTGGAGCTCTCACTCAGCTTCTTCCCATCCTTGTACCATGTCACATCCATCTTGTCCTGGGCCACCTCACAGTTCAGTGTGGCGCTGGCCCCCGCCTTAGCCTGCACCTCACTGTGTGCTGGCTGCTCCTTGGAAAATACAGCTGAGGGCTCTGAGGAGAGAGAGGGATACATGGGGTCAAAGATACCATCTATGTGAAGAATGCAGATCTAGGAAAGAAGGTCTAAGCAGGGAAACAGGGGGACTGGAACGGTCTCCAATCTCTGCATCAGGTGTGTGGCCAAGAAGCCCCACCATCTTTTCAGTAACAACTAACACAATTATTTACTCTACCACTTTCCTGGTTGTTCCAATTGGGGACCATACATCCTATCACTACTCTGCTTGGGCCATTCCAGATGGGGACTGCATATTCTATCACTGCTCATCAGCAATGCTCTGGGTGAGGACCATTCTTTCGCTGTTCCAGCTGTGCTTTTCTGTGGCTGTCTCCTGCTTCGACCTGATGATGAATCACACAGTGCAGTACCTTTTTTGAAACTTTTGGACTGTCATATTTGCTCATATGTGGTGTTATTGCTCAAGTGTTTTTCCCCATTTACAACAGCACTGTCTCTTACTCATAGTCATTTAAGAGTTCTTTTATAAGTAAATGTCAGAGTGTATATGGTTATGTGTGTTTATATATCCTATCCATCATTTTGAATGGCCTATCTACCTCCTCATGATGTTTGTAGTGACAAAATGTTAAGAGCTTTGTTATAGACAGATACGTTATTTTGTCCCTTTTGTTTTGTGCATTTTGTTCTGTTTAAGGAAAATATTTCACGCTGAAGTCATTAACGACCCACACTGTTGATAAGAGCTTGATTACATTTCTCGCTGAGTTCTAACCCACATTGAGCTGAGTTTTTGCATGCCAAGAAATAGGCATCCAACTTCATTTCAGTTTTCCATATGGTTAACTGTCTTAGCACCAGTTGTGAAAGGCTGACTATTCACTACAGTCACACTTAGCACCACGGTAAAAACCAAAATAAAAAACGAAAAGGAGAAGGGACTCAGGTTTTATACAGACCTGTTTCTGGACTCACTTTTCTGTACCTCTGGGCTGTTTCTCATACCCTACATAGGGACCCAATTGACTGAATTCCTATAGTTTTATCAAAGGTCTTGATATCTATCAAGTAAAGTAAATACCATTGTTTTGGGGAATTTCATTGTTTTTTGTTTTGTTTTGTTTTTCTCAAAGTGGATTTCCTTTCTGTGGCTTTGCAATATACTTGTCAATATTCTTACTCACAAAAGAGCTATTATTTGGGTTTTGATGAGAATTGAACACTTGTGAGTCTTCCATCAATTTCTATCCATGATTGAGATCTTATTCTGTCTCTTGGTAAAGTTGAATAATTTTTGCCCATAAAGCATCTCAAGATCTTTTATTAGATCTGGAATTAGTAACAGGATTTTTCTCATGTTATTGTAACTCCTTTAAAATGTCACTTTCCAACTTATGGTGTCTGATGTCTAGATACAGAATGTTTCCTGTATATTGATTTTTGTATGCCCTAATCTGTCCCCACTCTCTTCCCATCCAATAATTAACTGTTCAGAATTTTCCACATTGATAATCGTATCTTCTATTAGTTTCAGTTTTCATTTTCCAACTTTTATATCTTTAATTTTATTTTCCTTCGTGCTGCAGTGTGAATATTGCATAAAAGTGAGGACACTCAGATTCCCTCTCTTGGCCCCAACTCAAAAACGAAGTTTTCAGGTTTTCATGTGAAATGTGATATCACATAGGAGTGACATTCAATACCACCAATAATTATATTAGAGGCAAAATGTTCTACTTAAAGTTTGTGAAGAATTTTGTGGAAGGAATTGATGCCAAATATCAGGACATATTCTCTCTGGATTTCTGATGCTATAGTTTATCCGGTGCTTGTACTCTTAATTTATTAAGGAAATCACATTATTGTTTCTTTTATTTTGTTAATACCAAGCTATTTGTTGATTTGTTTGTTTTTTAATTAATTAATTTTTTAAAATTTACATCCAAGTTAGTTAGCATATATTTCAATAATGATTTCAGGAATGGAATCCAGTGATTCATCCCCTACCTTTAACCCCCAGTGCTCTTCCAAACAAGTGTCCTTCTTAGTACCCTTGCATTTAGCCCACCCCCCCCACCTAACACCCAGTAACTCTCCAGTTTTTTCTCTATATTTAAGAGTCTCTTATGGTTTGCCTCCCTCCTTGTTTTTATGTTATTTTTGCTTCCCTTCCATTATGCACATCTGTTCTGTATGTTACGTTCCACATATGAGTGAATCATATGATATTTGTTATCCTCTGACTAGTTTTGCTTAGCATTATACACTATAGTTGCACCCACGTTGTTGCAAGTGGCAATATTTCATTCTCTTTGATTGCTATGTGTTAATTTTCTAATGTTTCTGGTGTTAAACCAGCCTTGCATTCCTGGAATATAACTCTTGTCCTAGTGTATTGTCCTCTTGATAAATTGCAGAATTCAGCTGGATAATATTTTCTTGAAGGCATTACCTTGACATCAACAAGAAGTGGCCTGTGAACATTCTTCATATTTATCTTGCCACATTTTGGTATTGATATGTTACCTATGTAAAAGAGTTGATGTATGCATCTCTTTTCAGCACTCTCTAATAATCCTATGAACATGAAATAATTTCTTTCCAGAATATTTCATATAATTTAAGAGTAGAGGCATTGGGCTTAGACATTATTCTGTGAGAAAATTATTTATGATTATCCATTTATTTTCAGTTTTAGGACTGTACAACTTGTCCAATTTTTCTTATGTGAGTTCCAGTATAATTCCTTAGTCATTGAATGATTTGGAATTGTCTGTGCTCTTTATAAACTGTACAGATGTTGCAATTCAATACAGATCTAGATTTGGCTACATATAGGTGCAGAGAAAACATCTATATCCCTTTGAAAAGAGGGAAGTGTGTCCCAAAATGTCAAAAACCGTGACTCAAAGCATAGTCCTGAGCAAACTCCAATTATGACTCTGTGGCCCAAATTTCCCCTTCCCCTGGTTCAGTGAAATCAAATATCTCCACTACCAGAAATCCTCCTGTGTGTTGGGAGGAAGATATTTGCGACCTCCCAGAACAACCCCAGGGGAGAGACATCTGGTCTACCTCACCTCCATGCTTTAGGGAGATCCAGATTCCTGGATTCCAAGGTCCACCAGTAGGTTCTGAACATGTGCTGGGAAAATGTGACCAGCACTATTATGTGAAAACACAACCCATGGTGTAAGACAATAGCCTGTCTCCCTCTTGTGCACTCTCTCCAGCCATGCTCCCATGATCCCACCGAGGATGTGGAAATGCAGGTGGCGAATGCGTGATGTCAAAGGACAGTGTCTAACTGAAAGAGCATGAGTCTGTCTTGGGGATGAACCTGTTCCACCCTCACCTCATGAAAAGGCTAATTTTGTGGTCTCAAAGAACTGACCTCTGACATCCAGGCAGAAGGACACCTTCTGGCCCCCAGCCTCGCAGCTGTACTCCCCGGCGTCTGCCTTCCCTGCCTGTTGCACCACCAGCCTCCTGCTGCAGCCCTTGGCCTCCATGTGCACTTTGGAGCTCTCACTCAGCTTCTTCCCATCCTTGTACCATGTCACGTCCATCTTGTCCTGGGCCACCTCACAGCTCAGCATGGCACTGGCCCCCATCTTGGCCTGCACCTCACTGTGTGCTAGCTGCTCCTTAGCAAACATGGATACAGGCTCTGGGGACAGAGAGGGATGCATGGGGTCAAAGATACCATCTATGTGAAGAATGCAGATCTGGGAAAGAAGGTCTAAGCAGGGAGACAGGGGGACTAGAACTGTCTCCAATCTCTGCATCAGGTGTGTGGCCAAGAAGCCTAACCACATTCTCAGCAACAACTGACATAAGTTATTTACACACTCTGCCACTTTCTAGCCTGTTCCAGGTGGGGACCATTCTATCACTGCTCTGTCTGTGTATTCCTGTGACTGTGTCCTCAGAGTTTTGATGACTCACAAAGTACAGAACCCTTTCTGAAGTTTTGGGTCCTTAAAATGAGGTGGTGTCATTGCTCAAGTATTTTTCCCTGTTTACAACAGCACTGTTTCTTACTCATATTCATTTAGGAGCTCTTTACATATGTAAATATCAGAGTGTTTGTGGTTATGTGTGTTTATATATCCTCCCCATCACCTTTCCACCCCTTCATGTGTCCCTACATAGAGACCCAATTGCCTGAACTGCTGTAATTTTATCAAAAGTCTTGACATCAGGTAAAGTTAATGCCATTGCTTTGGGGATTTCTTTTGGTTTTGGTTTTGGTTTTGGTTTTGATTTGTTTTGTTTTTGTCAAAAGTGGATTTCCTCTCTCTGGCTTTACAATCCACTTGTCAATATGCTCACTCAAAGAAGAGCTATTATTTGGGGTTTGATGAAGACTGACCTCCTCTGGGTCTTCAATCAATTTCCATCCATGATTTAGATCTTTTTCTCTCACTGAAGTTGAATACTTTTTGCCCATAAAGCATCTCAAGATCCTTTTTTAGACCTAGAATTGGTAACAGGATCTTTCTGATGCTATTGTAACCCCTTTAATATGTCACTTTCCAGCTTCTGGTGTCTGATGTCTAGATACAGAAATGATTCCTGTATATTGATTTTTGTATATCCTAATCTCTTCTCACTCTCTTTCCCATCCAATAAGTAATCATTTAGAATTTTCCACATTGACAACAATATCTTCTGTTAGTTTTAGTTTTCATTTTTCCAACTTTCATACATTTAATTTTATTTTCCTCCGTGGTGTGCTGTGAATGTTGCATAACAGTGAGGGCACTCGGCTTCCCTATCTTGGTACCATCTCAAAGGCAAAGCTTTCAGTTTCACATGAAATGTGATATCAGCAGATTTTTTCAATACCACCAGTTAGTACATTAAGGACAAAACCTTTTATTTAAAGTTTATGAAGAATTTTGTGGCAGAGATTGATGCCAAATGTTATGGAATATTCTCCCTGAATTTCTGATGTTATATTTTATCCAGTGCGACCCCTAATTTCTTGTGGAAATCACATCATTGTTTCCTTTATTTTGTTAATATCAAGCTTTGTGTTGATTTTCTTTTTTCTTTTTCTTTTTAAATAGTTTATTGTCAAGTTGCTTTCCATATAACTCTAATATTTCTGGTGTTGAACTAGCCTTGCATTCCTGGAATATGACTGTTATACTAGTGTATTATCCTCTTGATAAATTGCAGGATTCAGTTGAATAATATTTTCTGTCAAGATATTACCTTGACATCAACAAGAGGTGGCCTGTGAATATTCTTCATATTTACCCTGTCACATTTTGGGATTGATACGTTACCTAGGTAAAAGGAGTTGATGAGTGCATCTCTTTTCAACAAATAAAAATGCTATGAACATGGAATAATTTCTTTGCAGAATATTTGGTAGAATTTGACAAGAGAGCCACTGGGCTTAGAAATTATTTTGTGAGAATATGATCTGTGATCATCCATTTATTTTCAGTTTTAGGACTGTACAACTTGTCCAGTTTTTCTTGTGTGAGTTTCAATGCACTTCCCTAGGAACTGATTAATTTGTAATTGTCTAATCTCTTGATAACCTGCACAGACATTGCAATTCAATACATGTCTAGATTTGGCTACATATGGGTGCAGAGAGAACTCCTAGATCCCAGTGAAAATAGAGAGGTGTCACAAAACACCTAGAACTATGATAACTCAAAGCACAATCCTGAATAAACTCCAAGGATGACTGTGTGTCCCAAATTTCCCATTCCCCTGATTCTGTGAAATCAAATATCTCTACCACCAGGAATCCTCCTGTATGTTGGAGGAAGACAGTTGCAATCTTACAGAACAACTTCAGGGTAGAGACATCTGGTCTACCTCAATTCCATACATCAGGGAGATCCAGGTCCAGGACTCCAAGGTCCACCAATGGGTTCTGAACATGTGCTGGGAAAATGTGACCAGCACTATTATGTGAAAACACAACCCATGGTGTAAGACAATAGCCTGTCTCCCTCTCATGCACTCTCTCCAGCCATGCTCCCATGATCCCACCGAGGATGTGGAAATGCAGGTGGTGAAGGTGATGTCAAGGGACAGTGTCTAACTGAAAGAGCATGAGTCTGTCTTGGGGATGAACCTGTTCCACCCTCACCTCATGAAAAGGCTAATTTTGTGGTCTCAAAGAACTGACCTGTGACGTCCAGGCAGAAGGACACCTTCTGGCCCCCAGCCTCGCAGCTGTACTCCCCGGCGTCTGCCTTTCCTGCCTGTTGCACCACCAGCCTCCTGCTGCAGCCCTTGGCCTCCATGTGCACTTTGGAGCTCTCACTCAGCTTCTTCCCATCCTTGTACCATGTCACATCCATCTTGTCCTGGGCCACCTCACAGTTCAGTGTGGCGCTGGCCCCCGCGTTGACCTGCACCTCACTGTGTGCTGGCTGCTCCTTGGAAAATACAACTGAGGGCTCTGAGGAGAGGGAGGGATACATGGGGTCAAAGATACCATCTATGTGAAGAATGCAGATCTGGGAAAGGTCTAAGCAGGGAAACAGGGGGACTGGAACGGTCTCCAATCTCTGCATCAGGTGTGTGGCCAAGAAGCCTAACCACATTCTCAGCAACAACTAACACAATTGATTTACACACTCTGCCACTTTCCAGCCTGTTTCAGGTGGGGACCATTCATTCTATCACTGCTCTGTCTGCGCCTTCCTGTGATTGTGTCCTAGGAGTCTTGATGACTCAAAATGTACAGCACCCTTTCTAAAGTTTTTGGTACTGAATATTTGCCCTTCTGTGGTGTCATTGCTCAAGTGTTTTGCCCCCATTTTCCCCAGCACTGTCTCTGTCTCTGTTGTGTCACTGTCTCTGTGGTTATGTATGTTTATATATCCTTCCCATTTGTGTGAATTGCCTTTCTATCCCTTCATGATGTTTCTAGTTTAAAAAATGTTAAGGCTTTGTTATAGGCAGATATATTATTTTGTGTATATCCTTTATGTTTTGTGCATTTTGTACTGTTTCAGGAAGCTTTCATTACCCTGAGGTCACGAAGGACTAACATTGTTGGTAAGAGCTGGAACACATTGTTCACTGAGATCGCTAACCAACATCAGGCTGAATTTTCTGTATGGAAAGAAATACACATCCAACTTTATTTCAGTTTTCCATGTGGTTAACTGTCTAAGCACCATTTAGGCCGACGCTTTACTACAATCACAGGTAGCACCAAGGTAGAAACAAACAAACAAACAAGACTTGGGTTTTATACAAAGCTGTTTCTGGACTCACTTTCTGTTTCCCTGGGCAGTATCTCAGACCCTACATAGAGACCCAATTGTCTGAATTCCTGTAGTTTTATCAGAAGTCTTGATATCAGGTAAAGTTAATGTCATTGCTTTGGGAATTCCTTTTGGTTTTTGTTTTGTTTTGTTTTTTTGAATAGTTTATTGTCAAGTTGGTTTACATATAACACCCAGTGCTCATCCCAACAAGTGCCCTCCCCCACACCCATCAGCCCTGTTTGTTCTCAGCATTCAAGTCTCTCATGGTTTTGTTTTTGTAAAAGTGGATTTCCTCTCTCTGGCTTTACAATTCACTTGTCAATATGCTCACTCTCAGTAAGACTACTATTTGGGTTTTGATGAGGATTGAACACCTCTGCTCTTTCATCAATTTCCATCCATGATTTAGATCTTTTTGTGTCTCCCAATAAAGTTGAATAATTTAAGTCCACAAGCATCTCAAGATCCTTTTTTAGACCTGGAATTGGTAACAGGATTTTTCTGATACTATTGTGACACCTTTGAAATGTCACTTTCCAGCTACTGGTGTCTGATGTCTAGATACAGAAATGTTTCCTATATATTGTTTTTGTATATCCTAATCTCTCCTCACTCTCTTTCCTATACAAAAAGTAACTGTTTGGAATTTTCCACATTGAAAACCATATTCTGTTAGTTTCACTTTTCATTTTTCCTACTTTCATACTTTAATTGTATTTTCCTCCGTGGTGTGCTGTGAATGTTGCTTAACAGTGAGGATACTCAGCCTCCTTATCTTGGTACCATCTCAAAGGCAAAGCTTTAAGAGTTTCATGTGAAGTGTGATGTCAGCTAAATTTTTCAATACCACCAGTTATTACATTAAGGGCAAAATGTTCTATTTAAAGCTTATGAAGAATTTTGTGGCAGGAATTGATGTGAAATATTACGAAATATTCTCCCTGAATTTCTAATGCTATAGTATATCCAGTGTTTTTACTCTTAATTTTTTGGGGAAATCACATCATTGTTTCTTTTATTTTATTAATATTAAGCTTTGTATTGATTTTCTAATGTTTCTGTTGTTAAACTAGCCATGCATTCCTGGAATATGACTGTTGTCCTAGTGCATTATCCTCTTGATAAATTGTAAGATTCAGTTGGATAATATTTTCTGTCAAGGTATTACCTTGACATCAATAAGATGTGGCCTGTAAAATTCTTCATATTTACCTTGTCACATTTTGGCATTAATATGTTACCTATGTAAATTAAGTTGATGATTGGGTCTCTTTCAATACTCTATAAGAATGCTATGAACATGGAATAATTTCTTTGCATACTATTTGGTAGAATTTGACAGTAGAGCCACTGGGATTAGACATTATTCTGTGAGAAGATGGTATGTGATCATCCATTTATTTTCACTTTTAGGACTGTACAAATTGTCCAACTTTCTTATGCACGTTTCAATATAATTTCCTATGAATTGATAGATTTGTAATTGCTCTATGTGTAAGCTGCAAAGACGTTGCAATAGAATAAGATATAAATTTGGCTACATAGGGTGCAGAGAGAACTCCTAGATTGCTGTGAAAATAGGGAAGGCTTCAAAATACCTATAACTGTGGACACTCAAAGCACAGACCTGAGAAAATTCCAAGGATGATTGCATGCCCCAAATTTCCCATTATCCTGGTTCAGTGAAATCAAATATCTCCACCACCAGGAACCCTCATGTGTGTTGGAGGAAGACATTTGTGACCTTCAGATCGACTCCAGGGGAGACACATCTGGTCTACCTCAATCCCATGCATCAGGGAGATCCTGACTCCTGGACTCCAAGGTACACCAGTGGGTTCTGAGCAGGTGCTGGGAAAACATAACCGCCACTGTTACATGGAAACACAACCCACCATGTATGAGAATGACCTTTTGTACATTCTTGTACACTCCCTCCAGCCATGCTCCCATGGTCTGGGATGTGGAAATGCAGGTGTTGGATGGGTGATGTCAAGGGAAAAGTCTAACTGAAAGAGCACAGGAGTCTGTCTTGGGGATAAACCTGTTCCACTCTCAACCCATAAAAAGGCTAATTTTGTAGTCTCAATGAACTGACCTGTGACATCCAGGCAGAAGGACACCTTCTGGCCCTTGGCCTCGCAGCTGTACTCCCCGGCATCCACCTTCCCCGCCTGCTGCACCACCAGCCGCCTGCTGCAGCCCTTGGCCTCCATGTGCACTTTGGAGCTCGCACTCAGCTTCTTCCCGTCCTTGTACCACGTCACCTCCATCTTGTCCTGGGCCACCTCACAGTTCAGTGTGGCACTGGCCCCCGCTTTGGCCTGCACCTCACTGTGTGCTGGCTGCTCCTTGGAAAACACAGCTGAGGGCTCTGGGGACAGGGAGGGATGCATGGCGTCAAAGATACCATCTATATGAAGAGTGCAGCTCTCGGAAACAAGGTCTAAACAGGGAGACAGGGGGACTGAAACTCTCTCCAATCTCTGCATCAGGTGTGTGGCCAAGAAGCCCCACCACCTTCTCGGGAACAGCTAACACAATTTATTTGCACATTGTACCTCTTTCCTGGTTGTTCCAGTTGGGGACCATACATTCTATCTATGCTCCACCCTGTCTGTCCTAGGTGGGGACCATAGATTCCATCACTTCTCTACACGGCCTTTCCAAGTGGGGACTGTGGTAAACTTCCCCATGCACATCAACTCTGTGAGGTCATGAGAGATGTGTTCCTCTACCTTCCTAGAAGACATTAGGTCTTTTCCTTATGGTTTGAAGGAAATGCTTTCACTGTTGTCTTCAAAGTTGCTGAGACTCAGTGCTCCCTCCTCAGTATTATTGACTAGTAGCTCTCTGGCGGGAAGTCTTTGTACTTCTTCGTAATTGTCCTTACCATTGTCTTAAGACCAATGAAGCTGAGTACCTTCACGAATATTACTGGGCTGACCATTACTATTTGCTCCTCTGCGGTGTCTCTGTTCAAGTTTTTGCTCATTTACCAATAGTATATTCTTCTCTCTATTCTTTGTAAGGCACTCCTTACATTTTTTTAATGTTAGGGAATGACAATTATGTATTTTATAGGTGTTTTCCAAATGCTGTGACTACTTTTCGCTCTCTCATGGAGTGTTCTGATGAGTGAAATTTTTAGTTTTATTGTAGCCAAATATGTCTATCTTGTCCCATTGCATTTAGGACATCTGTGTTCTGTTGAAGAAATTTTTCCTTACCTAAATATTTAAATAAGGGTGTTGTCATCTGTAGGTTTTATGGTTTTTGCTTTTATACTGAGGTCTCTAACTCACCATGAGTTGACTTTTGTGTGTTGTGTAAATTCCCAGTGGAATTTGATTTTTTTCCATACAGCTAAATGATTCAAGTGTTGTTTATGAAAAAAAAAATCCTTCTCTATTTCTTGCATAGACATCACAGAAGAACCAAAACTGAGGATGGCAGGAGTCCATTTATGCAAGAATATGTTTTTGATTTATTATTTGGCTCCTTTGATCTGGCAACTATCCCTGAATTGAGATCCCATTGTCTTATGTGCTTTATGATAATTCTTAACATCTGGTATAGCAAATGCTCACACTTGGCTTCTCTTCAAGAGAAAAACTGTATCATCTATACTTTGCCTTTGGAATCCACTTATTATTTTTCATCCCTCCCCTCAATTTTTGTTTAGATTTTGATTAATGAACATCTTTGATTTTTTCCAGGATTTCTACCCATCTATTTCTATCTCTTGATTCTCTCAAAAATGTTTAATTATTTTCCCCCACAGATCCTCCTAGAACCTTTTATCAGACTTGGAATTAGAAACACGACGTTTTTGATGTTATTACAACTGTAAGGTTTCATTTTCAAAGTGTTTCTTGCTAGTACATATAGAAATGTTTTCTGCCTATTGGTTTATTACATGGTAATCTTCCTCAAGAATCTTACTTGGTCTAGTAACTTATATTTAGGATTTTCTGAATTGAAAATCACATCATCAGTGAATTCTATTTCTGTATCTTCCAATTTTATGGAATTTATTTTATTTTCCTCCTTACACTGTTCAGTGATTATAGTGGCCTGCTTGTATGGTCCCCAAATCAAAGATTTCAGGGTCCTCTGCAAATTCCTCATGTGTTCTGTAATTCCACTTACCAAATTAATAAAGAACACTATCATACAGTGTGTTAAGAATTTTACGGTATAATTGATGTTGAATTTTATCAAATATATTTTCTGGATTTATGATGTAAAAATTTAACGAAACACTTTTATTCTGTGTTGAGATAATCACACCATTTTTCACTTCATTTGTTAATTTCAGGTTTTACACTGATCTAATAATGTTCAACCAAATTTGCAATCCTGGACTATGACTTTCATCACCATGTGGTACCCTCTTGTTACACTGCTGAATTAATTATATTGCTAATATTTCCATTTATGATTTTAGTTTTTGATATCCCCAATAGGTTGGTCTGTAATTTAATTCTTCCTACTTTTCTTGTAAGATTTTGGTACTACTGTTATATTTGCTATTGTGAGAAGTAAGGTAGACAATTCATTTTCATCATGATGATTCAAATTGAAGCTGTGCTGTCCAGTTAACAGTAAGATTACAAACTGTAGAAAATATGTACAAACCCTCCCCCAACAATAGAGTCCCAAACTTTACTTCCACATTCTTCTTCTTGTCTCTGTTTCGGGGGCTTATTTTCATGGGCTTTGCAATGAGCTTGCACCAAAGAACAAAGGGAGAGGGTAAACAAATGCAAGAGGTCCCAGGATTTACCTTGACCTGCAGGGTCCAGGTCTTCCTGTGAGTTAGGACCTAATTGGCCCATCCCAATTAGGGTGACCTTTCCATGGGAGGGTTCCTGGCCTTTGTGGGATACAGAGCTAATGACTTTTTATCTTTGGAGACAGAAGAAGTGACGCTGGGAAAAGGGCAAAAGACAGGCACCATGGTGACCCATAAGTCTGTGCACGCTGAGGGCAAAGTATAAGCTAGCACTCACCCATCCCCTGGTGGGATATGTGTGATATTCCTCGGACACTCCTGGCTTCCCAAGAACAAAGGAAAGGGGGTTAAGTGGTGATGAGGGAAACTAAGGCAAGTGAAAATTTATTCCCTCCTGTCTATAGCCCACTGACAAGTCCTTGAAGCCAGGAGAGTGACTTTCCTCTAGGAGCTCAGCTGCCTCAATGATGACACTTTGCTGGGGCAAAAGAGAACCTTGGCTGCATATTATTCCAATCCCCAGGATCCTGTAAGTCAACGTTCTTTATCTTGACTCCCCCAAGACATATGCTGGCAATCATACTCCAAGCTTATGGCCCCTGATGTACATCTGAAGGGTCTCATGACTGAGCTTTTACTAAATAAATGGTATTTCCCTAGCAACAGCCAGCCCCTCAAGGTCCTGGAAACCTTGCTTCCAAAATTCCTTAGAGACTTACTCTATCCCTGATCCTCTCCCAACCTGATATATAATGAGTTACTCATCACAATCCCAGTGCAGTTCTTTCTGCCTATGAGTCCTGTCCCCATACTTTAATAAAATCACCTTTTTTGTACCAAAGATGTCTTCAAGAATTCTTTCTTAGTTGTTGGTTCCAGACCTCACGAACCCCTACTGTCACCCCACAATTTCATCACCTGGGCCAAGGTAGGAAAATCTGACTACAAGTACTGCCTTGGGGCAAGACATCCTTAGAGGCTGAGTGTGTATGACTGAGACGTATCCTAGATGTGAAGACAATGTGGAGTCTGGATCCACGGTCCCATTCTCCTGTGAGGGAAGTGGCTGGAGACCAAGTGGGTTCTGGAGAGTGCCAGAAAACTCCATGAATGCGGGGAGAGGTATTGACCACCCCAGGGAAGTTCAGGAGCATGAACTAGCCTTTTCAAGGATGGGGAACAAAAATTCCAGGCCCAAGGTAAGGAAAAAGGCCCAGAAAGAGGTGGGGTTTCTTCAGATTCCTCAGACAGTGTGCTGGGGCGAATGTTACAGCACTGGGAATATGCTCTTTATACGGGGAACAAGTACAAACATAAAATGATCAAATTCTGCTTCTTTGTTTGGACAAGAGATCCAGGTAAAGGGCCATCTGCTTTTTTGCCTCAGTTTGCCTCAGAGGAAGACTGGATCTGCCAGGCCCTAGTCCTTTTTGTGAATGACAAAATTCCAGAACACTGGAGGAGAGGGAATATGCTCTCTGCTGTCTACCAAGAACTCTCCCTATGTTTCCACATACACACAAAAGGCAAGTATGAGGAATCTCTAAAGGAGAAGCCTTGGGACCCCCTCTCTTGTACCCCTCCTCCTTATAATCCCCAGGTCAACCCACTGGAGGGGGTAGGGGGAACAAAACAGACAATTTGGGTGGACAGGAGGAATCTTCCATCTTTACTGGTTTGTATCCAAATCTCAGGAGGGAACTGGAATAATGTAAAAAGCACATAGAGAATTTCCTTGTTCCCTCTGGGAGCTCTTTATTCCCCCTTATTCCTCCAATAAAGATTTCCTTAAAACACCCAGGTGACATAGTTTGCAGGAAGCAGTTTTCTATTTTAATAGAAGGGGGAAAAAGGCTGCAGCCAGTGATCATGGACTTATCAAGAACAAGTTGCTGGAACTCTAAGTTATTCCCATTAAGGGAGGTCCCTTTAAAGGGGACAAAGAGAGATTGGCTTTGTCAATGCCCACCACCACCAGTACTGAGGTGAAGAATTTCAAGAAGGAAATGAAACCACTGTTGGAATATCCACTAGGTTTGGCAGATCAGATCGATCAGTTTTGGGGGTCTAATATCTATTCCTGGGCTGAGCTGATGTCCACCCTGAACATCCTCCTTACCAGAGAGCAAAAAGGAATGATCAGGAGAGCTGCAATGTCTATTTGGGAGAGAGAGCACGCATCCAGCCAGGGTGTTCAGCCAGCTGAACAAAAGGTTCCCAACCTAGACACTGGTTGGGATAAAAATGATCCTGGGCACAGAGTTCGGATGCAGGAATTAAGAAAACTAATCATCAAAGGGATCAGGGGATCTGCTCCAAGATCTCAGAATATCATAAAGCTTTTGAGATAAAGCAAGAGAAGGAGGAAACCCCAACTGTTTTCCTACAGAGACTTACAGATCAAACGAGGAAATATTCAGGCCTCGAACTGGAGGACCCAGTGGGGCAGGGTCTCCTGAAGGTTAATTTTGTCACTAGAAGTTGGCCTGATATTGTCAGAAAGTTACAGAAGATGGATAGATGGAATGAGAAGCAGATAGAGGAGTTGTGCAGGGAGGCACAAAAGGTATTTGTAAAGAGGGATGAAAAGAGGCAATGACAGAAAGCAAAGATTATGGTAACTACTGTGGAGAAGA